CNCCACCACGCACGCGACCGGCTTCTGCGGAGATGAGCCATTGGACCTTTTTGATGACGACCATGTTTCTACGCGACTCAGCCCTCCTAGCTCTTTTAGCTCAAACCCCGTCGTGAAGGAGACTAGGTACACAAAAAGCCATACGCCGCCGGCCTTCTCAAGCCTGCCATGTGTTCGGATTGACCTAACCTAGACTATATCGTACATCGACCAAAAATCTCGAGTTGTGGTGCTGTACACAACTTGCTCCTCTCGCTTCGGTTTTTGTTCTGCTTCTCCCTCGCGCGATCGGACAAGAGATCGGCGCACATTGGCAACGGCGCCCGCCTTCCTCCTCCTCCCCCCGGGTGTGACCCCTCTACTACATTAAATGCCGTCAGCAGCTCTCGCTCGTTCAGATCGCAAAACTTGCTCCAGAGTCATCTTTTTCCGGCTGACTGACATTTGACTCAAAAACACCTGTCGTCTCGGGACTTGAGAATCAGCATTCACTCACTCACTTGATTGGCGCGTTACCAATCACTAAGCAAACAAGTCTAGTTGCGCCCATCTTCACGTCTTAGACGCCGTAAGCAGCAGCACAGTGGGCGACCGGAACCCCCACAAACACTCAAGACACATGAGAGCGTTTTCAAAGCGTACAACAATTGCCTACGTCCCCTCGTTCAAAGTGAAACCGTCGACAAGTTTGCTGTCAGTTCGCAGTCTCGCATCAGCCAGGCCGCCACGTTCAACCGCCCTTCGTCACGTACCTGTAGTGAGGCTATCCATTCCGAGACTTGCTCGCTGCCACTCGACCGGGAAGCGCCTCGCTCAATCTACAGCCTCCAAGGCTCTCCAAAGCTCCTCAAGTCCACTGTTCTATATTATACCTTTGATTGCCGGAGCTATCGTCCTGTACAGTGCCGGGATTCATTGGACCGGACCCGCCGAAGCTGACCTGCCAACTTCCGAGAAAACACCTCGAGACCTCGCTGTGGACGGGCTTGTTTTTGAGGCCATGTCGATTCCTCCCGGCCGCCTGGGGAACTTGACCCCCGAGCAAGAGGAGAAGCTGTTTGAGCTATGGAAACTGATCTTTCAGGTATGCGGTGTGGAGGACGATGGTATTTCAGAGGCCGCTGCGGATGGTGCCTCGACTTCTCTCCAAGCTCAGACATCAACAGCCAGCTCTGAGAAGCCCAAGAAAGATAAGAAGCGTCTGGGTCTATTCAAGAAAAAGGATAAGAAGGACAAGGAGAACGGTGCGGAGAAGGCATCGGGATCTTTGGATACCATCAAGGACCATGATCCGGATGACAAATACGGCCAGAACAAGATGTTCCAGGAGACGCTTGCCAACAGGTCTCCTGAAAGCATACGGGCCTCCCTGTGGACAATGGTCAAGATGGATCACCCTGATCAACTGGTCCTGCGCTTTCTCCGGGCACGGAAATGGGATGTGCAGAAGGCTCTCATCATGCTGGTCTCAACCATGAAGTGGAGACAGGATGCCAAGGTCGACGAAGATATCATGCTCCATGGCGAAGAACACTTCTTCCTGCAGGAGCAGTCTGGAGCTACCGAGAAGGACAAAAAGTTTGCCAAGGACTTCCTGGACCAAATGCGTATGGGTAAGAGCTTCTCACACGGTATTGACAAGGATGGAAGGCCCGCGACCGTTGTCAGGACGCGTTTACACCGTGCTGGAGAGCAGTCCGAGGAGAGCTTGGAGCGCTACACGATCTATCTCATCGAGACAAACCGGCACCTGCTTTCTGCTCCCGTCGATACTGGCACTGTGATCTTTGACATGACGGGCTTCAGCATGGCCAATATGGACTACACGCCCGTCAAGTTCATGATTCAATGTTTTGAAGCCAACTATCCCGAGAGTTTGGGTGTCGTTTTGGTGCACAAGGCACCCTGGGTTTTCCAAGGTTTGTACAGATTTCGAAGTGACTTGAGCGACTCACGTGCTAAACTTTGCAGGTTTCTGGAAAATCATCAAGGGGTGGCTGGACCCTGTTGTTGCAAGCAAGGTTCACTTTACCAATAATCTCAAGGACATGTCGGAGTTCATTACGCCCAGCCGGATTCCGAAGGAACTAGATGGTGAGGATTCATGGGAGTATCATTATGTGGAACCAGTCATTGGCGAGAACCAAAAGCTGAAGGACACGGAAACGAGAGACAAGATGCTCGAGGAAAGGGAGGTGTTTTACGATGAGTATGAGCAGGCGACGTTGCACTGGCTGAGGGAGAAGGATGCCGCAAAGCGAACCGCTGTGCAGGCCGAGCGCAACGAAATCGCGAGGAAATTGAAGGACGGCTACTGGGCACTCGATCCCTATGTCAGATCAAGGTCTTTGTACGACAGAGTTGGCATTCTACACGAGGGCGGAAAGCTAGACTACTACGCTTGGAACAAGGCACCCTCCACTGGTGCTGTCGCAACAAGCGTAGAGACAGCGGCAGATGACGTCGACTAGGGACGAGTATAAAGACCCCAAATCACAATTTGTGCCGAGGTTTGCCGCTCGATGTGGACAGGACGTCTAGGCTTCTTAATGACATATTCGATACCTCCCTCGATTCGAGCGCTGTAGTCGAAAGGTCCCTAACTCACAGCTTGCCTAGCTACCACTACTATATCCGCAACATTGTTTTACATCTTGGGCTTGAGCTCCTCAAGGAGAGCCTGGAGCTTGTCCGTGTCTATTGCCTGAGCTGGCCAGCCAACGCCGAGGCCCTCGGACTCGTTGGGCTTGGGAATCTAATCTCGTGTGAGTGACTGAGTCGTCTGTAAATGTATCGATGTGCCTGCTCGAGAGCGGCTGCGATGGTGGGTGATGGCAATGAAGAGAGGTGACTTGTGGCAAGCTTACCATGTGGAAGTGGACGTGGTCAACGACCTGGTGAGCAATTCGGCCATTGTTCTGCAGCAAGTTGTAATCTGTTGCGCCCGAGGCAGCGGCCAATTTCTTTACGACCGGCTATGTTGCAAGTGGTCAGTAGTCAGGTCATGGCGATGCTTGGATGTATGGATAACATGATAAACCCATCATCCTTCGCGACAAAGGAAGCAGTAGCGAGCGGAGGCCTACCAGAATCTCGCTGAGATGGTCATCTGGGATGTCCGAGAGCTTGGCGCCATGATATTTGGGGATTACGAGCTGTGGTTTGGTTAGCAAAATTGGTCAGCCTTAGCCTCGGTAGGGTGGTCAGAGCATGGTCGAGCGTACTGCATGGCCTCGGCTGAGGGGTTGAATGTCAAGGAAGGCGAGGGTCTTGTCGGTCTCGAAGAGCTTGAAGCACTGCATTTCACCTGGTCATTCGAGTCAGCTGTCTTTCCTGCTACCTCCTCCAGTCGCGTAGGGGCCACTTGGGCCATCATCCATGTTGGGTGAGATGCATCAGCCAAACCACAAACTAGCCCAGCACATAGGTAGGTCAGATGGGAGGACACGGATCAACGGGGCCGACGCGGAGCGGCCGACCTTGATGGCCATCCAACCTAACCCAGCCCGGCGCAATTGAGTCTTTCGGTGCCGAGTCCACGGGGTCGGCAAACATCCTGCTTACCCTTGATAATCTTGCAGAATATGCAGGCGGCGTTGCTGGCCATTTTGAAAAGGATATCTAGACTCCTCTGGCAAATGGGTTTTGGAAGGTGTGTTGCGCAGTCAGTTCAGCTGCAAGGAGAGTTTCGGCCAACAAGAATCGTGTCTCTTTTTCTGTTCTGTTTTGTTTTGATTTGCGGTTGGGGTACGTTTGTTCTTGGGTAAAGACGATGCAGTGAGATAAATGTGAGTGTTACGTGAACTTTGTTTGGGGGCTCCCAGGCATTTGCAGTCAGTGTGGATGGACGATACATGAGTGATGGCGGGGGCGGGTCCCGACCTAGGTTAGTGCCTTTATGCCATTATGGAGGGGTAGATACGGAATAATGTCAATCCCAGGTCAGATGTCAGTACACTCACGTATTCTTCTTATATATATGTATAAGATAAATTTATATTAGGACCACCTCCCGCAACCACGACCCATTTAGTTGTATCAACGCTGCATAACCAGGATTTTTTTTTTTTTTTGTTACATGGATATGAACATATTAACGATGTATTTGTACACGTGATATTTTGGCTACGACTGTAAACATTCAAGGTTATTAGCAACATTACAGCTTGTCTTCTTCTAGGTCAATTCCGCAAATCTGTTGGCTTTGCGAGGGGTAAACCACGCGCTTACAAATACAATGACAAAGATAACATTGAACGAGTCGCCGCGTATTGGGTACTCCTTTGTGCGTAAAGCAGTCGAGCGGTCGTGACGGCGAATCGCTGATCAAGATTCAGTCGCTACAAATAAGTAAAGCTCATGATCGGATACAGCCAGGGCCACGGAAACCCGAATAGGAGGCGACAAAGAGATGGCGATTTATTTGCTTGCTTGCCTGCTGGTCCTTCGCTCTACCATCTCAACTCAGTATCTTAATCTATACAAGTCCCCTGGCAGCAACTAAGCCCCCCTCCCAGAGTCATGATGAGCCTCTCCCTTTCTTCATTTCACACCCCTCACTTGACGACATGTGGCCTGAACGTGGCCAAATGCAATGTTCAGGGCCAGGAGGTCCACGTGAGGAGCCCGAACCAGTCTGAAATGACTGCCAAGGCAGATGAAGCCTACTTTGTGCTAGAGATCAATACGGCTATCGCTTTTGTCGATAACAGAGATCCCCAGGCGTATTAACGTTGTGGCCTTTGCTACTCGTGATGGATTGAGCGTGTGTGAGGCTTAGAGGTAAGAAGATATCGGGCCTGACCAAGAGCGTGTAAATGCGAAGCCTAGACAAAGCAGACTAGCCTGCGATATTGTAATCAAATATAAGACGTTGCCTTTGCCCCCTTGGAAGAACCAGTTCGAGCCCAGTGGCGTTTATATGCAACAACACTAGCTAGTACAAAGCATCGAAATATCACCCCTCTTGGCTGTCGTTGCTTAATATTGAGACACCGTGACCGCGCGTGGTTGAGGGGAGCATCACAGCGACGATCAATGGCCTCGGACTTTTGAAAACTGGCAAGATAACGATGAGATCAGGCTGGGTGTTTATTTGTATCACCATTGTCTCGATTGCCAGTTCCTCTAGAGAAAAGCTTCATCAAAGGACCGGTGTACGATGATATAACATCAAGGAATCCGAGTTGCGGCATTGGGAGATCGCCAATCCCTACTTCACTCAAAGTAAGTCATTGAAACGACAAAGAAGAAGATGCAATGAAAATCAAGGCAGAGAAATTGGCTACCACGGAGTGGAAGCATTCTGCAGATGCTATGGTTGTCATTATCGTGAGTAAACAGCCGATTGTCGATACCAGGCCCAATCTTCGATGAGCAAGGGTGACAAGACAAGAAGTAAGCAGTCCCATGGCATCTTAATTGGTCGGCATAATTCTCGATCACATGCTATAGTCCCACACATACACAAATACCCTACCAGGGAATGTATACCGCGGGTGTTTCAATTTACTCTGGCGGTAGGCAAGCTCTTTAGATTTTGATTTATATCTATCTTGTTGAACAATTAAATTTCGGGCATTTTTCTTGTCATTTCCAGAGGAGCAACCTTGAAGCGTTAATAAGCCTCTAAAGCCTTGAGGAACCCAGGGCTTTCATAACCTTCGACAACCTTGGAAACCGGTGACGCCTGTGCCTCAATATCGTCACCAGAGTCTGCAAAGCGACGGATGTAGTGCTGTGCAACCTTGATCCAGCTAGCCTTCTCTGCCTTGCTGGCGCCAGACCCTTGCCACTGTAACAACATGTGTTAGCAATTGCCTTTGCAGGTGAATCAACGAGTTTAACAGGTAGCTCCCGCGAGCATTTCGTCAGTGGTTGCAGTAGCTCAACACTAGATGGGAAACGTTTGCCAACAAGACAACCTGGAACAAGTGGGAAATAACATGAGAATCTACTTACTACCCAGATATCGGAGCCGGTGTCGAGGAGAAACACGTCGTTGGTATCAAGATCCGATTTTCGTGTTGCTTCGCCGTCCTTGACCATGTCAAAGGAAAGCTGACCAGAGGCATCAGACAGTCTAAATAGGCGTCGTGGTCGGGGGTGCTCTGGTCTGCTCGCGGATCGGATTGGTCTCGGGGCATTGAGACTTGTAATGGCATCATCATCGCCACCGCCGAGGAGTGCAACAATGGCGCGAGATCTGGATTCAGTCTGGGAGACAACCTCAACATCGATGTGTTTGGCAATGGTCATGTCATGCACCACGCGGGCAGCGCCCATCTTCTCCATGGGGCTGCAGTTCTTGCCCTGCCATACCCAGATTTTGTCGTCCTTTTCGAGGATGAAGACGTCATTCTCATCGAGGCTCTTCCACGTGGGCTCGACCTCGTGCACAACGACGGCATCTGCACGCCTGGCAGAGGGGTGCTTGAAGACTCTTAGCAGCAGCAAAGTCTCCTTTGGCTGCTCGTCAAGCTCGACATGAGTGAATCCCGAGCGCACACCGCCAGACAAGATGGAGATGCGTGGGAATAGGGCCACAAAGTCGTCCGACGGCGAGTGCTGAAGCTCACGGTGCTGTGTAGCTGCACCATGGAGGAACTCATCCAGCTCGACGGTTTTGTACTACCGATTCATGGTTAGCGACTGAGTCTTGCCCGACAGCAATTATCTGAAGGCTGGAGCTCCAGACTTGTCATGATGGCCACGGGAGAGAGAAGAAAGGGGGAGGGCGGACTCACAGCTGCCGTTCCAGCTTCGTCTTGAGTGGTCTTGCTTCCTAGCCAGAAGAATACATCGTGACCGAGCTTCTCCTCGCCGTCCTTGTCGCCAACCTTGTACGAGTGCAGAACAATGTAGCTGTCGCCCTCGTGGAATTGACCATACTTGTCCTGGGGCCAGGGCACGACTTGAAAGTCTTCGATGCGCCATACGTGAAGACCAGCAGACTGCCCTACCTGCCCATCATTCCATGCCGGTTCCGAGGCAGCAGATTTATATTTGACCTGGTGGTCAAGGTCGGAGCCAATGAGCTCGACGTTGCTATCGCGCCAATCGTATTCCTTCTGGTGTACCAAACCTTCGTGAGGGGCCATGGTGGATGGTGGGTGTGCGCGAGGGAGAGAGAGAAGAAGAGAGAGAAACTTGACAAGGTCGGCAACAATAAGACAGACTTACGTCTTTCGACTGGCCAATATGGTGATTGAAATTGTACAAAGTGATCAGATTGATTGACAAGAACAAGAGCGGCAAGGGGGGTTTCAAATAATACCGATGTGTGCATATATATACCCGTACCTATTTATATTCATGTACCCGAACTGTCCAAGCTATGTGTATACCTACAGCGTAACCTAGGGGCCTCCCTTGCGTCAACGTAGGTACCTACACGTGTAAGAGGTACTGATTTACACATGCAGCCGGAACATTGAACGGAGGCGTTCAGCTGACTGCTGCGCCTTGCCAGTGACGTCGCGTACCGGAGGTATGTACCTCAAGCTAGCTAGGGAACATTGAAGCCCTGAAACGTCATGCATGTGGTAGGTACCTACTAGGTAGCTAGTTGCTGCATACCGAGCTAGCTGTGCTGGTGCATTGCGATGTCAATAATCTGTATAACGAACTCAAACTGTGGAGCCTCGGGCACGTACGGCTGTGGCTGACCTTTATGCTTGATGGGTATCTACCGTGGAGACTGTCTTGCAATAAAACAACAAATGGAAAGGTGAAAGCCTAAATGATATTCCCGCCACGCTGTTTGAAGGCGAGTCAATAGCCTATCATTCCATTTCCTGAAGAGAAGCGGTTCAAGACACTTTTCTCCCCTCCCATTTGCATTCATGTGCATGAATCCATAGATTGCCTTATTGTCTTCAAAGAGCAGAGTAATCGGTAATTCAGAGAGGAAAGCTATGCTGTGGGAAAATGGCAAGCGAGAAGCGGAGTTATAAGCCAGTCAGTATACTGAGTAAAACAGTGTTCAGCCACGAAAAGAATATACCTACCTACTACTCGTACCGATACACATACCCTTTTTTCTTTTTTCTTTCTTGGGTTGGTTACCTCCACGCCGCCAATCGCATTTGGGGGGGGGGGGGGATCATCATCTGTCTGTCTCTGCCCCTCCATGATCCACTTGCATTCATTCATCTGCCCACCCCCCCAGCTCTTTGCAACTCCCCGCAGCTGGCGCCCGACTCATTCCCACGACAGATAGGCAAGAGCAGCTGCACCTTTCTCGCAACCTCGAGAATGGCAACGTCAACGTCGACTGGGTCCGGCTCTGGGACCATCCCCTTCTGCTACACACTGGGACCTGCGAGCAGCAAACTCAACTGCCACGTCCCACGACCCATCATCCCAAGGCTGTAAACGCTGCTGCCGTCCTCGCAACAACAGTAGCATCACACGCCACAACCACCATCGATACCGCCACTCGGTCCTTGTCTTCTGTAATCCATCTGTGACACGTCACTTTCCCCCAAAGATTGACTGTTTGCTCTCTTGGCATCCTCCAAGGGAGACTCTACAACTTCGGCGACATGTCGTTGAAGATTCGCTACCGCGCTCCTTCCGGGCCAGGCTCTATCGACCTCGCTGGCGATGCCACCGTCTCCCAGTTGTTTGATGCCGTCAAGCAGGCAACGGGCACCGCGAATATTGCCATCAAGTACGGTTGGCCGCCGAGAGCCCTGGAATTGGACCAAGCCCATGTGTCGATTGCATCCCTCAATTTACACCGCGAGAGCCTCACTATCGTTCCCGTAGACGCGGCTGCCCCGACCGAGGCACCTCTCGCTGCACAGCAAGTTGCTCCCACGCCATCCATCCCCGCCGGTGCCTCTTTCGAGCAGAAGGACGTAAAAGATGGGCCCGTGACCGTGAAGATGACACAGACCGACACCTATCTCGGTACGCCGTCACCTCCTCACCCCATTTGGCTATTGCATTGAATCCCTTGGTTGGGGGCAGAGTTCTAATCTAATATATTGTACCCTTTAGTCCTGCGAGTGATGCCCGATGACAACTCGTGCATGTTCACCGCCATTGCCGGAGCGCTTAGGGGCGCCAACTCAGGACTTGATGGTTCGTCGCCTGAAAAACTCCGGCGCATAGTCGCCGATCACATACTCGCCAAACCGGATATTTTCACCAAGGTGGTGCTCGAAAAGGAGCCACGGGCCTACTGCGACAACATTCTGCGACCAGATGTATGGGGCGGGGCTATTGAGCTCGGTATCATTTCCGAAGTCTTCTCGATTGAGATTTGCGTCGTCAATGTCAAGGTATGAAGCACGGTCGTGGTTGATGGTTACTGCCTCGGCAACAGAGCTAACTTGTTAGTAGGAGGGGACAATCATCAGGTACGGGGAGGACCAGTACGATCTCCGTTGCGTACTTGTATGGTCCAATATTCACTACGACCGGGTGGCTGAAATATTCACCGAGGACCAAGTTGATGATTCTTTTGACGTCACGACTTGGAATTGTCGCGAAAGTGACCACATTCTCCAGAGCGCTAAAGTCCTCTGCCGGAAGCTCAAAGATGAGTATCATTACTTTACCGACACGAGCGACTTTGTCGTGCGATGCAACCAGTGCGGCTGGATTGGCCAAGGTGAAAGGGCCATCGTCACGCATTCGGCGAACACTGGCCACGTGGCCATCGAAGAGATTCCAGACACGACATGAGACTTACTTGCTCAGCTCTTGCAGCTCTGGTTGCCTCGCCACGGAGTCTTAGAGTAGGGGGCGGTGGTGCAATCGTCGAGAGGCCCAGAGTCAAATGCCAGGCGCATCAAGTTTTTTTTTTTTTTAAGTTTTTTTTTACATTGCAGATCATTGGAGCTTGTGCAGTCCTATACCCCTCACATGTACATGTATACACACATATATGCATACATATATATGTACAGATAGACTTTGTCAATCCATTCAGGAACCAGAGACGGCGTTCTTGACCTTGTCCACCACGGTTGCCTTGTACGTCAGCCCGCCACCAAAACTGTACTCCCCGTCCTTTCCGCCCGCTGTCACCTTGCCCTCCTTCTCTCCGTTTGCAAACGCACAAGTGCCCATGTCAAGAGCCTTGGCCGGTCCAGATGGCAAGATATCGAAATCAAAAATATCTATGGGCAGACCCAACGTTGTGCAGGCATTGGGAATGTCTACAATACCGGCAATATGCCCCTGGATTGGCGCACACGACATCAACAGGTAGATCTGGTAGTCGCTGTACCCAAACCTCTTGAGATACTCGATGCATCCTGTTGTCAGCGGTTAACATGCATGCCATAATTAGGTACTTCTCCCCTGCCTGGAGCGGGTTTCATCGGTCCACTTACGCAGTATCGTTTGTCGATATGCGACAGTCACGTCCATGTAGTGCTGCTTGCCATGCTGGTCGACGGAGAAGCCCTCAAAGTAAATGTATCGCCCGGGACCAAACTGTGGCTCGACCGGTCCGGGGATATAAATTGGTGACTTCAGACCCAGGTCGGCCATGCCATTCTTGATGACTTTGAAGTTGATGGTGATGACTCCTGCCATTTCAATGGCTCCGCACTGTCAGGTGATTCATGGTCAGCAACGAGAAGCCAGACACTAGATTTGCACATGAAAAGTGATCGACTGCAGATGTCTTCAAGAACGATTGGCTCGAGAACGAAGCCATGACACGCCTCTAGACAACGCAATATGGACATGGCAGCATGCATGTGCATAAACGCGCACGCGCCGAAGAGGTAGAGAGGAAGGGGGCGGGGGGGCAGCACGTACAAAAGAGATCTCGCCGTCGCCCTGGCTAAAGTGCAGGTCTCCAACGGAGAACTTGGCTCCAGCCACATGAACAGGCAAATACACCTTTGAGCCACGGCTGAGGTTCTTGATGCTATACAGTCGCGTTAGGTATGCTTTGATCACCAATGCCCCGTTTCTCAAATATTATTTTGTTCTTGTAACAATACATATACGTTGGGGAGAGGATCAAGACTCACTCGCAATTGCCCCCATGCTCGGGTCGCCCTGGGATCGTCCTGGCACCCTCCAGCCCGACCTTCTCCTTGATAGTCGCATCGGCGGCGCCGGCGTGTACATTGGTCGGATTAGGAGGCTGTGCAACGTCCCGGTCAAGCTTGTTCGCTGCGATCAGCTCGCCCTCGCGCTTGTTCCATGTTGCTAGGACCTCGGCCGAAGGAGCACAGCCCAAGATGCCAGGGTGAATCAAGCCGGCAAACTTGACGTGTGGAATATGGCGCGAGGTACACTGCATGGCTCGGAGTTAGCATGAGAGTCGGGACCCCAAGTCGGCCTGGCTAGATTTCGTCCAGTGCCTCTGAACAACGACATGGCCCGAGATAGGAGCACTGCCAGTGGGGGTTGCGGGACATCACTCACGTAGATGCCTTCAAAGTCCCAAATGGCCTTGGCACTGCAATCTGATGGTATCAATCAAACATGTTCCGAATGAAAAGAGGCATAGGTCATATCTCTTGCTTGCGAGGAAGGCAACAGAGCAATAACAGCAACTCGACCCAAGTACTTCTGACTTGCGTGAGAGAAAGAAAACCCTGATACGTACGCTGATGGATACAGTTCGTCCAGAAACCCGCCACCGTTCCTGCGGTCGAACACGCCAGTAAATCCCCATGGTTGATCCTTGTGTCCAGATACACATGTCAGTCTTGTATCTCGATGCTCATCAACACTTTCTCACTGATCATGGCTCTGCATTCCTCGGCGGAGGGAAATGAACGGTCGGTTGAACAATTTACCGGGAAGATAACCCACGTAGCGGCGCATCATGCAGGATCAGTGGGATAGAGTTGGGGAGTAGGCAGATGGAATATTGCGCTCATTGCCACGCAGGGGTTCGCTCTCTCACTCACCTGGAACGGTTGAACATCCATTATCTCTACCAGCAGCACATCGCCGGGCTGTGCGCCATCGACGTCGAATGGACCAGTGAGGTAGTGAATCTTGGTCAAGTCGACATTGAGAACATCATCGGCACTGTCATTATTGCCAATCTGACCTCCAGTCCTGTGTAGAGAGAGAGAGACAATCTTGGTCAGCCACGGGCGAGCTTCAAGCTTGGGTCGAAGTGCTCCATCTGAGCCAAAAGGGAGCAGGCGACAACGTGACGCAATAATTGTGATCATATCGGCCACGAGGGAAATGATATAGACAGACGTTTGGGCTTACCAATCAACACATTCGATTTTGACGGTCTCGCCGTCCTTGATGGCACCGACAGACGGGACTGTGTGAAAGCCAATGCATCAGCCAAACGCCCAAAACCAAAAATTCTTCCACGACCCCTTTTCTTCTTCTTCTTCTTTCCACTCTTTCATCTTCCAATACCTACTGTCAGGATGCCATCGATTCTGCCCATTTCTAATCAGTATACGTCGAGTATAGGCCAAACATAAAAAAGGGACACTTACATGCAAGTTCTCTTGCTGGTCGGCGGGCTTGTCCAAGCTCACCTTGCCGGCTGTTCGGATACCACTCTTGCCCATGGTCGATGAATGCCAAGACTCAACCCTCTATATATATATGCCGTTACTATACACAAGCAAGCACGCACGCACGCACACAGGCACGGTTCAGATTAGTCAGCGGAGCAACCCAACCCAGAGGATGGGGATTAATGCTTGGTGCGGTGCTCGAAATTATTTTCAAATTCGGATATGGTGCCTAGGCAGGATCAATGAATGTTTCAACTTGTAATGTCTTTGATACCATGATACAGAAACAATCAAAAGACAATGTGTGTTGGCAATGCATGTTCCCGATACTTGAGATATATATACTGCCTCTGGTTGGGGCATTGCATTCCCCCGAAAGGCATACACACATACCTACTACATAACTACCCCGCAGAACCCTCTTCCCCCCACCCCACACCAAAAGATATGCCCGCCCGCCCGCCTGCCTGATCTCTGTAATCTAAGGTAGGTATCTACAAACGTATAGACGTCATACCTACATAGTACTACTGAGCAACCCGCAGTTCTTTATCTCTGCGCGCTCAGTGGTATTTGTTGTGTTTATTAGTGTAAACGGGTCGACAGGCTTATCACTGGCCCTCCCTTGTCAGTGAGCCACCCTTGGTAAAACACTATTTGTCAAGTATAAAATTGACTTACCCGGCCTAGGTCGGTATGGATAATATATCTTAATACGTATCTAGGTACTTGGGCAGCCAAAGAGTGCATGCGGCATCATGATAAGACGACGCATAACGGCTTCCGAAGCACCACTCACTTATCTAGGTATCAACCCAGTGGAGACTATGGTTCTGCAGACTGACAGAAGTGATGCATTCTAGTAGCGCCTGGTTCCTGAGCAGACAATTATCATAGAGGAGCGGACACGTAGATCACAAATGTAAAAGCATTATCTAGTCAATCTCTCAGATGAAGCAGGGGCACCGTGCTCTGATTTGATACACTAGGCTTGTTTTTTTTCCCCTTCTCTTTCCCCTCTCCTTCCTTGCCTCTTTCCCGCTTCTTGTTTTCTCCTGTGTAAAGTTTTTCCCATTCGTCTCCATATTGCCTCTGCTGATCGTTTGAAACGGCTGATCATGACGGTCTTTCCATCGTCTATAGTTCTTTCTTGTGCTCTGAAGGCCCCTGGTATGGCGGAGGGGGAGCAGGAGAAGAAGTTTGCTGTGCTGCCACACTTGTTGAAAATTTGTCCGAAGCAGCCGAGGGTGCATCATGCTCAATGTGTAGAGCATCGAGATCAAAAAGAGACAAACTCAGAAACTCGTGCTTGTTCCGCCAAACCTGCTGGCTCGCGGCAAAGTCCTTGCTGTCTGCGGGAGGTGGAGGAGGATCAGTGACCTTTGTGATCAGGTAGGCAGTCGAGGCTTCGGCGATGCCGTAAATGAGCACTCCCAGGAGGGGCACGCGGACTAGGACATAGAACCCAATGCCAAAGCCAAAGAGCAGGCCTTCGCGGCTGCGGAACCAGTTCTTCTTCTGCTCCTTGCTCATGTGTATACGGGCAAAATAGGGCTCCAGCAGTTCGCGCATCAGACTGCGGGAACCGAAATAGGTCTGCAAGAATATAACCAAGTATCGTCTGGGAAAGAAAATGCCAGTGCCAAATATCGCGGCGGCTGGCCCCAAGCCAACGGCTTGGTTGAAGGTGTAGAAACTGGCGGCGGGCAGGACGAGACGGCCGACGTAGGGCACATATGAGAGGGCAAAAACAGCCAAGGATATGGCAGCCTTGCGGGCGAAGCGAACGGCAAACATGGTGCTGGCTTCGGCTGTGCTGGTGGTGTGGGTACTGCCGTCTTTGATCTTGTACTGTCGCAAGTTTGGATAGTACATGTCTCTTAGGGAATCGGGATTGTCGTGCTTGTGCTTCTGGACATAAGTCTGATCTACCCAGCGTAGGGAGTCCATGAACATGTTGTCGAGCGTAGGAGTAATGTATCTCATGAGGGTCATGAGGAAGAGAGGTGCTTGAAGGACATGGTTGGCGAGCAGCTGAAGGGTGTCGACGAGGCTGTCGTCCCACGATGCCTGGTCAAGGTCGAAGAAGAGAGCAAGGATACGAATACCGAGCTTCACTGAAAGGATCTACACCAATACAACACCAAAGACGAGGTCAGTTCTTCTGCCTGGCAAAGACCGGGGGTTTAGAAGCAGGGCAGGCGGGAACCCACGGGGACGGCGACGAGGACACGAATCACTACACCAGCGGCAACAGCCAGGGCGGCTTGTCTATAGTGATCATTGGTGAAGATCTCGGGATTTTGCAATGCACGGTGCGCTGCAGAGAGGAAGAGAAGGCAGAAGGAGTCAGTTTGACGCTCATGTTCAAGTAATTGTTTTGTATGGACACATGTGCCTTCTCACCTCCGACCAAGGTTAGCTGGATACCCCGCAGGACGGCGTTGATGTCGAAGTGGGAGAGGTCGAATGCCTTCTTGAGCTTTTGCTTCTCTTCTTGAGATAACTTGGGCTTCTCCATTGTGTCGGAGGATGGGGTAACCGTAAAAGGAGCCCTCAGCGCCGTCCGGGCCAGCGAATGGTTAGTAGTTGGGACAAATTATAGAGAAAAAAAAGAAGGAAGATTAAAAAGTGGTGGTGAAGAACAGGAAGGCTACGGCGAAGAGTGCTTGGAATTAAAGCCACCAATTTGTTGTGGTGTAGGTAATATGTAGTACTAGGTAAATGATGATTGCACGGGTTTCAATGTTAGGGAAGTGGGATGACGACACGACGCCAAGCTTGAGCTCAACTAGCTTGGAATGCCTGCCAGCCCAGATATGTACTCCTAGGTAGTTATTTTAGCTATATTAATAACTTCTAGGTGCCGCAAATGGCAAACTAAAAAAGCACACTTGACGGATATCTGGTGCCGGGGCTGGCTGCAAGGCACCCTTACCCGATATTACATACATTAATAGTACAGGGGAAAGTTACTGGACCACTGAGATGCACACCACTCAGTATTTCCTAATGTCCATATTGGAAGGAATAAGAAAGAGAGAGAGAAAGAGAGAGAAAAGAAGAAGAAGAAGAAGTAGAAGGCACGCAGGTCAAGGCTCCAGATCAATGGTAGTATAGATTCACATTTACTGGGTACATCCTGTAGCTACAATATGTCAACATGCATAAAACAGCCACTGGCCATGAATAGCGCGAGCTTTGGGTTCGGCCTGTCTGATGTCTATCGACCACTGCCAATAATAAAGTATCGAGAGGTCCAAAAGCCAAGCAAGGTACAGAGAGCACCTGATAGGTGATTGTGATTCCCATGTAGACTAATGCACGACTACATATTATATGCTCGATCGTTAAGCTCTTCATTTTACGGCGTCTTATTAATCGACAGCGTTTCCGTCATGGCAAAGAATCATGTTTCGGCATGTATCACCTCATTACGCCTGCGCGTGATGCTCCCTTTCCGCAATATAAAGATCCTCAATGTCAATGAGAACAACCATCTACATGCAGACAATAAACACTATGCATGCAAGTTGTAACGGTAACCTCTTTGTGGTCATTTGCATCTGCCTTGACACCACATGGGACTATGCGTATAGTATACAACAAAGTCTTCATGATTTTCATTCTTACAATTATTCGTACTAGTATTATTATTTGAAAAAAAAAAAAAAAAAAGGACATTATGTACTAGGCGGCTACTAGGTAATGTTGTACATGGCTTCTACAGGCAGTCAGGGTCCTGTCCCGCTCCAAAAATTCGGCTGGCTCCAACCCCGATCGTCTGCCCCGGGCTCACCTTGTCGCAGATCCATCACATTAAGGCCGGGTTGCCAATACTACTAAGAAAACACCCCCCAGTCGCCTCATCTTTTCTACCTACCTACTCACTTGGTGGTAGATGAGAACAAAACTTCTCAACTTGCGCACGCTGCGACACCGCTCGACGACGACAACATTGAACGACCTTCTGCCCGCTGGTCTGTTCACCTTTACGTGCGCCGTCTACCGAAGCACTCGATTTGTTACTTGCCTACTTGTCGTCCTAGGTACCGACTGTACATCGTCGTCCACGTTGTCTTCTTCTCGGCACCTGCGCCCACCCATGGCAACCGCGATGCTGGAGATCTTTTCTTAAAGACACCCTAGACGGGCCTCCCCTTCCATCAAGCACATGTACGAACATGGGGCCGCACCCATCTTCCTCTTCATCCGCCCATGGCCGGCTACTCTCGCCTCGACGGGTCGCGACCGAGCCGCTGCCTCTTCAACCGCCGCGCAGGTCAATGTCCGTCTCCTCAGCATCCTCGTCGCGCTCTCTTGCCGCCTCTGCCTCGTCAGCATCTGCAGCAGCAGCAGTCGCCGCCCCCAGAAATTCCGACGAATCCATTGAGACGTTATTTGACCACCCCTCCGTCAAGATAATAGCCTTTACATCTAGCCAGCGCGCTTCTTCATTTGGCGCTTCTGACTTCCTTGCTGAGCCGAAGCCAGGCTCACTGCCTGCTTCTTCCAAGCTGGAGAGAACCCTTGCTGTCGGTATGCTTATCGCCCTCTGTTGCTCGCTGCCGAGCACCATGGTGCTTGTAAAGCGGCCCGCTGGCGGCCATTTCGCTGATGCCTTCATCTCCTCTTGCAGGTCCCTTCCGCATCTATCGCGCTCCGGGCTCAGTCGCCTTCCTCAGTTGCGGATCTGCCCTCCAGCCCATATTACCCAAATCCCAATGCTGGTGTATAGATGAAATCAACAGCCGATTTGTCCTTCAGATTCGTCGTCCCCAGTACTGGAGGATAGAGCTGCCCCTCTCGGACCCTGAAGATTTCGAGAGAGCATCTGCTCTAAGAGACGTTTTTGATAATATTTTGCTGTTTGAGAAGACGGAATGTCCATTTGTGAGAAGTTTTACTGTAGAGCTGCCCGAGAGACCACAGACACCCGTCAAGAAGAAACCGTGGACTCCCGTAGGCAAGCACCTGGTCCCATCCGTTTTCTTGTCAGATGTTTCATCGCCCTCGTCGCCAGCAGTCAAGATCGCTAATGAGAAGCTCCGACGGAGGACCCTCGACATAAGCTCACAGACGCACATGGAAGCTAGGGATCAAGCTGTGCGCAACACAGAGCGGGCATTGCCCAACAGTACACCGAGAGGCTTGGCAGATGGGCCACATGTGAATGTCAGAGAGATGGCAGCAATTGCAGAGGCTAATCAACCTGGCTCTACGCCGGATACTCACCTGGAGGCTGCCACAAGTTCATCTCACGGCAAAACTAATGAGACGAGACAAGGTGCTCTCACAGCGTCGATCCCGGCAAGTGCAGATCACCATGCTCGGAAGGAACTGGAACCCACGATACGAGACGCCCAGGGCAGCCCTCGATTCCCAATTTCAGCTCCCATTACTCAAGCAACAACAAAAGGTTCTTCTATCGTCCCCAAGACGCAAGAGTCTGCTCCGCAACCCGGAGAGGATAGTAAAGAGTTACATAGTATAGATGAGACAAAGCCTAGCGAAGCTAGAGACGACATCCACACTTCATTCGAAGCTGCTGGCAGCGTTGGCGCCGTCAACCTCAAGAAGAAGAGGATGAGCCGAATCCTCGCCGGTCGTTCTGTGACTTTACCTCCTCGGCTCACGGTAGTGACATCGACACCGCCCAGACCGAGTCAAGCCGCAGCCACGGAAGAGGCGCCAACGGTGTCCTTGCCAGCAAGAGCATCGTCAGAAGGTGCCCCAGAGGAGCAGTCTCCAAATGGCTCCGTGGACTCGTTCCACAGTGTGCAGTCTTGGCACAGTCCGATCAGTCCACCTTCCCTCTCACCGATATCCTCTTCGCCTTCTCCGCCTTTGTTCCCATACCCACACGACAATATCAGGATCCCCCATCGGGGATCACGGGGGACGTCGAGTGCTGAATTCACACCCGCGACGGACGCGACCTTTGTGCCGGCTCCCATGTCAGTTGAGACTCATGCGCAGGATAACCATGATTCGGCTCCGGCACTGGGGACGGGTTATGACGAGGGCGTCAGCCGTGGCCTACTGCAGAACCCGGCCGAGACAATGGCCAGATCATCGGCGACGCCGCAGCGACCCAACAGCATACATCATCGCCCAAAGACTGCCGACCCCTCGGTCGGCAGACGTGCTTTCCCGTCGATGCCAGCATCGGCCAATATTCTGTCGCCAACGGTGCGATACCGCCCAGAAGGACCCCTCGCGGTAGTGCGCAGGTTGCCCAGCGTGATCCTCCAAAAGACGGTAGAGATACTGTTGTCGCCACCGAGCCACCTCGTCAATCTAATGCTTCAGGTTGCGGCCAAGATCGCTGCTGGGGAGTGGAGGGGCCTGGTACTCGGCATGGGCGAAGGTGGAGAGAGTATACCAGTACATTGGGATTACTCTGACGGCGAGCTGAGCGGTTGGGAGGACGACGAGGATTACACGTTCTCCATTAGTCGGCTTCCGACAAGCCGGAGGTCGACCGATGTTGCACCCGACGACGTATCTAATTCCATGTCGGATAAGAAAGCCACACGGGCTGGTAATAGCAGTAGGAGCTGGGAAGTAGATTAATGTCTTATGCTGAGATCTCCAAAGCTGGTGATGACTGGCTACTGGAGTAAGTGCATAACAAGGGTGCCACGTTTGTTCTTTGTTGTTCTCATGATTGTTGCTGTTGCATGGACGATAGGAGTTTTGGGTTGCACGGAATGCCTTATAATACCCGCGTCACATTACGATATGCGGCACAAGGCGGGGAGGGGGGATGGCCTTTTGCATGCGGCGTTGTCTTTCACATGGGAATTATCCTGATGGTGGCTGTCTCCATTTAGAGCCCTGGAGACTTGATAGATTTGGTTAAACATAGGACGATGAGGAAATGGATGAGATGGTGGTACAAGTGCAAGATGCCAGATAGCGTCTTAAACCGTGAATGAGACAGCCACATATTCAGGCACCTCGTAGTAGTTGATGGCTTCTATCCCATATCACGTTCACTATCTCTCACTAGGCCTCACGTACTTCTCATATAGCCTGAATTATACAACTATAGATCTGGCTTCTTGTAATAGACTCTGCCCATCTCAGAGCTGCTGCTCCCGATATGAGAGATTGCAAGTGGCAGATTGAGAGTTACAATCTGCATGTGAGTAGACTCGGTACATGACGATGACAGAGAACAGAGGGAGGACGAGGAGGACGTCGAGTGTTTTTGCATTCTGGGTATGATGTGCGCATGGTGTGTATACACTACACATACTATGTATCATGTGTGTGTATGCATATGCTAGTAACAATGGTTTTGTGGTTTACAAGTGTCTCTTCAAGAGTCTTATTAAGCCACGGACGGAAGTTTGGTCCGCTAGGTAGGTTGAACATGTTGCCTGCTTCCACCACAGCCCCCCACCCCCCCTTGTCCCACAGTTGCGCAACCAACTTTTTTTGAGTGTCAATCCTGGCATGCTCGGCATGTTTCTATTTTCAGCTCGGCTACTACTCTGTATCCAACTATACTAAACATGCATGTGCCACTATGATCGCAGGGTGGCTTTGAAGGGGTCCCACCCAGCCAGGATGATCATGTCAGATCACTTCCATTATGTACGTAGTACTAGACGTAAAGAAATCAGATGGAGGGAAAGAATAGATCGGGGCGGAATTGGATTGAGTTGTAAGGATGGCTGGCTGGCTGGCTGGCTGGCAGGCAGGCAGAAAATACCTATCTACCGCATACATACCATACCTACGTACACTACTTACTGCCTTACCAGGTACCTAAAGTGCATGCCTGCGTGACATCCCACCTGCATCCAGAGAGCAGCATCAATCATGCACAGTGGTTGCATATCAGCCTACCTCTTGTATTAACATGGCCAGGTAAGAGTCACTTCACATTGGTTGTGTGGATGTAATGTATGTAGGTTTTCCTCACTTCATTATTGAAGAGACACGATGCCTGGCGTCTTGAGGGCTGGCTACACGACATGGCCTCGCCTTGCTCAACCCGCATCATACACAAGTGAGCAGCAAGCACTCTAAAAACATCCGCCCACAGGTGAGTGCAACAATATCACCACCACAGACATCATGCATGTATGGATTTGTATCCATTATCAACCTATAATCCTTGCTCATGCCAGGTGCCAGTGCAATAGCTCGCAGATGCTTTTCGCCATGGAGTCATGATTGTCTTATTCTTCCCCCCTCCCCTTCTCTTCTTGCTTGTGATTATCTCATTTGAGAGTTTGTTAGTTGGCCATCGTGGAGAGGATGTACGTATTAGTAGGTGCGGCGCCCCTCAACCCCTCGCCAAAATCGGCCAATGGCAGTACGATAAATCTGAATGAAAGATACAGCAGCATCTTTGCTTTTATGCGCACGCACAGACGCACAACACGGTCCCGAGAGATGTAAGCGGGGCGGTTTTGTCTCTTCCTTTCCTTTTTTTTTTCTTTCTTTCTGTTTGAGGTCTTGCATGAATGGACGGGTTCTTTACTATGGCTGGTGCCTGATCTGTCTGTCCATGCTAGTTCAGCTGCACGTTTCGTTACAGGACAAGGGCAAAAAACAAAGTAGCAGAGAGAGGGAGAGAGAGAAGACGGAGAAGGAAGGAAATGAAAATTGAGAAAGGGAAAGAGGAGAAAGAAAGAGAAAGTGACACATTAATATCAGTATAATGACAAAATGACTTAGTAATTCTTATAATTTGGGAATTACCCGAGCGGCTAGATGGATTCATCTTGTGGGGACTGTTTTTTTTTTTTTTTTGGACATCAATCGGTAATACATCATCTGTCTTGGGATCTTTGATAAAATTAACCAGAACAAAGTTGTGTCTTGATTGGTTTTTTTCTTCTTTTTCGCCACTTGCCTCGTGCTGCTTCTTTCTTATTTTCCTGACTTTTGTCTTTGACTTCTTTTTCGGTTGCCCAAATTCGCCCGTGCAATTCAGCTGCGGGATGGGGGGAAAAAACGACGAGTCTTGTTGGGAATGGGGCGGGAGAAAAGAGATATACAAATACAAAAAAGATTTTAAATGAACGGATCGATCAAAGAACCACACACAGACACACAAGGTACAAGAGAAGGGGGAAGGGGAAAAAAAAAAAAAAGAGGAATAGTAAAACAAGGTCAGATCGAAAACGGACGATCCCTTAACGTATTTTGCCCCCCAGGCGGGCTCTGGCTCGGCTGGCTCGCCCCTACTTGGCGATAGGCTTGTACCCAAAACCAGGGATCATCATCCTTCGAGGCCGAACCATTCCGCCTCCGTCTTCGCCGCACAGCTTATTTAGCTACGCAAAGGCAATCAGTCGGCTGTCTTTTATTTCCCTTTCAGATTCACGTTTGCCGTTTGTGGCCGTTGTCCATTCTATTACTACCCACCTAATTCCCCGAAACGCCCTCGTCTATCTGCAAGAAAGGGGGGCTTGGCTCTTCGTCTTCTTCTTCGTCTTGTTCTTCTTCTTTTTTTTAAAAAAAAAAAAAAACGAGGAGGGGGGAAGTGAGTGTGAGAGATTGCTGGGCTACTACTTGCTTACCTGCTTCCCTGATTGCTTGTCTTTTTTTGGGGGTTGGTGTGGCCGCCGCCATTCAAGTTACATTACACATACACACACACACACACAGAGAGAGAGATATATATTATACATGGGGTATGGGGGTGGAAGCAAAAGCCTGCCATTAAATGTATAAACGGTAGCCAAGTCAATGGTATACATGCTTGGATATGCAAGTGTAGGGTGTGTCTGTCCATGTAGGGTTTTGACGACGGTCTCGGTCCATTGGCTTTGCTGCATCGCCACAATCACTGTCTCGGTAGCTTGTGTTTGAACTGCATTGTTTTCACCATCGGAACAAGAGAGACGAGCACGACAATTGACTGGCCTGACCTGGAATGAACCTGGGCGTTGGGGCGGGTGGATTTTTTTTATTATTATTATTATTATTTTTCCCTCCTTGGTTCGATCTGTTCAATCGAGAGAAGCAAAGTAGGACCCCGGACCCGGGACCCGGAATACACCCCAACTCCTCCTCATAACACAAAACCCAACAGCATCATCTACGCCGAACCACTTCAGACAACCACTCCTGCCCTGTCCACGTCTACCAGCTCTGGCAGAAGGCAGTCTGTCTGTCTACCTGTCTGCCTCTCTATCTATCTATCTATCTATCTATCCATCTGGAGTGTTCTGGGATTGTACATCTCGACGACTGTACGACATCAGTACTTGTAGTCGTGTTACACCATTCACCACCATCCCCTACTCAACTTATTCGACTCTCTCGGCCACCTCACTTTCCTGCTCGGTCCATTTATCTATCTATCCTTTCCGTTTGGTACACGCCCTCTGACCCATCATCACTTGTCCTCTCTGTCCATCTCGTTCGAGAAGACCAATTAGCGATTATATGGTAAAGGGCCAATCCATCCATCTACGTCAATTAATTATCACCCTCCTGCCCATTACCCGTCGACGACTGAGGATTGGGCGCCGGACCACATATATTGTTACACGCCGAGGTCTTCCTGAGCTGTTGCGTCTCCTCCTCTCCAACTAGCCAAGTTCCGCGGCAGTGTCACCCTCCGTCACCATGGATCAACGACAGCAGCAGCAGCAGCGTCGCTCAAACGTGCCCTCTGAGAGGAATACAATCTCAAGGCCACAAATGTTTATGCATCTCGAGTTTGGCCTTTCGTGGTCCCAGCGGCACGCGCCTCAAAAGCACACAATCACATATACATCAAGAAACCTCAGAGATTCGAGGTCTCGAAGTAGCTTTCCTCGCCAGTTGCCTCCGCCAAATGCAAATTTCCTGGGCCCCGACGCCTCTACCTACCAACCTCGACCAAGGGCTTCTCCAGATCGTTCTGTCCACCATTATCAACAACACCAGCAACAGCAACAACTACAACATCATCAACAACAGCGACGACGCAATTATCAGCAGGAACAGCAGGAGCAGGAGCAGGAGCAGCGACTACAACAGCAACAACAACAACAACAACAACATATCCGTGAACACCATCGTCGCCAGTCGAGGGGTTATGATCCGTCGATACAGTTTGCACACCGACCACGGGAAGTGGATGATGCTTGCGGATACGCTCAAGACCACGAGCGAAGGCGGTCCAGGAGCGAGTCTCGAGGTCTATCACACGACCGAGGACATTCCGCCCCACCCCCCTTCCACGACAGCCCCTGGGACGACGCACCAGGACTGTCGGCATCGCTGTTCCCCCCTGCCCAGCCAGCGGCGGCAGTAGCAACAGCAGCATCCGGCAATGATCAGGAGGCGCTGGAGAGCGTGTCGAAACCGCTGCCGGCGACGCCGAGTCACTTCCGTCTTGGCGAGGACGGGCTCCCTTGGTCGGCGGATGCCTGGCCGGCAGACACGGAGCAACACGGCTCCCAAGAGCAGTCCTCATATACGAATCAGCCACCAACGGTAGGCATCGCATCCGGATCACGCGATGACCCGCAGAGAGTCAAGGAGCTCGAGACGCTCTCGGCTGCCATGGTCACAGTCGATAACGGGTTTGAGAACCAATGGTGGTACCAGGGCCCCAGGGAGACAACGGCTTGGTGGCCGAGGGATCAGGAAGAGCCCTCTCGACTCAGCTTGGCCGATGATCTACTGTTCTCTGCTACCACTGAGCCGGCAGACCGTGGCTTTGGTGACGACTGGTACGGCCCATTGTCATACAATGAGGAGTCCCCCTTGTTTGATGGAATTGTTTCGCCCGTTTCAACTGCTAGCCCAGCCAGGCCGCTTCAACGCTCAATGACGACAAGATCCGAAGAGCTTTTCATCATGAGCGACAGTCGATAGAGACGACGACGATGACGTCGACGAAAGCGACAACAACAAGAACAACAACATGGTGCGTACCGAATGTGAAGTTGGCTGAAGGGAGGAAAAGAGTTTGATGAGAAGGGGTGGGGGCCTGGTGCAAAAAAAGAAAAAGAAAATTAAATCCAAAATCTCCAAAGAAATGACTGGTCTTCTCAAATTGCGAGCCGTGTAATTAGTCTCGAAAAACAAACGATTGGGCAGTCCAAAGGTTTGCTGCAGCGGATCGAATCCCATATCAACCACTTTACTTAGCCTGCTGCACGACGGATGGGTGTATTGGTATAAGTCGGACGTCCCTTGATCTCGTTGACCAACCGCCGAGTAATTCCAGGAAAAAAAAACTACTAAAAAACTGAAGCCATTTCCAAAACTTAGCCCATATCCTACCTCAAAATTTTCTGTCATGGTTTTGTATCCACCAACTGTCCTCCGGCGATTTGCTTCTCCGTAAGATCTTGATATACTTCCATAGGGTAAAACTCGATTAATACGTCAGGCGAGACGGGTATATTATAGAATATATATATGTTTATCTATTTATATTTATTTGTAAAACCGTGCTTATAACGAGTAAAAGTGGCTATAATCGGAGCATGGCACTATTCGGCACTTAGCATCTGGTTGTCCACATTAGTGATATCACAAATATCCTATTTTTCTTTTTGTGCCGTAATGGCTGGCAAGTACCAAACCAGGTAATATGTTATTTCAAATAGCCATTGATATTCGTGTACGTCGTCTCGGCATGTCAAAAGAACTATAGCCCCTCTCCTCTGACCCCTTCCTTTGTATATATACAGCTAAGAATTTCTTCTTCGCGCGGCAGACCTCCTTATCTAATTCTGAGCAAATGGCCACGCCAATCCCAGCCATGTGTGTGTATATGTATAAACCGTCCCCCCCCCCCCCCGGCGGCCCGAGTAGCCGGTTACTCATCGAGAAGCACAGTATTGATCTTGGCCTCGTATTGAAACGAACAACACGGATCCAGCCGGGTATCCGCACGGACGAACGTGTCCCTTCGCCCCCTCCCTTGAAAAGCAGCCGTATGTATTTGAAAAAAAAAAAAAAAATTCTTGACGCCGCTTGTATGCATTAGCCTTCCCCCTTGCCCTGTTGTCGGCGGCCCAACACGGGCAGTTCTATACCTGTCACGGGCGTCTGGATCAAACCCATCCCCAATGTCGACAGACAACAGACAGTGTAGATGTAGATGTCGTTAGGCCTATGGGATGAACCGGATAGCCCAATGGAGAAATAGCAAACGCTGTGGTATCTCAAAATCCAGGTAAAGGAGAATCGGGAGGGAAAAAAAACCAAAAAATTTACGCTCATCCCAATCAAAGAAGAATGAAGACCCAACTCCAATCCCACAAACTCCCAACAGCATCAGAAGGCACGCAGAGCGTCGCAACTGACGTGCGTATGACGCAAGACTAACACGGAGGCGCTTTGCGTAGGATGTATCGCACCTCCTTTCAAGCACTGGCCTCGCGTTCCTCCCGGATTGATGCCATTTGACCTCCGTCGGCACCACCCTCCAGAAGTGGCTGGCTCAAAGGCGGCTTGGAGGGCCCCTTTGCTGCTGTCGGCGTAGTGCCCGCGCTGGTGGTAGGCCCGGCGCCCGAGCTCAGTGACCGGTTGGCGGTGCCTGCCGAGTCCGTCTCGGACGGCTGCTCGCTCATCTCGCCCGCCGAAACTTCCCTCGTGAGGGGAGACGCATGCACCGGCGAAGCAGACTTCTTGCTCGCCGCATCGTTGCCACCACGCGATGAATTCCGCGGAGAGACCCTGCCTGTCTGTATACACGATGTCTCGTCAGCACCATAATCTTGCCACAACCCCAGCCAACGAATCCGGTCTGCCTACTTACCTGCTTAGCCCACCTAAGACCGCAGCTGTTGCACAAGTCCCTTTGACCACTAGGTCCTCGTCGCCATTCCGGCGTGTTGCGAGTATGACAGTTGGCGCAGTCGCGTACAACATTGCCGACTCCTTTCCTGCGCTTACGCTTCTTCTTATTTGAGAGCAGACCGTGAAGCTCCTCTGCTAGGACACGGTTGACCTTTTCCATCTGTCGCAACTCGTACTGCCAACTCGTACACCGTGTGGTCTTGAGTTCGTCGAAAATATTGTCGTCAGAGGCGAGGGCGACATCTTGCGTTCCCGGAGGCACGTCGCCCCCTCCAGCCGCCGACACGAGGCCGCCGCCTGGTTGGGGGCTCGTGATTGCCGCGGTGGGCTGATTGATCGACGAATTAGGATCGTTCAAGGCAGAGCCAGAGCCAGGTTTGCTCAGCGGCCCAGTGTTTTGGCCGCTCGAGCGCGACGAAGCCTTGAGCAATTTGGTCTGAGCCAGCAGAAAGGTTGGCTTCTGGCCCTCGGAGGCATCGCCGGGATAGAGCGTTGTATGCGCCTGGAGCACCTGACCTCGCCGGTTTTGAACTTCATGTTTACACGTGACGGTTCTTCCGCGTCTAGCCTTTTCTATTGTACGGCCAAACTCGGGGCGCGACTCTCGGCGCATCAGTTCTTGTATGCTGGTGCCCACTAGATGATCCGGCTGCAAGTCAAGTAGTGACCGAACATTGGATGACACAAATAGGAACATGCCCGACGTGGAAAGCTTGGTCCACAGCTCGCTATCCCCAATGCCGCCATGCGCCTCGAGGTCGCGGCGTTGCAGTGCAAAGACGGGGCGCTTTCGTCCTATCAGAATAATGCATTTGCGCCCCTTGCCGGCCTCGACAAAGAGCGAGCCATGGCTCTCGAACCAAGTATATCCGCTCTGCTTCCGCCTAATTCGAAAGACAATGTTGACAGTGTTGCCCGTCGTGGTGTCTTTGAGCTCGCGCGTAACAGGTACAATATCAGACGGGTGGCAAATGGTCGAAATGGAGCTGCCGACGAGTTCGGTCGAGTCATATTCAAGTAACCGCTTGCACGAGGGCGAGAGGTATAGGAACAGCCCCTTCAGAGACAAGACGTGGACAACGTCGTCGGCATTCTCCAGCAACATCTTGTCCCAAGATTGCCGATGCCAGTCCGATGCGGCACCCTTGGGATTGAACTGTTGTAGGAGAGTCGAGACGTCGTCGACGCCAAGTGTTTGCCCCGTCTCTGGCTCCCACTGCGAAGATGCAGGCGGCGTCCATATGTACTGACCAATGTCGCTGTGCTTGTAGCTTACCTGCATGGAGCCAGCTTCCTGAGCCGACGATATGGCATCTGGGCATTCCACCAGATCAATCTGAAATCCCACAATGTAGCGTATTTCAGACGTGTCCCAAGGAATCGGGATCATGGTCAGGAGGTTGAGGAACGGTTTGCCGCCCTTTCTATAGTTAATCAGGCTTTGCTGGACCTCCTTGCCCTCGGCAATTTTTCGCTTTAAGTTATATACTGCGCCATTGTCAACGAACTCGCGTTTGGTCCCGGCTTCGACCTTTGAATCCGGGGCCTGGAGAAAGCGGCAGTTCTGGCCGATGATCTCGTGGCGGCTGTAACCAGTCAAGTTCTGAAAGTTGTCCGAGACATAGATGATGGGGCAGTCGTTCATGGTTACGTCGCACACAACGAATGCGCACGACATGTCCACGGCGCCCAGATTCACCTGGGGGGTTTTCCGAGTGGCCACGAGCCACAGTGCCTTGAGCATATCGAAGCCGCTCTTGGAATAGATTGTCTTCTGCTCGAGGGGTTGGGGCGGCGGGCTGCCCACTGCATCCGGTGCCGGCTGAAACTGGCTTTGGGGGATGTCGACTGTCCCGGCGGCCCCGGACATTGCCGGCAAGGGTGATTGGTAGTTGGAATAACTCGGCGTGGCCGCTGCCGTGCTGGGCAAGGAGGACAGCCGGGCTTGTGAATGTGGAGATATGTTGGTTGGAAAATTGCCCGACGGACTATCGAGACTGGATACAGGCTGGGATTGGTCCTGCTGTGGAGTGAGCATGTAGGATTGAGTGGTGTTCAGCAGCAGTGCGTCGGAGCCATCGACAGACATGCCGCCAGTATTGGCCCGTTTGGCGACGGGACCGGACTGCCCGGTCTCGTTGCTGCTGCCGCCGCCCATGTCCATGGACAGACCGGATGACATTGGGTCGATGGAGGACTGCGAGTAAGCAGAAGGTATGCCAGTTGAGAACATGTTCATGGTGGTGGGGTCGACAAGCTGGCCCATGTTCATATTTTGAAGGGCGATCATATTGCCTAACATGTCAGAAGTGGCGCCAGAGAAGTCGGGGGCCAGCATGCCCTGAGGAGAGAAATTGCCAGATGTGCCAGGCATGGTCATGTTGTGGTTCATGTTGGGGAAGGTACCAGGCATGGAGACCATGGGAGAGCCCATGACGCCAAACTGGTACTCAGGCACAGGGCCGTTGTTGAACTCCATCATGGACAGGCGACGGTCGGCATCAGAGGGGGAGATGGCACCCGGGTACGGCTGCTGTGGGAGGCTGCGACGCCTGTGCAGTTCGTGATGGTTGTTTCGAATGATGTCGTCTAGGCTGTCGGCGCCGACGATGGGACCGTCCTGGTCGACGGAGATGGAATGAGCAAGCTGAGGCGGCTGGTTCATCCCGGAGTTGGTGGCGCGTCTCTGATTGCGCTGCTGAACGTGGCGACGCTGCAACTCGTCCCGGGAGAGCTGGAAACCAGGAAAGTTATCCATTGCGACTACATCTGTCTGGGTCGTGTCTATACAAAAGGCTTAAGCTGGGAGGAGCTGTCATGGGAACCATGCGCTGGCTGACTCGGACACGGATGACGACTTCGGAGGGTTCAGATGCCGCGATGTTGGCACTTCCGCCGACTCGGGTTACTCGCTGGGTTGATGATAGGGCTGCAAGATCGGGATTGGGCGTGAGTTTCCGTCGCTCGGCTCAGATCAGGGTGGAATTGCAGTTTGGCAGGCCAGCAAAAAGAAGAAGAAAAGAAATGGTGACGCAGAAGAAAAAAAAGAAGATCAACTGTGTGGTCGTTGGGACGAGCGGATCATGAATATACCGCGCGCGCACCCCAGCCGGGAAGAGTTCGGCGACCAAGCAGTCTGTTCTCTCGTATACGGGAGGAGAAATGAGTGATGAAGAGGAAGGGAGAAAAAAGATTATTCCCAGTTGGACGACAAGAGCTCGAAACTAAACTTAGCACAAGTTCCAAGTTGTGCCGGGTCATGCGTTAAACGTCTACCGTATGGGAAGTGTGGGAAAAAAAAAAGTCGTGCCAACGAGATGCCTGATGTGAGGCGCGGGGCGTTGAGCAGCGGCAGGAGGAAACAGAGGAACGTCGGTACTTTCTCGATGGTTTCAGTATATTCCTGGCGCGATCGGGGCGTCGTGGAAGTGTGTCAAATGGCAGAAGATAGAAAGCAGGTAGAAGGAGAGAGGAACTTTACCTACCTCGTGGCTCGGCGAATGTCGAGAATCAAACGAAACGGCGGGCGGCGGGGCGGTTGTGGCGTATCGATCGTTGTACCCATCGGGAATATTGCTGGAGGCGTTCGTACCTAATATATGTAAATAGGTGGGTTAGGTACCTACGAATATGCAAGCAATATAGCAAGCAAAGTAATATATATAATAATAATAAGCAAAAATAGCAGTTTATTAATTCTTTTTTTTATCTTAAATATTATTATTTCTTTTTTTATTACCCGCTTTATTTTGCAATTTGCATTAGTTATAATTAGAATTTTGTTTTTTTATTGCGCAAGAGTTTTTTAATTGGCTCTTAATTGGTGAAATATATTCTCTGGTATCACATATCCATCCCTCGTCCCTGTCATTGAACTCTTGATCTATGGCTGCTGTAACCGCCTATGGCCACAGGTGTAATCGCTTTTATTTCTCGCCTCTTCCTTCAGTCAATCCAAGGTTCTGTCAACAAGATTGGTCCATTTTGCACCAGACAATGCAGAGGTTTTGGCTCCCCTCACATCTCTTCAAGCAGCGGCATTATCCCGTCCACCTACAAACCCAGCATCTATTGTTTCTTGAAAGAGCGCGCCGAAAAATGCCCGTCACTTATGAGAAATATCGAAGAATCGTCTGCTGCGCCTCGGGCGAGAACTGCTGCAGTAGAGATTGGGCATTGACACCCGACGATTGCATCAAAGCCTTGGTGCCTTGGACCACTTTTTGTGCGACTTCGCCCGTGCCCAGCATGTCAGCCTCGAGAGCTTGAGCAACGTAGACAAAAACCTTGTCTGCTTGGCTGACCACAGCCGGATGTTGCCTGCAAACAGACGTGTTAGAAAATTGATAATGAAGCATGATGTTGTTGTTGTTGTTGTTGGGTTGGGGGGGGGGGGGGGGGGGGACGGCTACTTACTGATCAATCAAGGTTGCAAGGTATCCGTATGCAAAGGGGGCCGCCTCTTCATCGTTGGTGACGGGCAGTGTGTTGACCCATTGAGCAATAACATTTTGCGGGTCTTGTACGCTTGCGTTGTTGAAGTGGAGAATCTTCGCAATAGCCGCGCAGGCATTCTCGGTGGCATACACGGCGTCATCGCCCCGTGCATCGGGGACTTGGGTAACCTGGAACAGGTAGGGAATGGAGCCGTTGAGGAATTGAGACCATGGAGCACCACCGCGGTGAGCGGCGACACCAATGCCATATGCTGCAGCCTGGCGGATAGCTGCTGACTGGTCCTTGCAGCCGTCGATAAGAGGCTTTTGAATGTAGTTGACATAATGGATGCTCTCGGGTCCGCAATACTCGAGAACGTCATCCATGATGCACAGGCCCCATTGGCGCTGCGTTGGATCTGACGAGTTCAAGAAACTCTCATATGTGCCTACGAGCCTCTCCCAGGATCGAAGGAATGCGGCTCCGTGGTTCTTGAAGATGGCGTGGAACGCCTTGTTCATATCCGAGAGCAGGGTCTGATCGTCCTCAATGGCCAGTAGCAGTTCCTCGGCTTCGTCTTCGGCATCTTCTGCCGTGGTACCTTCCCTATCTTGCTCGCGCTGAGCTACACGATCCTTGTAATCCTCGATAGCAGACAGCACACCGTCAATGAACTTTTCCATGTGCTGCTGAGACATGCAATCCTTGCCGACAACCTCTACAGACTCGTAAAAGCACTGATACATCTCCGCGAGTGCGTCAATGGCCGGCTCTGCCGTCAGCACCTCCAGAAGCTTGTCAACAGTGCCTAGCCAGAGCTCACGCAGCTCATTGGATGTTGGGCCAAAAGCCTTCTTGTAGGAGCTAAGCAACTGGGGTACCAATTTTGCTGAGATGAACCGAACCGGATCGTGGAAGAAGAAGGCCAGACCGGGCAGGGCGATCCTCTCCATGGTGTCCTTGACGTAGGGAGCAAATGCTTGCTCGAGTGTCTGGGCATAGACAACGAGCAGCTCAATAGCCATATGTTTGTCGTCCATGGTGCTCGTTTTAATGCCAATCATCTTGCCCTTGAGAGGCACAAGCTCCCAGCCGTCTTCTTGCTGGATCTGCTCCACTTGTTCGTCATCGTCGAGCAGTTGGATGTCGGCCTTGGCACTGGCGAGCTCGACCAGAGGTGGCATGACATTGGGCAAGAACGGCAGAAAGTCGGAGCCCATGACTCGGCACATGCGACCCCAGCAGTGCATGAGGTACTGACTTTGCGGGTCATCGGGATCAGTGATGCTGGCCTGAATCGAAGCCAGCAGCTGCACAAGATTCATAGCATCGTTGCCAAGCCTCTCTTTGCCAACGGCCAGGGCAATTAGAGTGGCGCACTCCATGGCCTTGGCGCGGAGCAGGCGAAACTCCTTGTCGTTTTCCCTCTGCAAGACGCCCATTAACAGAGGCATCAAAGTGTCATAGTACTTTGAAAAGGCAGCTTCGGCAGCATCTGCGATTGTAGCAATAGTGGATAAAGCCTGCTCCTGCACAAAGAGTTTATCATTCTGGAGGAGTTGGAAGAGGTAGGAAAGCAACTCGTCCAAGTAAGGCACAAGGATATTTTTTTCAGCCTCCTCGCAGAAATTGACCAATGCGGCGGCAGCATGAGCCTTGACGCGAGGCTCTGGCGACGTGAGGACAGGAATAATGGCCTTGAGGACAGTATCATAGTGCTCCTTTTGCATGGTTGGGGCAAAGTCGGTACTCATTTGACCGAGTGCCTGGCAGCCTGCCCATCGTACCCGAGGGTGTGCGTCCTTGAGGGCTGGGACTACAAGGTTGAGGACCTGGCTGAGCTCGTTCACCATCAGATCGCGGCAGCCCTCGGAGATGGCAGAGATGGCCATGAGGGCAGCGTGTCGGTCCTTCCAAGCCATCGAGGTCATCATCCTGGGGAGCCAGTTGAATGTGGGTGCCAGAATGGTCTCGCCACCTAGTTTGTTTGCCAATCGATCCATGCACTGCTCTCCAGCAACATGGTTGAAGTCGCTCTCTTCCGAGTCGGGCTGTCATGCTGTTAGCACAATCTCTGGGCTAACCCAGGGTAAACCAGACCGATATGGGTTAAGGGGGGGGGCCGTGAGGGTAGTGTCTCTTACGTCTTCCGATGCTAGCCATTCGGCAGCGTCATCATCATCCTCGCCGAGGTCCGTCATGAGGCTCAAGCATTGTGTAATCATGTCGTTGGTATAAGATGGGTCTTTACGGCACATGGAGGGCGCATAGTCGGCAAAAGTTGCCATGAGTTCGAGAGCATTCTGGCGACAGATGTCCGACAAGTCCTTGTCTTGTATCACACCGACGCTAAACATAACAAGATTGTGGAAAAGTGGCTTGAACATCTTTGGGCAGGTTTCGGCCAAGTCAATCAATGCAATTAGTGCCTTGCTGAGGTCATCCGAATCATGTGTGTCCTTGATAGGCGGAAGAATGTTGAGTACGTCTGGCAGCAGACCGAAGTATTTTGGCTGGGCCTTCTTGGTGAGGTTGCGAAAGAAGGAAGCGAAGGCCTCCATGGCAGCGAGCCGCACCTAGAGGGGGGAAACAAACAAGTGTAAGTTGAGGCACTTCGCGGGTAGCAATCTTTACCGAGGGGAGCAAGTCGAAGCCACTTACACCGACAGCCTCATCCTTGAAGCCTCTACTGAATGCCTCTAAGACAGCACCCTCGTGCTGCTTTTCTATGATGCCCGGGGTGGTGGTAAAGACACGGTAGGCTGTCTCGCGCTTGCCAGCGTCGGGGGCAACGCTGAGGTTGAAGAGCACACCGAGGATCTCAGGCCATGTATCGTCTGAGTGGAGGAGGAAAAGGTCAGTGTCAGGTGACTCCAGGGGCAAGAGAGGGTGTGTGAAACTAAGAGGGCAGAGACGACTGACTGTTCTCTGAGTATTGCCTAGCAATGTCGGCAACGGCGTCACTGATCTTGTTGCGCACGGTACGGTCTGTCTCATTGGCCAAGGACTCGAGAAGTTTCTGGCGCACAGCGCTGGCCTGATCGGGGTTTAAGGAGATGAAGATCTCAACCGTGTCGCCCTTATCGTTCTTGCGGCTCTTGGAGGATATCCGGCGAAAGATGACAGCAGCGAAGGAGCGTAGCTATGTGTTCGTTAGTCAAGGTGTAATAAGCAGGGCAGCACGAGGCAAAGGTTGCTCGCTAGCACATTTGGCAGGCTCTGAACGGAGAATGAGGGGGGGAGCAAAGTATACACACCGAAGCATCTGGCGAAGCGGCGAGCTGCTCAGCCAGGCCCATCAACAACTGCTCAGGGCGAGTGGCAGTCCAGTTGTTGGCAAGGTGATCTTCCGCCTGGGAGCGGATATTGTTATCGGGCGACTGCAATGCCTGCAGGAGCTGGTTCAGCTCGGCATGAACGGCGGGCGGCAGCAGCGACATGTTGGCGGCGACGAAATGCACAGTCGCGATCGATGTCGTGCCAAGCCTAAGCCTCTGGTCGGCCGAAGAAGGGTTTTGTTTCGTTGAGAGGGGGGTCGGTTTGGGTTGTTCGTCTATTGAGGATTGTGATGTAGGGCACCGCTGTACCTTATTCTGGCGGCACTCAGAGCCAAGGTCAGGTAGAGAGAGGCAGTGGGGTGGATGCTGCGTGAGTGGTCGACAGGTGGTGAGGGGTGGGGGCCCTGGGAAAAAAAAAATCACCCAGTTCAAACGGGGAGTTCGTGAGCTTCTGGCGTAGGTGATTAAATGAGGGGATGAAAGTTTTTGCGTCGCGTCAACAAGAGAGGACGAAAGGAAGTCAGTCAGTCTAACCAGACGCTGAAAATAAAAAAGGCGTCCGCGGTACGTGAGAGGAGAAAAAAAAAATCAGAGAGCGGGCCTGTGCTGGAGGAAATTCGCGGGCAGAGAGACGAAGAGAGGAACGTACAAGAGTGAAAAGAATAAAAGGCTGATGGAGGGGGATGTTTATCTCGCGTGGCAGCGCGTCTCTACAGGTATCAATGTACATACATACTGCCTGCCCAGCCAACTCTTAGGCACGTAGAGTGGTAATCTGGCTGGACACTGCATCATGTATGTTCAGTCTTGTTTGGTTTGTTATATTCCCCAAGTACGTAGCAACGACACGCATACTACCTCGCAACATTGAAGTATGAAGCGATTGCTGCTGTCTGTTGCCAATTGAGATCTCCAGGTGGGGCAGAGAGTTCTTGATCATGATAAACAATTTGATGTACTTGATGCCTTCAACTGACCTGCCCATTTTTTTTGTCGGTTCTTTCTCCCTTCTTTGCGCGACTGGTATTGAGACTAAATGACGTGTAAATCCTTCTTCTATTCAAAATAAAATAGCATAAAATTTATAATATTCAAAACTAGACCTCACCTTCCTTTTACTGTAATCATGATTGACAAAAGCGAGACATCATAATTTAGAATAATCGTCTGCTTTGCCCAGATAACCATTCGTACTGAATCCCAGGAGACTGCGCTCTTCGCCTCTTATTGAGACACGAAAATTACTATTATTATTATAGAATTTGATACTTGAATCACACACAAATGTACTAGGTTCAGATCAACCTTGGTTGGGACCATCTTCTATCCCGATGCTTTACAGCAGAAACTCGCTCTTTTTATCCTACAAACGTTTGCTCATGAGGAAAAATCTACGCACGAAGGGCCGCCCTCTACAAGTATTTTGTACCTGCCCCTCCATCAATTTGTGGCTGTGCCCCTCCACACAATACCTAGGTTAGACATCCATTCCAGGCCGAGTCACTTCGACAAAATGTACATTACTCTGTACATACGTACTGCGCATATCTTGTGGGAGGGAAACGTTGGTACCTACATTGCTGGTACGCACTAAATATAAAAAAGAAAAGAGGAGTCACTCGAGCGCCATATGCATCTACGTAATGAACTTATTCCGCAAAGCATGGGGGAAAAGAGTGGTGTGGATGGGTGTGAGCTATGACGCCGAAGCTTGGGAACGCAATGGGAGGAGAGGGGGATAACTCTAAATCGTAAACTCACCTGGGGAAGGCTGGACACTTGTGACCTCTTTCAATTTGTCCTACTGCATAAACAAACAACCGCACGCATTTACGGCACACATCTGATTTGATACGCATCCAGTTGAATGATCGCCTAAGTAACAACTCTGAGCTGTGACGTCCATCGCTTGCACCATCCTTGTTGCCTTCTCCAAGCTTTTACTGATCCAAGCTCCGACTTGAGAGCCACCACGGACCGTCTTTGGCTCGCTCCCGGCGTTCTGGGTCTCTGGACTGCGAATATCCTCATTTGCCCCAGGCTTTGTTGCGTACGAGTGCCGCGCTGTCAGTCCTCGAGTATCTCCATTCAGTGAAACCGGCGTGCCCTTCCGTTATCACTTTTGGCAAACGGCACCCCAGCGCAGCACACCCTAGTGAGATCTCCAAGTCGACAGCAGACACATTGTATCCAACGCCCCTTTGTGCTTTAGTGCCTGACCTACGTCAGCTACCAGTAACCTGTGTCTGTAACTGCATTCGTCTGTCTGGCTATCAATACATCTACCTATCCATATATTTTGCCCGACACGGCGTGGGCAGACCTGCATTTGCTGTCATGGACGAGTCTACGGGCTCAGCGGGCTCGGCAATCGACACCTCCAAGGACGCTCCCGTCCCGTCGCCCGCCCCTCCTTCCAGGTCCAACTCGTCGTCGAGCCTACACAGGATTCCAAGTCACCGCCAGAGTTTTGCCGAAAACTTGCGAGGGATGCCACCGTCGCCGCGCAGCCAGCGCCATCCATCCTTTACACAGGCCGCGATTCAGGATCTGCTCAATCATCCACCAACCACAAGGCCACAGAATCCGCGCTTTGCCGGAAGAGACTGGCGCCATGTTCACATCGGCGAGCTCATCTCCCGCGACGACGTCAAGTGGGTGGATATGGACACGAGTGTCGAGGACGCTTCCATGGTTTGTCTCATGTCCCTCATGCGGTGCAATGACTTTGGTGGCATGATGCACTCACTAACTGCAACACTGCAGGTCCTCCTCAAGAGCGCCAGCAACAACGTAGTTCTCATTCGGGAGCATGGCTCGGATGGTACTGTTGTCTCTACCTTCGATCATAATGATCTGAATGCATACCTACTCGTGGTTGTAGGGCTAGCCCATCCGACTGACGACTTAGTGGCTTTGTATGATTCGATTGCCAAGAAGGCCCAGGCAAATGAGAGTATCCCACTAAGGGATATCCAGGTATGTAATTTTTACATAGAGATCGGACATGGTGCTCGATCTCTCTCCCGTTTGATCGTCGCCCTGCAAGGTAGTCTTTACCTAGGCGGCCGTTGAGAGCAACATTGCTAACCCCATCCCTCGGCGGGGGAGGGAAAAAAAGCCCATCTGTCGCAAAGAAGCATTGGTCATCCTACCAGCGAATGAAGACCTCGCAAAGGCTATCGAGGTGTTCGGCAGCGGTATTCATCGAGTCCTAGTGACCAACGCTGGTGGCGACGTCGTCGGCGTCCTCAGCCAGCTTAGGCTCGTGGAGTTCTTCTGGAACGAGGGTGTCAACTTCAGGGTCATAGACGACCTCTACCCTCGACTTATGCGAGATCTTGGTATCGGATCCCAACAAGTTATCGCTGTTAGGTAATTGTTTTTTTATGTCAATCTGAATCGTCGCCATTGCTAAGTGTCCTGTCAGTGCCGAGAGTCCCTTGGCCGATGCGCTCAGTCTCATGAGCGAGGAGGGCTTGTCGAGCCTTGCAGTTATTGATAGCAACAGAAATGTTGTCGGTAACATTTCGACCGTCGACGTCCGTCTTCTCACCAACGCTGCCAGTCTGCCTCTCTTGCAGAACACGTGTATGCATTTTATATCAGTCATCTTGAATGAACGGGGCGTGGAAAAGGGAAAGGACTCCTTTCCTGTATTTCACGTCAACCCGCACTCTTCCCTTGCCCATACCGGTAAGTGGTTCCCTTCCCGTCCCCTGGTACACCATGAATGTGATGATATAACACAGCGATTGTGATTTTTCAGTTGCGAAGTTGGTGGCGACAAGAAGCCATCGCATGTGGGTAGTCGAGTCTGCTTCACCTTCACCATCAGCGCCAGCAACGCCGTTGCTTGGGCCAACAGTATTAGTTCCCAACTCCACGTCAAGCTCCCAGTCCCCATTGGCTACAGGTGCACATTTTCCAACAGTGCCAGCATCGAATATGGCGGGAGCACATCTTTCGGGCCGCTTAACGGGCGTTGTAACGTTGACGGATATTCTTAATTTGTTTGCAAGAACTTCAGGATTACACCCATCCGACCCCAGTGAGCAACGAGCCCGTAGGCGGCGAAGTTCTAGCAGCTCTCTCCGACCGTCATTAGATAGCTCGCGGTTAAGCTTAGATTTTAAACGATAAACCTTAAGTTGAAAATAAATAATAATGATTTTAAATTATTAATATTAGTTTTTAACACATTATAATGAAGGGGTTATATTATATTAAGCATTTTATAAGTTATAAAAAAGTATAATAAAAGCATATATTATTATTTATAAATTAGCCGTAAATTAATACTTTTATAGCAAAGCCTTAGCGTCGCGGGGCTTAATTATATGCTGAGTTATCGTATTAAGCTACGCTTAACACGCATCGTTAAAAAAGATATCGACGAATTTTTAGATTTTTATTAATCGATAAATATAATTTAACGGCTTTTTTAATTTAATAATTATTATTATTCGATAAATCGAATTCCACCGTATATAAAACTTTAATTAATAAGCAGGGTTAGCATTAAATTAATTAAATTAACTCAAATTTAATCAAATTGATTTATTAATTAAATTAACTCAAATTAAATTAAATTAAATTATTAATTAAATTAAATTGAATTAAATTAAATTATTAATTAAAATTAATTAAGTAATTAAAAATGCTAACTTAAATTTAATTTATTTAATTAATAAGTAAATTTAAATTTAAATTAATTATATTAAGTTAATAACTCAATTAATTTATTAACTTAAAAATTATGAATTTTAATTAATAATTTAATAATTAGAATAATATAAACCCATATTTACATATAAGAAAAATTAATAAATATAATATTAATTTTCTTTTTATTTTGCCGGTTTTTTAATTTTTAAAAAATTAATTTTCATTTGATTATTTTATTAAACTTTAAAATTTATTTTAAAGTTAAGTAAAAGTTATAAAATAAAAGTAATAAATGCATTATTATTCCGCTTTTTAATGTAAATTAATAACGCTTTAAGCTTAATTTATTCATTTATTTTATAATTAAAATTAATTAATTTAATTAACACCTTAAATAAAACGCAACTTAATTAAATTAATTAAACTCAAACTTAAAACTTAAATTAATTTTACTTACTTTATTAATAAGCAATTAATTAAAAAGTTAATAATGAATTTATTTCATAAAATAATTTATTATTTAGAATTTTCGTTTTATTATAAATCGAATTTAATAAATTATCGGCTTTAGCTTTTAAAAATCCCTTTAATAAAAGCTTATATATTTCGTAGTTATATTTTATTAAAATAATAATTTATCGAATACGATTAATTAAACCTATTATAAAATATTAATATTAAAAGTTATTTATAAAAATTAATAAAAAACTTATAATATGCGTATTTTCACGAAAATGATCCTTGAATGCGTAATCTTTGGATGATATTTGTGTCGCGCGCCCAGATAATATGCGTGCTGCTTTTAAATCTACCAGGGCATGGTTTCAGCAAGCGCTTCCCTCGCAGGCTCCCCTGTATGTTGGCCCTCAAGCGACCTGGTCAGCTAAGCCTACCTACCAACTAACCTTACATAGGTACTTTACTGTAGTCAACCAACCGTACCTACGTTTAAGGCCCTCTCGTCCTACCGTCGTTTCGATTCACCTTTGTTCTCTCAGCATTCCCCCAAAGCTACCACTTTTCAAATGCGCGCTGATCGTCGTAAACCACGGCACCTTAGCCGCAGCACCCCGCTGGCGATGGTGGTCCGCAGTGAAGATGATTCATCTGACACTGATACATGCGAACCACCAAGTCCAAAAGACACAGAAGTGGAAGCTGTCGATAGCCTATTCAAAACACTGTGGGACAACGTTGAAAACCATCGAAAGGCCGGCATAATCAGAAGGTCGTATAGCCGTAAAACAGAGGCTTTGTTGGAGCGTCAAAAAGGGAAGTGGCAAGAGTAAGTCTCTATAAATACCTTGCGTAGATATAGCAACTAATAGTACTAGGTTCTGCCTTGCACTCAAAGTTGACCCGCATCAGCAGCTCCACAAGGCGGATGCATCTGTTTTCAAAGCCTTCCTTGAATGGAGAGTTGAGAAAGGACGGATTTTGAAAGTCTCTGCAATCCAAAACTACTGGAAGGCACTCAGTTCTATTTATGCCGCGACAACACAAAACTGGCTCGGGGAGTCTATTCTGGCGGACGTAGGCGGTGTAAGTAGTCTATTCCAGCACTCTCGCTCTTCGCTAACATAGTAGTTCATCCATGAGGTGCTGAAGCCAAGGTACAATCTAAGTGAAGAGCAGAAGGCGAAGGCTGGTCTTTACGTCGAGGATCTAGATATCCTGTTGAGCCATCACTGGCTCTCTGATACGGAAGTATTCCCACACGAACGCCTGCGCCTCCAGCTAGCCATCCTCCTCACAATTGCGGGAGCCACTTCTTCGCGACCAACGGCACTCTTGAGTTTGCGGTACCGTGATCTTGAGTTCGCTGTCTTTCCACCGACGAAAGGCCTTGGCCGGTCGCAGCTGACTCTCACCGTACGTCTCACCAACACTAAAAGACGAGGGTATAAGCAGCACGCGGTCAAGTTTGGTTTCCACGAACAGGAGAACCTTATCCATTGCCCCGTCTTGGGATTCCTGGCCCTGGCCCTGGCGGACGGTGCATTCCACACCCCCACCAGACTGGAGAAAATATATTCTCTTCAAGTCCCTGACCATCAAGATCGCGTCACGCTCTACTTCAAGCCGGAGATTGCAGACAGATATGTCTTTCAGCGCATGGATGGAGTGGAGGGGCCTCTCGAGTACAGCCAGGCTCGGTACGCCCTACAGCGGCTGGGCAACTCCTGTGGGTACCTAGACAAACTCATGTTTTATGACCTACGCCGTGCTTCTGGCAAGATGCTCAATGAAGCATACACGCCCGAGGAACGAAACCAGATCATGGGTCACACCGGCGGCACTTCTGCTGTCTACAGAAACTACTACATGCCAGAGTTCGTCGACAAGGATGTCCAATCCGTCTACTTCGGCGTGACGCCACGGGATAACGTGATTCGTGCGATTGGAAGAATCCGCCGAAATGCTCTCGCTCCAACGCGACTGACGCAGGACCAGCAGGACGAGGTGAAGCGAGATGCCAAGCTCAACGAAGCATATGCATCTCGTGACGAGGCCAAGCGTCTCGTGAAGCTGCGCTGCGGCACCGTGGCAAGCGCTAGGCAGAGGCAGGGCGAGCTCGATGACGACTTGAGGCTGCTGCTTCAAAAGTACGAGTCCGCAGCCAAGAAGGCCTTGAACCTTCGTACCAGCCTGAAGGGCCAAACTCTGCGCCAGTCGATGAGGGACTTCCACACGTTGGCAGACATCGATCTCGTCACTGGCTCGGCACAAAGCACCCAGCAGGAGGCCTCATCCTCACAACCTCAATATGAGCTGCAGGAGCGAGCTGGGATCGCCGAGGCTCTCCGAGACTCCATGCAACAGTACGAGGGTCGAGAGCTTGATCGGATTCGGATCCGACTCGTGGAAAACATGGCAAACCTTTGTCACATGAGAGAGACAAGCACACGTCATCGTGGCACCAAGCGAGCCGTCCATTGTCCAGAGTCGGACTCGGATTCGGAGCAGGATGTGAAAAGGCGCAAGGTCTCATCTGGGGCATCGAGCAGCCTACAGAGTGTCTTCCGCGTGAAGGCCAAGCCGGTCAACCTCTCCTGCCCATTCTGCCAACTCGACCCTTCTCTTGGCCCCGTGAGGAAGAACCACCAATATGCACGGATTGATAGTCTAGGCACACACATCTTCAAGCAGCATTTCAACGAGGCAGGCCTATATAGAGGCAGTGAAGGCGGTGGAGGCCCCGAGTTCTGTTGCCCCTATTCAGATTGTATGGAACTTCTTCTTGGGGCCGCAGACTTTGCCGGGCATGCGCATGTGGTGCACGGTCTGGCCTCATTCCAGAAATCAACGCTGCCCCAGGCTGCTACAGCTGGCTCTGTGATCCAAGCGCTGAATCAGGATTTTCATTTGTATACAGCTTGAACGGGCAGATTGTTTCTGCGTCCATTTTTTGCGTTGAATATGGTGCCAGCTGGACTAGGCAATCTTGCAGAATGAAACTACATGCTTTGTGCAAATATAAAATTGAATCAAATAGCCTCTGCCTTATCGATATTTTGCATTAGGTCTAGGACGAATAGGCAGGTTCTGAGCTGTGTAAATCAATGGTGGTCCAAGGTGCTTTTGACATAAATGCCAAAGCACAAACAGGGCGAACAGGACATAACTAGAATGTGAACTAGCAAACAAACTCCGTGGAATATAGCGCTTGGATTAGTGGATATTGATCGCGCGGCGTAGCGGGGTAGACTGCTGTACAGCATATCCGCAGTTGCCTAGAGGCCACGCTTCACTGCTACACGCTATAACTACGAAAGAGTTGAACTTTTTTGATGTATCAATCGTTACCAGCCCGTGCTGCTCATCAATCACAACGCCCGACCACAACAGACCTCGCCGGATACTATCGAGAAAAGGCATGACGACCGCTAGCTGGCCCTGGCCAGCATTCTCCGCACTGACGATACCACCACGGCGACGACCACGAGTTACCGCATACCCACGATATGACCTGCGAAATCCCACCGCACGCCAGGCCCAGAGCGACGAGTTGGGTATAAGACAAGCTCGACCGAGCTGATTGAGGCAATCAACTACCGAAATGACTGTCATGGTTTCCTGCGAGACAAGCCGAACCGGACGATACTGCATGGCGAGAAGAGCCAGTAGTTCACCCGCGGATGGACACTCCAAGGGTATCTTGTGCCCACGTCTGTTGGACTGGCAGCCGAGACTCTCTACAGAATGCGACCCATATGAATTCGATAGACCATGACAGGAAGACGTCGCAGGTATGCCCGGGATCTTCGATTTCAGCATACGGCGACAGCAAGGCGACAGCAACAGCCCGAGCACGGTACACCTCATTTGTATACGTGGTTCGAGGTAAGGAGAATCCCACAATGTTTGGACTTGCTATACTAAAGCTCATTGTTGGCCATACAGGCTTTCCCTTCAATGTTCACATAACTGTACATCGGGTACCTCTGACGCTGCGTCAATGGGCAGGCTCGGTCCAGACACCGTAAAGCACATAGGTACAAAGCTAGGCGCCGTCCTTTTACCCCATGTGGTAATGGGCGGCTAGATCCTTGCGCTACTGATACCCAGTACCTGGAAGACTATTACGGTTTTTGGATAACTGTATACTCAAAGAGGCAAGCAGGTGCCCTCCCTATACCTGTGTAAGTACAGTCGCTCCCCTGCCTTTGCGACATGCTCGAAGGCGCTCCCCACTCTTGCTTCTGCCGCCTCCACCGGGCATTTCCACTATGGACACAGCTGGAAGGACACCAATCGCTTGTCATGCTCTGGACAAAGAGCGCAAGCCTTTGGCCGGACTGCGTGTGATGTTGGAATGCTTTGGCGAGAATTTCTCCATCTACGAGGCATACACTTCTTTCGATGGTTCTATCGACACATGGTATCCAGTCACAGAACTGGAACTGAACCCCCTTATCCCCGTTGCTGTCACTTCTCATGGTCTTTCCACTTGTCGTGTTTCCTTTGCCACGGCCGACTTCCTCGGTGAAGACGGGGGTGCATGGCCCTCTGTCTATGTCGACGTGGCTCTGAAGGCAGATCATCAGCACTCTGTTACCCTTCTCTACGCTGCTGCTGGCTACGCCGTTGAGGTTGCAGCACATGCAATACAGTTCAGTCCGGCGCCGGAGTCAGACGAGTTGCTAGACCAACTCATCGTTGCCGACCCCCCGCAGGGTCTGCCCAGTCCAGGATCGTTGTTTCCCCCCTTTGCTGAACAGGAATTATCTATCGACCCAAGCATTATCGAGGCCCAGCCTCGAAGGAAAAGGGGTAGGCCACGAAAGCATCCTGTGAAGGTGGCGGATCCAGATGCCCCAAAAAGGAAGAGGGGGAGGCCAAGAAAAATTGTTCCTATGCACACCATGAAGAAAGAGTCGGAGGATCTGCAAGACGGATGTGACTTTTAGGTGTGCGTGTGACCCAGACGGTGTGCGTGCTGGTACATGCGCTCTCTAGGGTGATGCAAGAACTTTGTTGTTTTGTTGGAATTAATGCTATACCCATGCAATATATTGTCACACTCCACTGAATGTTTGGTACTTCTGAGTTCATGCTTCATGGCCGGCTTGTCCAGAACACCAGTGTACATATATGAGCTGCTGCCTAGACTGCCCAAAGGGCCAGTTTATCCCCCCCTTTATTCTTTCTGTCCCTCACCATGGCAGATCCAACCACTCCAGACGCGTTCCCGCTGTTTTCTCGCCTGCCTCCCGAAATTCGCCATGAAATTTGGCATTTGGCAGCAGAGGTCGGCGGTAACATTATTCACGTTACTATCACCAACGGTCAATTGCAAGCTGTTCGGCGGCGCCCAGAGCAGAGCCTGGACCGCACCACTCACCTGAGTCGCACAATCTACCGACAACACTACCAACACACCATCCCACTCGTTGGCTCCGCCGGGTTCATGCTTGTTAACTTCAATCGTGATGCCTTCTACTTCAGCGACTTTAACCATTACCATTTCCAGGACTTCCGTCTTGGCAAGGAATGGCAGTGCCGACAACAGTCACTACGCAGAGTTATTCTTGGTCCGAATGCCTTTGATATGAAGTCCCGAAGACGAATAGACGCATTATTCAAGGCTTTCCGAATGTCGCCAGACTGGCAGGAGCTACGGATAAAGCTGGACGATGATACGAAGCCATTTCGCCCTATCCCAGTCGCAGAGCTCCGCCCCCAGTGCCCCTTGCATCACTGTAACGAAAATCCTTATCACAAAATATCGGCTTGTCCCACGTGCAAGTGGAATGTTCATGTTTTTGGCCGTAGGTGGACTCGGTTCCATAATAATGGCTTCAGACTCTTACTCGATCCTGCCCTGCCCGCATATCCTACAGTACGTCAGATCAAGAAAAGCAGAAGCCCGGCACTTGTGTGGACTAGATACACTCGGTGGCTCGAACTCGATCTCCCATTTGAAAAAGATGATGGTACGCCCGCTTTCGACCTTCGGGGTCTTAATACTTGTTTGAAGGGGGATTTTTCACAGTGTCTTCATTAATTCCCTAGTTGCTAGGCAGCGGGGCTTTGATAGCTAAATTTTATTCAGTTGCGACTAGTAGCTCTCTGTTTGTCTGCAACTTGCTTGGATCCCACTGTGCCTCTGCGCTTGAGGGGCTGCCATCGCCCGATGCCTTTATTTCTCGATCCTGTGGTCGGACTGTTGGTACTTATGGAAAGATTCAACGCCGGCTCGCAGTTGAGGATATATGACTTTCGAGAAGACAAAATAATTTTCGCCTAGATCTTCCCCATAGCGATTACTAATAAAGCTGATCATGGAGAGCAGGGCGGTTGCGAGATCGTAGGTGGTCTGCAATGCCTCATGTAAGGGAATCGCGTCTATGGTCTCCTGAATCTCTTTCAACTGCACTTTCTTCGGTTCGATGATGAATCTGCAGATATCTGCGACTTCCTTCGCGCTCGGATCTCCCAGCGAGGGTGATTTGTACTTTTTCACATGCTTGGCACGTTCTTTCGCAAATGCGGCTATTGCCTGAAAGCATCGATCAGGTGTCTTGTCCCTGAGTGTCTCAGATATGTCATCCATGAGCTCTTTTTCGGTTTCCTTCACATGATCTTCGATTTGACGCTGGGGCGCTGTTGAGGAAGCCATGGTGTACCAAGTCAACGCCTATACCGGGAGGCATGGGACAAGACACGACGACACACGCGTGTATTTATGTTCAGAGTCACTACTATAAGGCGCGAGAACGAAAAGCAGGATCTTGGATTTGGTATCGTGTTATCATCAATCACAAAGCTGGTACCTCTTCTGGAACGATCATCTGCATATCCGCAATCACAAACCCTGCGGCGAAGCTGAACGTTTACGGAAAGAAATATTCAATACTTTGCCCAGATCAGCCGCGTGGCACTCACGCACGCAGGAGCAACTGTCGTGTGCCCGGCAACAGCGCTCTCTACACATGGGACATGAAGAAGTTCCCTTCATCTCCCTCCACGTTACAATACAATTGCGACAGAAAGAGTGCCCTGGGATTGTGAGTAAGTGATGCCAAGACAACGCAACACGCTTCTTACCACAAGGTATGCAACTCGGCTCGATCATCCCATCGTAGCAGATCGTACATTCGCCCAGGTAGAAGACCCGGGTTGAGTTTTGTAGCGCCCACAACGCCTGGTGAACTGGCCGATGGCAGAGTCCAGAGAATGGTCTCATTTGGCAGCTGGGACATATGACCTACAGATATCAGCAGCTTCTCGGGGATCTGGGAGGAATGACCCACGCAGCGACAACTTTCAAGAACAAAACACTCCTCGCCTAGTGCGGTCTTGCATTTCTGGCAGTTGAAAGCCTGGACCGTAAGATCGATGAGTATAGCAGGCTTTGTACAAGGCATATTGGGTGGGAATGATGTAGTGTTGGAAAAAGAGAAGGGAAAGGAGAGCGGTACGCAGGCCTCTTTATAAAAGTTGGCCGCAGGGACTATTCTGAAAGTTGATTTCCTACCCCCCCTTGGACTCACTTCTCGTTTTTCGAAACGCAACCCCCGACTTCGATATGCTGTCAGCCAAGCGCCAGGCGAGGTGATGACCGCACAACCAACCAAATGCTTACATTGACAAGAGGTATATAACGGCTCTAGTCAGGTGTCACACTCGATTTCCTCCTTCATCCATCTTCTGTCCACATGATGGAGAGCGTCGTCCCTTTCAGATTTGGCGACCTCCCCGCAGGTAGGCTTCCATGGCAGAGAGGCCGCACTATAATTGCTGACAGCCTGTTTAGAAATTCGTATCCTCGTCTACGAACATCTATTAGTAGATCCAATAGTTGCCATACGACTTCGTTACAACGGGACCTTGATTTACGAACGGGTACCTTTCTTTATGCAAAACCGGCTACCTCGAATCCCCAAAGACCTGTGCCTTGCCATGACAAGCCCCTTGTTGTATAGCGAATTTTCCCCACATTATGAAGCATACATGGCTAGGAATGTCCATCATGTATCCATGAGCGAGTTGGAGATATACTTGCAAAGTCGGTTCTTTGCAATTAATACGACTGGAAAGCTCATTGTCGAAGTAAGCGAATGGGCCACCCGTGATGTGAATATTATGCCGTTGCTACAATTCTGTTGGAAACACCCGACATACAACTGCCAATTTCGCACGGGAAAGACCCATAGGTATATACTGGAAATTACTAAGCACCTTAATTGGCTACTTGATGTTGGTGAGGGACTGAAAAGGTGCATCGAAAGTGGTGCACTAGAAGCTATTCAGGTACGCTGGCGCGGCTATACTATGTATGCCACCTTAGTCCGCGCTGGCCACCAGAAGAAGGGAGTCGTAAGTCAATCGCTGCAAAATGATTTGGCATGGAAGTTGGGCATCGCTCATTTGCGGTGGATTTCATGGCGGGCGACGACAATGGACGATCCAGAGTCTCATGTTGCAGAGTTATGATTGAACCATCTGTCAGCCTACAGTCTATGATCGTCTCAAGTTTCCCAAATTGTCACATCTCGTGCGAATGTTACACGCGCATCGCGGCCTTGCGTTTTAAGATCTGCCCTTGCATTTATTTCCGAGTTGTGCCTTGCAATTGCCAGGCTGCGCAGTAACTGCCTTTGCATATTTTGGTATTCTTCAGTGTGCTCGAGTGGCGGGTGCGACCGAACAGACTTGGGCGGCTGAGTGACTTGTCGTTCTGCGAACACATATCGAAGCGAACCTGGAGGAATCACCCTCTTGCTGTGAGAACAGGTGCAGCATTGTCGAGTACAGTGATGTTGTTTTCTGGAGTAAACAGTTGTAATAATTATAGAATGGCTTGGCGTAGTCATCATGAACCTCTTTTGACAGACAGGGCAGAGCCGTGCATTGCTTGGGACGACCTAGCATCCAATTACCATCGTAGTGTTATAGTACTTCAAGAGATGCCAAAACCGTATTCCAAATTCAGTAATTGCATTCTGTTGACGATTTCTCGCATTTTGGAACTCAGATTTCGCGATTTGTTAAACGGCATTCAGGATAAGCGCCGACCAGGGCCCGCGCCGCATGTGGTATAAGAAGGCATGCACGTGTGTCAATTCCGCTAGACAAACTACCTACCTACCTAGGCACAACGCAAACACCATGTCAAGCTCCAACCAGACTCCAGTCAAGGTCGAAGAACAACGACCTGACTCGCGCGAGCAGCGGATCAGCCACCTCCGGCGCATCATTCTGCATAGGGCTGCGGACGAGCCTGATAGTCGGTTCGATAATGTCACCAGCTATTGGATAGAGCGTGCGAAAATAGTGAACAAATATGGCGATGACTCGGACGGAGGCCCATCAAAAGAGCAAGCAAAAGAGATCTGTAACCTGCTTATTGAGCCAACAAGGGATCAGGCGGGTAAGCTCTCTCAGGACGTTCAGCCTGATAAGGATGAGGTAATGACAATGTTGGGCGATATCACAGGTGGGCTGATGGCATTGATTGGCTGGCTCGTCCGAGAAAATGGTCCTGACGAGCGTGATCTGGTCTTTGCAAAGGTGCTCAAGCCTGAATTGCTCAAGCTCGCTGGGATTTTCGGTGATGAACGAAAATGGGAGAAGCGAGAGGCGAGCAGGTCTGTAACAATCGAATGATAGCATTAAGGAGCTCTATAGCTGCTGGCCGGCATACTTCACCGTGATGAATGGATCAGTAAAGGAGGAGGGGCTTGGTTTAAGGAAGTCAATCCAGTTTCAGAATACAAATCAGTTCGTTGTCACTATTATATGATCAACTCATCTCGTCGGAGGACGTTTAAGGCACGTTCAACAAATCCACGCCAGAGCAATTTAGGTTTTCAATTTCATACCTGACTATCGAATTTCAGACAAAAAGATGATTGCTGGCCAGCAGCAATCACCCTCCTATCACGCATGAGTGTCCATAAGTAGCTTAACTAACCTATCCATATTGTCCTCAAGCCTGAGAAGACGCTGGGACATGTCATGATCTTGTTTGCCAGAACGCTTACTTCCCCTGTTAGCTTTTCTCTCCATCTTGTTATCCGCTGCATGCTCATGCTGTGGCGTTGGCCGATTCTCCTGAATCCATTGTTTCATTGCAGAGCCTAGAGTGCGCTCGAGCTGGGAGCGTGTGTAGAATTGATTGTGGGACTCCTCTGATTGGAGAGTCGTACGAATCAAGACACGCACGTCCGCATCTCTTAAATCATACTCTGAAGGGGTGAGAAATTCAAAGACAATGCACCTATCAATATCCAAGTCCCTAAACTTGAGTCCTGCCAAATCTTCCTCGTGGCCATGCTGAATCTCCACAGTCCCTTTCTTTAACCACTTTTCGAATTGAGTTCGCTGCTGTCGGTAGGAGGGAGCAGGCAACATGACACCTCGGCTCTGGCGTGCGTTACTGTTGCCACCATACTCTACCATCAACTGCTGCTTCTTGCTTATGTTCAGAACAAAGCCGTCGTATCTTTGTCCAGTCCATGGATCCGCAAAGTTCACCCAGCGTTCTGGATCATTGGTAAATGGACCAACATCAGTAAAGCCCAGCCGTGGTCTGTTTGGATTGGGCTTGTTTAAATCAGGAGCAGGGACAATTGTTATGCTCTCAAAATGATCCTCCCATGAGAACTCTGAAGCCTTCCATTTGGTCTCGTTGGGCGGGTGCACATAAATTTCGGATGTTTTCGCCGGCTCAGAATCCTTATCCGGGGTGGTTTCAGCACTTGGCGCCGAAGCGTCCCGGGGCTTAGATGGGCTCAGCGTGTCCCGGAAGTTCGAGATCACAGTAGACTCGCCGGTGGAAGCCGCTCGTAGGAATGCTTCTGCTTCTTGTAGAAATTTTTGGCCGCTCCTCGACAGGTTGGTTGGTTTAACCGAGGAGAGAAATTCTTTGTCGCCCCCCTTGCGTGCAACAACCAGGGGTCCCACGCCTGAAGCTCCTTTGTTGCCCGGTATCTCGACCGGGGCGGGAATTTGGCTAGGCCCAGCCTGTTCTGAAGCTGCTTCAGTGCTCGGCTGGCGTTGATGTTCAGCGTTTGCATTGGCCGTCACGCCGGCTGCTATGGCGGCAGAGGCATTTGCGTGCTCCTTCTGATCCTGATCCGCCGTCTTCTGGCTGTTGAGTGCCTGGGCTGATGCTTTCGCAAGTTCGGCCTCCTTTTGCGCTTCTGTCAGGGCCGCCTCGGACTCTTGAGGGTTGGTAACAGATTTGCTTTTCAGAGCATTCTTTATCGCCTTGTCGGCATGATCAGTCGCTTTATCGTGCAGTGTCTTGGCCTGGACCGCCGCGGGGTCGGCTGCGTCAGCCTCTGACATGTTGGCATCACTTTCTACTGGTCGTTCGCCAGCCGTTATTTCCGGTTTTTTGTTTGGATTCTGCGCGCTGTCGCTGGCATTGTCCACCCCTCCCACTTGTGAGGGAGAATTACCTCTGCCTCTTTTTGCCGGCTCAGCGCCTGCTGAAGAACTGCCAGCACCTGCTTCAGCTTCACTGGCTAGACTTGGAGGACTTCCCGAATGAGGTTGATGAATCACTGTCGCCGGGCTTGAGGAGCCAGAGGAGCCAGAGGAGCCATCCAACCTGATGGGGGATTTGGAGCGTGTCTGGGGCTGCAGGTCGTCGGCAGCTCTCATCACCGCCGCAATAGCCTCGATGTTGTTTTTATCTTGCTCTGCCACTGTAAGACCTCTTGCCTTAGCTACCGCCAGCGCGGCGTTGCAAGTCCATTCTTCATACTTTGGATCAGCCCCGGTGCCGAGGTGCTTATTGATTGAACCTAATATTGCAGGCTTCTTTGCTTTTTTCCCAGGCTTCAAATCGAGGATTTGGGCTATGGAACGGAGTTGTGGGACGGCTAATTCATCGAAGGCCGACATGATGCTGGACGTATTCAGGAATATCGTGTGGGTGTAAATGAGGAAGAGAAAGCTTGGTCACTCTATTTATTCGTCTATCTAGGGCTGAGTCACCGAGTTTCGATTATGGAATTCGTCTTCCCACACATGGAAAGACAATTTCATAATTCAAGAAACCAAAAAGTCACCATACATGGAATATAAGCGTCCCCGATAGGGATGCAATCTCTGCCAGGAGCTTTCTAGGTCAAGCAATCATGCCAATGGAAAGGGCTTTGAACTTGGACGGGGTCGCGGTGATGACTGAACAATTCTTACACTACCTGGCTACAGATGTCGCAGGCAATTCGTGTGGATGCATCAGAGCTAAGTTGCAGCACATATACGTCAGCAGCCTCGAAGAATCTATTCACCTAGACAACCCGTACCAACTGGCCACGAAGCTGGACAGAATTTTCGATGAGCTTGTCCTCCATCTAGGATGGCCAATCAATCGGCAGCCGAGGCGAGATATCGCTTGTGGCAATGCCTGGTTTTACAGACCTGATCATCACAAGCGCATTTTCTCCGTCGCCCGCCAGGCTTGGGAGACCGCTCTCTCGAAGAAAGGCTCGAGGTGTGGTGCATTTTGCCGGCCTGGAGGCTGCCCTGACTGGGTCGTCTTGTGCGCTTATCAAGACGCTCTGCGAATCCATATCCAACAGTGGTTGGATTCGTTGAGCCCCGAGCTGGATTCCAGCGGGCACCCAGATAGTCTCTATTTTGTCTACCCCGCGAGTATTCTTTCGGATATTTGGGCTCTCGAATTTCTAGCAATCATTTTTAAAGACCCCAAACTGGAGAGCCTTGTGCAGTCTCTACGAACTGCGGTCGAAGACTGGTTCTGTGGTGGCGAGCAGAGTGTGTGGAATGCGGCCATTCCCGAGAACTGGCATATGCAATGTACGTACTGGAGAGGTCATGATCATGGTTTAGATTGCCAGCTCTGAATACACTACATACGATATAAAACGACGTCAATGTGAATATGTCGTCGACCTTCAAGATCGACATAAAAATAATAAATGCAAAAGCAGCTCAAGATTGTGTCAAGCGTTGTATATATGTGCAGTTTGACCATCAAGTGGCTTGGTGTGAACAACCTTGATGTCGGAGAGGGCTATTCTAGGCGTATTTCGCAAACGTACGCGAGAGGTTCGGCGAGGGTCTTGGGCGCCTCGGGCGAGGTTCACTGATCTCACGCTGTGATGTGCAACATCGGGAGAGAAATCAGTCTCTTTGAAATCCATACGCGTGTAGGAGGAGTTGAGTACTAGTTGGCGGACCGTATTGGCAAAGGCCGGTGAGCCGGAGACTGGATCATTAGCCATGCTGACAGGTTCTCGAGAGCCCGCGTGCACTTACCAACCGTGACTTTGCTCCCTGGTGAGAAGGCGCAAGCATCTAAATACACCTTGAAGGACTGCTCCAGCTGCATCCGTCCGATGGTATGTATTTTCCATCTGTCCTGAAGACTATGAGGGATAGACATGCCTAAGTCGTCGCCTTGAAATGTGAAGATTCTCCCGCAAATCAGACGCTGCTATGTTAGCTTGCAGCAGTTATTGCAGGGCTCTGGTCACTCACTTGACTGGAGCCGAGATTCATAAGCTCACTTAGCTGCTCTCTGCACCAATAGATATCGTCGTTCGTCCGCAAGGCCAAGATGAACTCAACGCGCCTGGTCTTGTCGCCGTAGAAGATGACGTCCGACAGTTTCCCAATCGTGCGAGCCAGGTTTGTCTGTGAGCCGCCTCGCAGAGGTCCCTGGAGTCGTTCCTTTTCTCGCTGGTCATGTCTTCGGCGATGTAGCAGGTGCAATGCATAGGGCATGATGCTAGACACGCCAGTGCTCTCCGCGAACAACAGAACCGAATCGTACTCCTCTAGATGTAGATTATTGCCGTAGGGGCCTTCCAGACGCATGCTCAAGGGCTTGGTAGAGGGATCTCTGACCAGGAAATGGATGTCCTTCGCGGCCGTCCCTTCGCTCCAGAAGAAGGCTGGCGTTGGTGTTCCGGCCAATCTATTGCGCAGCGGTGTTCCTGAAAGGTAGAGGTGGAAGTACATACCAGGATATGGCCGAATTGCGTCTCGAAGCGTCACTTTGACACAACTCATATCCTGGCTGGCGCCTATCGTTTCGATCTTGGTGGCCCTGCCCCGCCTCAAAAGAAGGAGCAACCTCCAGCACATGCCAACGAGAAGCAATGCACCGGCGACGAAGATCTGAACAGTAGAAGTGCCCAGACCTAAGGGCAGAACATGGATGGCCAGTGTGGCTAGACTAGCCGTTGCTAGCATGCCGTGTAGAAGACCGAACAATCCTTTCAGGCGGCGTCGAACGATCGGGACAGATGTGAACAGAAGGAGGAGGATCGTCAAGGACACCTGTCATCATTGTCAGAAAGGTTAAACGTACCATGGACTGACGCACCACCCATCCAGTGACAGTGTACGAACGCAGCTGTACTGATCTAGTCGATATGCTTATACCTCCATGAATGAGACCTTGCACGACGACGACGAGGCCGATCGCGTTGTGCCAGAGGTCGTACGTCCAAATAGAGATATTGAGGATTGTAGCGAGAACGCGACCTGTAGTGAAGAGTGGGATCATGTTGAAAGTGCACAGAACAGCAGCTCTCTGTCCGACCTCAGCCGCAGATCGGATGAATACGCTGAGGGTCAGCACATTCAGGACGAGATATGCTGAAGCCTGCGCAACTTGCAGTCTCGTCAAATGCCACAAAGACAATGGCATGAAGACATGCCGATTGATCCATGGAGCGAACCGGAGTGATAGTCGTCGGCGAGACCGAGAGAATAACAGTAGGATGATTATGGTTCCAGACACAATGGCGTACCAGTGCGGAACCTCGAAGGTCAGTCGAAATCCAAGGGTGGATGGCATTTCGAAAACTTTGGGAAGGTAACGAGAGAGACGAGAGAGACGAGAAAAACGGGGGACAAGGGGGAACGAGAGCGAGAGAGATAGGGAACAGAAAACGGGAGAGCGAGAGAGATGGGGAACAGAGAATGGGAGAGCGAGAGAGACGGGGACAGAGAATGGGAGAAAAAGGCGGCACGCCCAGAGGAGGAGATGTTGGTGAGTCCAACATGTTAACATGCAGGTACCCTGTGAAATCAAATTCCAACAAGCAAACAACCGAAAGCCGCAAGCCCGATTTCAGCATAGTACAAAAGCCCGGCGCTAAAGCGAGACGTGCGCCCAAAATAGCCTGGCCGAACAGCCCCGGTCCGAACGGGTTGCCGCGCGCTTAGGATCAGGACCCGGGTACCGTTCCGGCCTTCCTGCTCCGACCTCAATTCAACAAGTATATAATGACCGACAAACGAGCCTTTTCTCGTTTTCTGAAGATCTGTATCCAACTCTTGAATTCCCATAAGATTTCACAGATATGGCCTCCCGCAACTTTGTCAATCGCAGATATGGCGTGATGAAGAAGGCCAATACACTCCACCGGCTGCACGGAGCTCGAATCGCAGTCCTCTTGGAGTGGAGTGGCACCGTCTATAGCTATCGCTCTGATGCCACTTGGCCTAACGGGGACTTGGAGATCGACCCAAGCAATACGTTCTCGCCAGACCACTTCGAAACTGTGGCAGATCGGTCGAGTTCGCCCGCTGCGGCGCACTCAAACTCACTTCCATCAACTACCAGCTCTGAGACATCAACGAGCAGTGATGGTTTGAGTAGCCAATCCGATTCCACAGATTGCAGCTATGTGACGGTTGCAGACGCCGAGCTGCAGGGGCTGGTCGCTCGGGAGGCCTCGGCAAGCTATCCCTCGTCCTCATCGTCCTGGTCCGAGGGATCCAGCACGGTCTCCACGACTTCTTCAAATCCATTCGGTCTCCCGAGCTTTTCCCCTCCAGCCTGTCAGACAGACGCAGATTCCTCCGAAACTATGCCGCGAGGGACCAAGCGTGACGCGTCTAGCTGGGCATCGCCAGCCGCATCAGCTGCGGTGACAGACCACCTGGAGGAATCGTCCAAGCGCCCGCGGCGGTTGCCTGCGAGAGTGGTGCGCAACAAGCGAGGGGCCCAGCCTGCACAGCCCAAGGAATACTTCTAAAAGGAACTCAATAGCGTTGGCGAAGCGGGACTTCGTTAATTGTAATGTAGTTGAATACGAATGATTTTTACATTAGGCTACTTACATTTCCAATCGGATTGCTTGCAGTACTTCAGCAGTTGTCTTGTACTGCTGCTGCCAGCATCCCTTGATGACATTGCCGCCCTTCACATTTGACAGATCTGGAAAAGATCCTGCTCCGAATAAATCTTCCACTTTTGACTCGTAAGCCTGTTTTTCTGAGTACGAGTTCCATTGTGGTGGGCTGGTCATAAATGGCCAGTATCCCATCTCAACAGTATAGAAATAGATCCTAGACTGAATATATCGGTTGCCTGTGTCGACAACCATCGCAGGCGGGGGTCAAAGAAAGGAGTGTCGGGCAAGTGGCCGCCATCCAGACCCAATTGATCACACGTTGACCCGCCAAAATCACAAAGCCAGACACTGACAGATGACTCATTAACTTGCTCCACTAAGACATTTTCCAGTCGCAAATCTGAGTGTATCACGCCGCGCTCGTGCACATGAACGACTGCCTCAGTAACCTGCTCACAAATCTTGTAGCGCTGGAGAGGGTGCAATTCGGTGTGGTAGGAGTCGATATAGTTCTGTAGATCCCCGAGTTTGGCCTTTGCAAGGTGGATGCCACTCTGATCAAACCTCAGGTACCTGTTGAGAAGGCTTAGCTAACTGTTACGGATGCGGGGAAAAGAAATACAAACGGTACAATCCTGGGGTGCTTTCCCAGCACCTCCAATATGCGTCGCTCGACATCGATTGCCTTGCTGTTTTGTTCCTCCAAGGCTTTGCGATTCTCATTCTGAACGCGAATCCGCATCGGCGCTTTGAGAACCACCTCAGGTTCCGCCTGATAGAAATTCGAGCTGGAGCCGTGATATGGTAGAGGGTGCATAATGATACTCGGCTAACAAGCATGGAGAAGGGAAGTCATTTCCAAAATTGGGTGTCGCGAGAGTTCATTTATGCGAATGCTAGTGAATTGGCAGACGTGCCATGCTAGGAACTAGTTTCTGTTTGTACACTTGACAGGAACTGGGATCAGCCGACGGTTTGCACACTTCAATGTTGTTTCACCAGCCAAAACGTGGCGCTGTGAACTTTGATTGAGATCCGCCTCTAAATAGTCTCGCCACATAGCTAAAGCATGCAACGGCATAGGCTACTCAACCACCCCCCAATCGGTGAACACGCCTATTAATGGTTAGGGCAATTATAACCTCCACAGGCCTCCTTTACTCGGTTTGACCCAAGCTCCTTCTCTATGGCTTCATGGCCAGGTTTGTCTTTATCTGCGCAGGGCTCAAACGGCAAATTGCCTCTCGCTCTTGCCGCAGGAAAAATCTTCGTACATATGTAGTTGAAGCACATTCTGCTAGACGAATAGCCAAGATTTGGATTGTCAACACGGAAGATTGAGAAATTATATTTGAAAGTTGCGTCCTACGTTTGAAATAGAACCAGCGTCCTCTTTAAATAGACATTCTTTACGCGTCCAAAAGCGATGGCTACGTGAATACATCACGGCTGAGCAGTTTGAACGCCTCAGTCAAAGTACATCAGCACCGAATGCTGAAGCACGGAGTCACTTGAACAGACACGCTGCATTACGACACAAAATGGTCCCTTGACCATATTTCCAACCTCCACAAGAGGCAGTGGCGACATGACGCATTTCGAAAAATCCCTCTGTCGCGAAGAAGTATCATGGCCTAGGCTATATGGTACCCACTGTTAAGATCACTGGTCCATTCACTGTAACCGGGCATTCATGCAGGCGGAACGCTGCAGTCCCTTTTCATGCGCACAAAGTTTTGTCATGTACTAGCTACCCTGTTCCCTACAGGCTATGCTCCTTTTCTTGGGAGGCACTTCTCAACGTGGGCTGCAAGTTTTCCATGCACTTCAACATTTCTTGTCCCAAAGTAACGAGTTCTTGTGGTCCCTCTTTTGCATAATTGCTTGTGTCGCACTGTATGCGCGAATAGATAGCTTCTTGTTCTCCCTCAGGACGATCGCGGAAAATCTCGCCCGCGAAGATGTACCAATTGCAAAGAGCGACGAAAACCGCTTGATCTTGTGGGGAATTCTGATCTTGTGGGGGATTCTGGCTGTATAAGTCCTCGGCATGACATGCAGGGATTCCTCTTTCCATAAGTCGCTCCTTCCTGAGAAGAACAGTGAAGGAATGCCAGTTTTCGAACACGGTAAGCTTTTCCTCAATTTCATAGTCGCGAATAGGAATGCGTTCCGCTATTGCATTATTAGTCAAGCCGTCCAAACGGTCTTAGAACCTACCCGAGTACATATCCTTGACGGCTCTATCGACATGCTTGACTTTAATGAACTTTGCCTCGAGAACCAGATACTTCACAAGGCCGCAGAGCTTTTCGAGCTTTTCCTTGGATGTGGAAACTGCTGTGTCCTCGACCACCTTCACGAATTCATCTAGGATGAGTCGAACTATCCCAAAGCCGTAAGACCGAATTTCGGCTATATGATACATTAATGAGTGAAAACCAAGAACGGCACCAAGTACTTACTATCTTTGCTGTGAATGAATTGGTATTTCACTTGACATTTGAACTTCTCGAAACCGTCCGGAAGATTCTTCTCAACATAGTCAAAAAAATAACCAGCTGCATCATCAAATAACTCGAGCTCTTTCTTCGAAACCCAAGTTTTGGCCCAATCTATCATGGGAGCACGTGGATAACGGCCATGTTTCCAATTCCCTTCTTGGTCGTGCTCTTCTTCATTGTACTCTTCCTCGTCGTACTCTTCCTCGTCGTACTCTTCCTCGTCGTACTCTTCCTCGTCGTACTCTTCCTCGTCGTACTCTTCCTCGTCGTACTCTACCTCGTCGTACTCTTCCTCGTCGTACTCTTCCTCGTCGTACTCTTCCTCGTCGTACTCTTCCTCGTCGTACTCTTCGTCGGGATCTTCTTCGTCGGGATCTTCTTCGTCGGGATCTTCTTCGTCGGGATCTTCTTCGTCGGGATCTTCGCTGTGCTTCTCTCTTGGTTCGTCTTTGACAACGGCACGGACTTTCGACAGAACAAGCCGTTTTTGGGCCACCTCTTGCTTAGTGATTTTGTTTCTCACTATACTAGCGTATGTCTGGGTCGTAGTTGCACCAGGACCTTTTGTGTGTATCTTAGCATATGTTGGTAGCATTTTGTCGTTGCTATACACCGAGGAAGATTATTCGCTGTTTCAATCCACAACAAGGTATTAACAAGTCAAGCCTTTTATCGCGCAGTCCTGACCGTCGCCTGTAGCCAAATGTTCTATAAGTGGCTAAAATTGTTGTAAAAAAAAGCCCCTGCCCCAGCCAGAAACAATTGACTGGTACGCGTTATCGTTGCATCGCATCAGCAGGGGTTCATCTACTGCGCTCTTCATTGTCATGCCAGCATATGACAATTGCGTTTTGAAGAACTGTTTGGCCCGAGGGGGCTGGTGTCCTCGGAAACCAGGAAACCTTGTCGGATCAGGTACTGTCCACCTATGTCCACCCATTAAATCGCTAAGCTCTGGTCCTATGTCACGTACAGATACCTCCTACGTGCTTGCAGATGCCGAAAATCTTGATCAAAACAATCACCAGAAGTCGATACCCTGACATGCCAATAATTCAATTCACCAATAGAAGCCAAAGCCAAGTGTCGCGCTGCCTCCAAAATTTTGTTTCGGTCTTGTATTGTCCGTTACGGATATTGCGTACTCCCCGCTTGAGGTTAACACATCTCTCACTATGCTTCGGCTTTTGGCAGAAGCGGCACTCTTGATCCCTTCCGCGGGTGGATAGCTTCACCTCGTTTCCGTGCATAGCTTATTGCTGACATTATTTGAATTAGTTGACAGTGGCGCATCTCGCTGCATGTACAAACTTCACCGCGTTCCTTTGCAGATGTGGCGAAATGAATAAGCAAATATTTATGCATATGGGCTTGACTGACTCCGAATTCGAGATCGTCAGGACTTGATGAATTTGCAGACCCACCGGCCGTGTGCTTAGTGATCGATGCAGCAGTAGGACCAATGTAACCACAGCCGGCAGCAGTTTTCACGCACGGGAACCAGCGAGGCGACTTGTCCTTGCCGACGCACCATGGCATTCAGCTGTCCTGCACGTTTCAGGGTTCATCCCAATCTGGCAAGCGAAACTGAGGAAGGCGCTTACTGGGGTGGAATAGCCAATAACGAATGCAGTGTAGTCGTTGCAGTGGAACTCTCCTCGAACGACCCCACTGCACTGCATGCACATAGATATGATTTGTTTATCACATTCACGTCGGGGCTCCTGCAGTCTGACCGCATGCGGTGATATTGACTGGGAAGCCACATTCCGGACAATGTCGCCCAGGATGGGTCTGGAACATCACCGCTGCTTGGCTCAGATCATTTGGGCAGAATTGAGATGCCAACGTAAACTTCTATGTACCTGCTTAGATAGAATCACTCGGTTGGGCCTCAGAAAGGTGTACTCTTTTGGATTACAGGAAGTGGCTGGGACCGACCTCTGAAGGTTGTTCACTTGTGGTTTTCATTCGCAAACACCATTTGAGATCACCGATCGCTCAATCTTTGTTACTGCACAGTTATACAGACCAAAAATTGCAAGAGAATCGAAATGTTTACAAGTCAAAATAGTATGTCAAACCACTATTTCTCAACTATTATTCCAGGCCTAACTATATCAGATGTACCATACGCCCAAACCGCAGGTATGAGTTACGCTTTGCAGACACAAGGAGAGAGGCAGCTCGAAGAGGGGCGGGAATGCGCCTGTGTCGAGCCGATGAAAGACGGTTGTAGATGTCAGTGCTGCATAAGATGCGGCTACTGTGTGTGGATGGTTGGAGCCACTGCTTCTTTCGCGACCGCCGGCATAATAGGGCTAAAAAAATGTAAGTCTCATGTTCCGCAAGTCTAGCAATATTTACTAAAGCTAGATGGAAGTGAATTGAATACGAGAATACGATAGTGGGCAGACCAATTCCTTCTTGTATGGGCTGCAGGCTTTGCGTCGGTTAGCGTAGGTGGCTGGGGAGTGAATATGTTACCATCTAACACCAAATAAAAACGGAGTGTGTCTGGACGCTTTGAATGATTTACTGGAATCGTTCCCTTGCGTTCTTGCTTGCAAAAAGACCTTGCATGGAATGCGCCTCGACCAACTTATTGACTAACCAGCATCGCCAACGATGGGTCTGGAACATCATCGCGACTTAACCAATATAAGTTCGGCGGAATAGAAATGCCGGTGAAGAAGCAATTTGTCACCAAGCACTTGCCGAGAAAGGTAGGCCGGGTGAAGGTCAGAATGAATTTCTGCTGCATAGGTATCCTGGTAGTACATACATCATTGCCGTTTCAGTGCGGGCCCTGCAAGCTTATGCAGAGTCCAATCATTGAACATGTTCGACGGTCACTCGTAACTGTAGCATTCTCACGCCCGGTTGATGTGAAAGAGACTGTATGACCACAACGCCCGACTTCTATGACAGCTAATGTGATTTGTGTTTTTGCTACGTATGCAGGGCATTCTCAAGAACTGCAGACAGATTCACTGTGTGGAAAGTGGCCTCATTCTCGACTCGGGCGTCTCGGGGCTGTGCCAAATTGATTTCAGGCAGAATTGAAATGCCAGTGACCAGTCTCTATATAACATGCTATGCACCGACCCAAATATCTTAATACTAAGTTCTACCAGCATCGCAATTATATTACTTCTTCTTCCATACAAAGATGGTTACCCGTAAACAGATCCGCCTCAATGCCTTCACGCACATGCGGCCAAAACTACCTTCTGAAGCGGCTCTTATAGTGAGCATCTGTCAAGATCTTGGCCATCTTTCCCGCGGCAAAACTCTCGATGAAGAAGCCTTAGACCGAGCGATCTCCTCGATGGACGAATTCATCCAGGAGCGGCCACAGGACCCCTTGATCAGATCGGCGTGCACCAAGATGCATGAATCGGCGGACTGCAATCAAGACAACCACTACTTTCCAAGAGAAGAGTTGCTGCAAGGAGTTTGTGGATCTCTGGATAATCTCTGCCATATATATCGGCCTTCAGATTCCCTAGCGGAAGTGGTGTATTGGATGGCAGAAGTCACCCAGAAGGAGGCTCTCCACGACCAGACCAAGACGACATGCGCTGAAATGGTTGCATCAGCCCCGATCTGCAGCTTGAAAGGAAACTTCTGCGATCCAGTTCAGGTCTTGCAAGGCCTCGACCGAAAACATGCGCAGTACAACCAGCTCTTGAGTCGTTTTCAAGGGGCAGAGAAACGTGACGAAGGGGACAAGTTATATGCTTGGATCTGTGAGCAACATCCTCAGAGTCAGTGGGAAAAAGCCGATAGAGATATGTGTCTCTTTCTTCGGGGAGAAAGACTCGGATGGCTGCGAACAGCACGAACAGCAATGTTGGGTATGCCAATGATCTTGGCAACATTGGCCATTAAGTTTGGCTGCTTTGTGGATGATCGGACAAAAGAATACATCTGAGGATGATTGGTTCTGGGTTACGGGAAGTTTCGGTATAATGAAGTATGTCTCTGGCAGTACCTTTAACATCTTCTTTTGAATTTTAGCCTCTAGTGCTTTGACCAAGCTTTCGTAATGAGATCTATCCCCATAGGATGGTGTGTGTACAAGTTCCTTCTTCCAGTCTCTAACTCTCCCCGTACCATGCAATGAAGTACTAATAGGGGATGGCGAGGTACATGAGAACTTACCAGGATAGTGGCACGCAGTACAAATGTGGCAACACCACAGTAGACCACCAGCAGCGAGTTAGAGAGCCATTTTAACCCCTCCCAGGGTATTGTAGCGAGTCCCATGGCCTACACTAAAGATTGTCTCGGAGTTCGTAATGCCTCCGTTCACACTGTTCCTTTGGAAATGAACTCAACTTCTGATCTGATTCTTCATCAACCCTTGAAGCGGGACTTCTTTGGTTGAAGACTTGATATATAGCTCACTTGTAATATTACCGTAGTAGAATCGAATATTTGAAAGGAAACAAAATGAAAACCTTCACAATCTCCCAACTGTCTGAACTTTCGCTCCCAGGCTGTCACATGGTTCATTCCAGATTTCCAGCACAAATATCCGCCAGCCCTGGCAAGTCAAAGCTTCCACGCATAGGAGCGTGGTCCATACGAGACGCTTTGGTCTCTTCGGAAATGCCTATGACTACCTCGTAGGTGATTCCATTCCTTCGAATGCCCTCCCTGAGCCACTCGAGCAAGACCCCCAGGCTTCTCTTGACATCTTCATCGAGCTTCGCCGTCTCTGTGCCCTACAGAGAGTGAGAATGTGCCGAAGGATTTGGTATGTTGAACTTACAGGTGCTCCCTGACTCTTGCGTCTGACGAAGTCTGCACAAATCTTGTTACCGACTCTGGCCAAAGCTGCGAGAATAAGGTAAGCCATGTGGGCCTTTTCCGCATCGAGGCAGGAGGTCAATTCTCGGTAAAGTTTGATGGTGTCGTCCTGGTATCCTGTGCCCAAGCCGTCTGCCACCTGGTCGGTGCAGTGGATGATCAGCCGAGGGATGGGTTCTTGGCCGGGAATTGTCTTCCACTCTTCCGGTAGTGGCTCGACATCGAGTGAGTTGTTCGGCTTCATGTATCCAGAGCCAGTCTTCCACATGCAGATGAACAGGAGATGAATCACGGAGGCAAACCTCTCGTCTACATTATTTCTGCCCACATCAACTAGGCTGCGGAACTCATCTTTCTGGCCCAGGACATTCTCCGCATGTTGCTCCAGGAAGTCGATCCACTGCTTGTGAAGGCTCTCTGGTTTCACAGGGCAATAGGGGGGGAGTTCGACCTCTTTGACATTGCCGCGGCCATCAGAACACTTTCTGCTGAGCCGGTCATCTGATGATGGCTTGACTTTCCAGACTTCGATTGGAAAGAAGACTTCGGTGCCGAGGCCGTCTGAGGTGAACTCGATCGTATGGATCTTCGAGTCAACTACCTCATAAGTGGATACGTCATTTCCTGTAATGCCGAGACCGCCCTTACGGAAGAGAACCAAGTGATCCATAGTGAAGAGATAAAATTGATTGGTTGGTTGTATGCAGAAGGAGTTGAGTTCTGGTCCAGTTCGCGGAATGGAGGCAGGTTAAATAGGTGATGAACGCTGGAGCTTGTCTCGATACCAAGGTTGATATCCCCTCTTTAGACCTTGTTCAACTTCAGATCACTTCATTACCTGACGCTGACCGGTGAGCAGAGGAAATAACAGCACCATCCAATGGTTTGACTCGTCTGATACACGGAGGGGACCTGCTCATCGCTTATTACTGCAATTCCGAACTACACAACTGGGTACAATGTACCACAGGAACGGCGAATGTCGGTCGCTAGGATCCGCTTGTCAATGTCACGAAGACTTACTTTTACCAGCATGAGAATACAGGCAATCTGCTCGGGCGGCTGTTGTATGAATGATGTCTGAGCCGGGGATCGAGTATACCAATCCCGATCAGCCTCACGCCCCCTCCTTTACAATATGCACCTCCTGGTATCACAGACCTGGTCATCCCTTTTCGGCTGTATGCATATGTACTGTTGCCATATATCTTTGGCTGGAGCAATTATGCACAATAACCATCACCCGTCACCAGTGACTTTCTTCATCTAGTAAATTTTCGCAGTCAATGTATAGTGCTTTTGCGACCAGGATTGGATTTTTTCGCAGTCAGCCGTACTCCACTTTAATGTGGTGTTGATGGCAGTCCGCACGCGGGCCGGCGTTATCTCGCTTGTTGGAGTGACAATACTTGGGTATCATGTTCATGGATGGGCATGAAGCGGCCTTATTATCTGGTGGAAGTTCTATGAGTACAATACGTAGCCTCTGCTTTCCATGCTGTGAAACTCGCCACAGCATCATCTGCCACGTCTCCATGATGAGCATCACAAGTTCCAAACGTTGTAAGCGACGCCATGTAAGCCCGCTGGGTATGTTGCGAAATCCTGGAACTCATCTGAACCGTTTATAACCGAATACAGGGTATACATGTAAGAGACGACATGTGAAATACGATGAATGCAAACCAAGTCGGGGATACCGTCGCGCACGTCGCGCGAATCGGACATGTCAATACGCAGATAGTCAAGGAGTCAACCAAGACTTGACCGAATCTTCACTCAGACAGTCGCTAGAAGATACGTATTTGGCCAATTTCATGCGTCCGGAGACATACTTTGACGTATTTTGTTCTCACTGCCACATATACCCATTCATCCCTCCGGCCTGGGTAGATGAGGTACAAAAAGCTGTGACCACAGAGGGATTCAGGGGTAAGGGATTGGGCCTTCTGGGCTGCATCATCCTTGCTCTCGCTGCGCAGCTTCAGGGTGACACTCAGAGAAGTCATGATTTCAGCAAATTACTTGAGTGCAAAACTCAGTCTGATTGGGAGGTTTTTCCAGCACCCGTCCGCGTGGCAATGGCCTTGTTGCTGGCTTGGTATTTCTCAAAAAGGAAAGAGCTGGAAGAGAGAGATGAGAAGATTCGTGTCGCTGTTGAGATCTTGATTCACGATCCAGATCCGGATATCACGTCATTCGGTCACGAACTGATTGTCTGTCTGAATTGGTCATGTTTCCTGATGACAAGGTGAGTCCCCCTTCCACAGGAGATGACAAAACTAACGCTACGACAGCGACTTCAACCTCACAAATATCTCAGCTATGCTGACCCACGTGAGAGACCTTCCGCCACCCACCATAAGCCTCCCACATGTCGACCCAGCTCATGTGGACATGTGCAGACGTCGGCTGTTGGAAGCGCTTCAAAAGCATGAACAAATTTGCTCGACTCAATGTATAATGTGATTAGCGAGCAGAAGAACTACACGGATGAACCTTGGATATTGCAGACTAGAAGAATGAAGGCTGGCACGGTAGTCGCAAACGCACCTTGGCCTTGACAGGGAAGGATGTGTGGGGGGAGTAGCAATCGACAATAAAGAGGGAGCTCCTAGCTGCAGCCGCGACTGCTCCTATTTATCATTTCTATCAGCTGCCTGTGGACTACCATTGAATGGCTTCACTCTGCGCATGAATGTCATGAACATCTTGAAACCGCTTGCAGCGGACCTTACACAGCCAATAAACCACCGAATCATCCCTAAGGTTTTGCGATGTTGAAGCTCGTCATTGTATATTTTGTCGCTCGCCTTGATCAATGTCCAAGCTGGTGCAAGGCTTTGCCACAGCTTGTGCAAGCTGGAGTTGACTGTGATGGCGTCTTTGAGGATTATAGGGAGGACTTCCGGGGACGATGTCACTATCGTTTCTCTGGTACATGAGTAGTAGACAGGTACCACAACGAGTGACAGCCAAGCCAAATTTTGTTGAAACTTTATTGTTGCGCTGCGATCTGTCGAATGGCTTGCTTCCTGTAGACTCTTGCGCATAGCTTGAACATCATGTGCAATACTGTATTGTTTCGTGAGAAAGACCGACATCAGTATTTAAAGGGGGACCCTTACAAGTCATTCTGGAGCTGCACTGTTTTCTCCCAAGCTTCTCTGTTTGCCTTGTCTTGGCCGAAGACGCATTTCATGAGGACATTAAGGCAGAGCAGAAGGGTCGTAATAAGACAGGACCACGCCCCAGTAATATGCCATAACAGGACGGCTTGTTTGGCTACAAATGAGGGTAATATGGTCGAGATGATGCGCAATGCTGTATCTAAACTGCTGAATTTCCTGAGACTGTCGAGCTCCCTCTGGTCCAAGGGGGCGCCACAAAGTGCGTCGAACCAGAATTCGCGGACGATGTTTGTAATTGGCGTCCAGCAGTATTCGGCCGCCCACTCCAAAGTTTGCGAGCAAATAAACAGAAAGATGAAGCGCACAAAGAATGGGAAGTCCTCTATCAATGACAAAATAATCTTCGTACTAAGAATGATTTGTGCAATGGCAAGACCAAGACAAAACGCGAAAGTGATCCCGCTTTTGTAAAACGAAGCGATTGAGACACTTTCACGAGATAAAACGGAAATTTGTAGCAAAGGAGCAGTTTCTGAACTCATTTTTGTTATCTAATTGAAGTGAAAGCTTTGAGATGGGCACAGGGACGTGTATCAAGCTTAGAATTTAATGATAAGCGGACTTATCTGGACTTTAATATAAGCATCAGTACATGGAAAACCTAGATACGGTCTAGGCCAGTCGCCCCTTCCCATCATACATCAGGATCAGCTCATTTCAGAATATCCTATGTGGTCTTGGCGCAAGTGTATTACATGGGTGCTGATGTAACTCCCTGTACCCCAACGGTTGCATCCAGTAAGCTATACCTGCATAGAGCGGATGCATGTCCCAGATTCCGCGTAAGACGGAAGACCGAAGTGGAAAGAAGAGTCTCAAGACGCACGCCAACCCGCACACACCAAGTTCGGGACTTTGATTCGTGGCAATGGGTACGAGCGCTGGTCCGTCAAGTATATCCTACCGCATAGGGGAAATGATCCGGTCCGCGAAAGAGGTGATAGTGCGCTGATACCTCAAGGAATCGTAGATGGATTTCGTTATAAGTATACCTGGTAACCAAATCTTGTCTGCCGCAAAGCCCGTCTACCAAGCTTCATTCAAACCAATCCTGCAATCTGAGATAATCGTGTCCCAGCAAAAGAGATGGTGCCCACCGTGGCCATGATTGGACCCGCGGCCTATGGAAAATCCAGAGTAATACAAAGGTTCCACACAAATGAGTATGAGGAAGTATGTTGAATTTACGCCGTTAAGATGACAAAGCTAAAAGAACGTCTAGCAACCGACACTGTTTGACGAAACCACAATTGAAAGCGATTCAGGCCCCTGCAGAATTCTTGACACAGGCGATTGGAACTTGTATCCGGATGTGGTTGACTCGTGCACAAGAGAAGCCGATGTTGTCATCATACCATTCAACAGCAGCAACTCGTTGAGCTTCATCAAGGCTTCGGAGATTAACTTTTCTTCGGATCAACCAATTTTCTTGCTTGCAACCAAGGAGGCAGGACAAACTCCAATAATTATGTTGGAAGCTTCGGAATTTGCGGAAAGGTGTGGGTATCAATTTATCCGCGAGGAAGACTGCAATCCTTTCGCAGAAGTAATCAATCACTTGTGCCCTAGGCTAGGAAGGTGACCGCTGGACAGATAATGGTTAGACTTCGAAGAGTTTCATATACTGTTCCTGCACAAGCCTCTAGAACGACTTTCATATACTGTTCCTGCACAAGCCTCTAACTTTCCTGCCCCCAAGAACCGCTATGCTAGGTATTTGCTTGTCACATGATTTACTTCGCAGCCCAGTTTGTACGCCACTGTTGACACAAATGCTGCCCGTACCAGCAAAATTGTACGTAGTGTTTGAAACCACCCAAGCTCCTTTCCAACCATAAAATCACACATGTCTTGGTCGGCTTTTTGCCATTGATTTTGGGCCTGTTGCTGCGAGACCCAGGTGGCCAAATCCTTTTTGTCATTCTTCCTCCTGCTGTAGTGGAAGTCATTGATCGCCATCCACATGGTCGCCTTTCCTAGCCCAAGACCTTTGAAAACTTCGAGGGGAAGCATCAGTTCGTCTTCAGAGTCGCCTTCAGAGTCGCCTTCAGAGTCGCCTTCAGAGTCGCCTTCAGAGTCGCCTTCAGAGTCGCCTTCAGAGTCGCCTTCAGAGTCGCCTTCAGAGTCGCCTTCAGAGTCGCCTTCAGAGTCGCCTTCAGAGTCGCCTTCGGAATCGTCTTGAGAGAAGATATGACTTGATGCAAGCATGTGAGCACACGCTAGCCTAGTCTTGTCATGTGAAGGCGATTTCTGGATGAGTGCTGCTACCGACGAGATCACTTCTGCCAGTCGATCTGTATCCACATCGCTTTTGTAGTTGAGCTGTCTTAGAAGGTAGCAAAGATTCTCTAGAAGCTTTGCGGTTGACCTTCGATCGAAGACCCATGCTTGTATGATATTTCGCTTTTCTTCTTTATTGCCTTGAATCGATGCAAGCATCTTCGCACGTGCCGAATTGAGTTTATCGTTCGGGGGCCGGTTTTGGATAAGTTCTCCAATTGAAGAGGCCAGACTCTCGAGTGAATCTGGAAATGGATTCTTTTGGTAGTGCAGACATCTTATATTGTCACAGATGTGCGCCAAGATTACATCTGTGGAAATTGGATCTGGATACAAGAACCTAAAGAACCTCAGACGGATCTGAAAGAGGTGAGCCATAGTTCTTGAGGTCGAAGGAATAAATATTAGAATGAAATGCAGTTATGAAGTCTAAGTAGAGCTAGTGATCCGATAGACAAGAGCATGTTATATACAGCCCGTTCCTGGCAATCAAGACTTCCGACTGACGAGTCCATAACTGCTTGAGGCAGAATGCAAAGGACTTTTGACAAATGAGAGACGCCCGATTTGTTAGCATTTGAATGTAGATCTCACTCCATCTATTGAGCCTCGTCACACAAGCAGCTCCTCAAAAACAATGAATCTATGCGCATGGTGTAGGACGCCATAGAAGTCGGGCGATGTCTCAATCTGTGTGCATTCGTTCAGCCTACTGCTTCACACTGGCAGGGCTCAAAAACGCATGGGACACGATCCACGGGGTGGTTGGACTTCCGGAAACTCATTTGCGCCGGCTTTTCGTGCATTGACCACCGAAGTCTGATTAATATTTCTATGTAAAGTCCTTTTGCAAATATAGGTGAGCCGTTGCTCAAACACACAATCCACTTTTATGTGGTGTTGTGAAGATACATACCCAATGTGACATATTGTGTGCATGCATCTTGCTCAGGGGTCAGCTGCTGCGGAGGATCCTATGTAACCGCCAGGCTCACGTCTTCTACCGCTTTGCCACGTAGGATGTCATGCTACAGAGAGTTTAGAAGATCCCAGCTTCCTGCGAAGCGAATAAGAGAAAGTATAGATACAAAGTTCAAGAAGAAAACAACACCAGAGCTACTCATTAGTAATTTGCAGGTTTCAATATATGCACCTCTTCTGGATCCACCTCAGAGTCTGCCTAAAGAACCTAGGAAGGTATGTATGCATTCAGATCATCTACTGAGCTCACGTCCTGCCGCGCACCACTCTCCCTTGAGCGGTGTAGGCTGTCCGACGCCCCACAAAGGATACCTTCCATACCAGTCGGGGAAAGCTTGTCAAGTACTAAATGTCAGTCTCTTCTCGTTCTTGTCCTTGGTGTTTTCAATTCAGCGAACTTCCTATTCTGAATCGGGCTCTCTGCAGCAGACTGATGTCGATGGCGATGCAAGTGAGATGGTAAGTGCCCAGTCGTCGTTCCAAGAGCGACCTTCTCGGAAATTCACGAAAGCTGATTATCCGTGACCCGTGAACACCACGCGCCCATTAGACTGCAGGGGTTTGGAAGCAAGCCATCTACAACACTTTGCGGTACAGCGGGGTCTGAGGAGAAGGGACCCACTGCACCAACTCGACTGCATTCTTCATTGGCTTCTATCAAGCCACAATATCCCTGCCACCAGCCGAATACCAGTTTGGAGATGGACCCGACGAACAAAAGCAACATTGAGGATTCACTGGCGCATCGGCATCAAGACAGGGTTGTGTCATCATCCTCTTCACTCGCCATCGGCAATGTATTTCTTGACTTGCAAGCGAACCGGAACGTACACCCTCTGCAACTCATTCCGGTTACATTGACCCCACCGTTTAGTTAATGTTCAATGTTGGTCAGTCGGGGAGATGCTTGCGCTGTTGTAATAGTCAAGCGGATGTCAGGATCCCGTCTTGGGATGAATGCGCAATAATCTTACGGGCATAAATAAACAGGAGTTCCACTGAGAATAGCTTGCTCATAGACCTCGAATCATCAAGCTTCAGTCACAATGTCCGAGAAGACAGAAGTTGTCGTCGAGTCTTGGATTGCACGCTTCAATTTCAAGCTCCAATTTCCGTCACCATGCCATGAATTGGATATTATCATTTTACCCTTTGTACTTCTAGACGCTAAGTCATGCGCCTTCTGCTACTCAGATAAGATGGACAAAGAACAATTAGAATATTATCGGACAAAACTGGAAATCGAGATGGGAAAAGATCTGTAAGTAAATCTGATCTACATTGCGTGCATTAGTTGACAAAGGCAGCCGAAACAAAGCCCCCAACACCAAGGCCATCCCCAACATCATTGTGAAGACGGATTTCAGCCTTGGAGCAGAAAGCAACTTGCCCGTATCTGCGGACAACCTCGAAATGATATCTTTGGTCTTCAAAGCACTCTCGCTTATAAGAGACTACCAAATCGGTAATAAGTGTGATGGGAACGATCCTTGGCTACAATCTGGGCAAAATGATATTTTCCAGCGTCTGTACCTCGATGCGAAACTATGCAGATATCTTGTGGAGTTTATTCGAGAGTCTGCTGTGAAACTTGTCAAAAACCCTTCCCACTTGCCCCTTGTGCGTTCCGGGCAGAATAATGTTGTTGGGGAAAAGGACATAGTAACGAGCATCAGGGATTCCTATTTGGCGCGCCGAGAGGAAAATTCGAACATATCCCGCAATTTCAAGTTCGTGTAAAGTCTTCGTACCCGGCTGCCCAATACATGTCAAGCACGGACCACATAGATTTATACTAGTTAAGCTGTGGCTTATCTCCGAAGAATTGAGGTTAACGCTTTTTGCCCACACCATGCCTTGCCCCGCATTCAGCAACGCGGTTCATCAAAGCGTGATAACTAATGGAACCAGACGCAGCCCCGAAAGCCTTGCGACTAAATGGCGCCGATTTGTACGAGATTCAAGATCTCCCAGAAGCCATCAAGAAAAGACCGCCGAGTGTCTCCCTGGAGAAGCCGTCACTGTTCCAATTTCTTGTTTCATCCTCTGGCCACCACGGTGCTGCCGAGGTCTGTGTGACTCCCTCGAAGAGTCATGATCCCCGAAACCCATCCTTCAGCCCCACGCTCCGCATCATCTTGTGTTGCGCGCATGCTCCTTTGAAATCTATCATAACAGAATGCCAAAGAGTGTACGACTCTTGCATACGACCCATCCAGTGGACATTTCACGACGTCAAGTGAGGCAAATCTATACTTGCGAGGTTACAAGCTAATGGCAGTCTATAGACATTCTTGTGTGCAAGTAGATTCCGGGCTCGTCACGAAATGTGACGAAAGGGCCGAGATAGCCCTGGAAGAATTGGAAACGAGTTGCACCTTTTGGGCAGTCACAAATACGCTGAGATTCAGTAGGATCCGGCGATTGCCACCACAAGATATGATCAAGCTGGAGATGTTCCGAAACATACAGGATGATCGCTCGCTGGTGCTAGCGCATGAGGATGCCAAGGCCGCCATTAGCATTGCCCTGCGCTTGTTTGGTCAGGCCGCCGAGAATCTACAAGCTCGTGACTTGCTGCTTACTGCAGCGAGGCACGAGAACAAAGAAATGATGGAGTACTTATGGGACAAATCTAGCGAGAGCTGGGAAGCTTGGCTGTTGTATGCAAATTGTCGTCGTGTCCTCCAACCCACTGCCCAAAGACGGAAAAACTTTGATCGGGAGGATAGCAGAAAACTCGAGGAGAAAAAGAGGCACCAGCAGAACCAAGCTGCAAACTCAGTATCTACGCTGAACTCAACTGTCAACAATCTCTGCCAAGTAGCGACTTCACTCACGCCCGGCTGTTTCTGTGGTCTCGGCATATATTCCTGGTTCCTCAGTAAGGCCGCCTCGTCAACGTCGTCCGCTTGCCGCTGACTATCGCAGAAGTAGACGAGAGGCTGCGCGGGTGCGGCAGAAAGAATGAAGCCGATCGAAGACTGTTCAGCCAGTACATGACTGCTGTACTTCGTGCCGCTTCTCTTCCCTACCCTTCCTATATGGCCCACATCCCAGCCGTGGTTGCCCTGCTTTGCAACGAGTCATGCGAGACCAAGTTTCCATATCAAGATGTTTGCAAGCTGCTTGGCTTAGATAACCTCGCTGGCCTAACGGTGAGCAGTATACAAGTGAATCAACCCTTGGAACAGCGGATGGCGCAGTTGCTCACTTCGACATGTCCATCTCATGGGCAGAAGGGGGTGTATCTCCCAGACCTAGCATCTTTGGACACGGAACTCCAGGATCTAAGCAAACTCCAATTCATTGGTTCTTTGAAGAGACGCATGGATATTGAGGGGACCAATGCTTATCAAATCCAGCTGCCCCTGCTTGATGACACGATACGGAGGATTGTGGACTTGACGGTGCGTCCCTACAATACGGCCGCGAGGCGCTGACTGACCAATCAGAGGGCACATGTCGGAGCTGAACTGAGAGAAGCAATCAAATGGAGGTCAAGAATAGTAGCTCATTCCGGCTATCTCTATCCCGGTCCAGAAACCTGGAAGACTGTCGTCGTCCCACTGATCATCCCTCGACCCAACCTAGACCTTCATATGAGATACATGAGAGGAAAGGAGCAGCAAGAACTGCTATCGACGCATTGGCGACAACCATCCATAATTGATGGAGACATCAGCTTCGGTGTCAACGGCTCAACAATTGTCTCCATCTTGATCTCATATTATCGAAAAGCGCAGTTTGAGTGGCTTGACGCTGGAAAACAAGGCGCCCAGAATTCAGAATGGTCCGTGATCACGCCTGGTTTCTGGCAAGGTCTGATGAAGGGGCAGTAGAATCTGCAGCGCTCGAGCGCGGCTGAACATCTCCCCACGGTCCCTGTTCAGGTGGTCCGTCTTTTCCAAGATTACCAGACTCATGTAGTTCATCGGATCCGCTGGGGGTCGTTGTGTTAAAGCTCCCTTGCGGGCCACCTTGAGGAGGACCGTCGTCGCCCAGATTTCCGGACTCTGGGCTGCTGCTGCCAGACATGTGCATGTATTCAGTCTGAAGAGAGTGATTAGATATGGCTTGGTGGATTTCTTTACACAATTTGTGGGATAATGTCAATGAAGTTCTCAGAAAGCTCTTTATGAATAGAGTCCATAATACCAGGAACGACAAGGCGACAGGCAACCTCAGGCTGCGTCTGGCACATTCCAACGCTTATTATGTGTTCAAGCATGCCAACAGTATCCTACAAGCTCTACCTTCTTCATTGGAAGCTCTATATCCTTTAATCAGGGAACCTATTCCATGTCTTGTACCGACCTAAACAAGCTTAGAGGCAGCTCCTTCTGCAGCAGGCTGTCCACCCACTCAGATCCGCGAGGGGTGAATGCATAGAGTCGAATTTCTTCTTCTGAGCAATGCACCCCAGCTGCAGCGAGTAATTATTTAAGGTATACGCGCCAGGCATGTATGTGGCCCCATATACTACCCTAGCCAACCAGCAGCAGGGATGAAGTATTGCTCGACCCGACAGACGTACGGCACCTGGGGGTGATCATCGACTATATATGATTTCGTCAATTCCTGGGTCGAGTAAAAGCGTCTATTTCACAGTATATTCCACCTGAAATCCCAACTGCCTGCTCAAATGGTTGCTTACACAAGAGAGCAAGTAGACTTTGTTAAATACCATTACAATGATAAGGAGTGTGAGAGATCGATTGTGGTGGAAAAATTCAAACTCCAATTCCCTGATTTCGGAAATATAAACGCGAAAAGCCTATACTCCATGATTCATCGCCAGCACTACCCTTGCCTAGATTCCACCGGGTCCATCGCATTTCGGCTGGATGGACATATGAAATCTGGGAACAAGCCATGTTCTGTAGTCGACACAGATCCACGTCGAGCATTGGAATACACTTGGGTCTCCGAAAAGGATAAGGAGGAAGCTCGAAAGCTACGTCCGTATTCGCTGCGATATATCTTGCGCAAAATACTAATACGTTCCACAGTATTACCAAGACAAGAAGAGCAAGCAGAGCCTCGTCGCTTGGCTGAGATACGTGGTCTATGGTCAGCACCAAAGTTTCCATATACATGTGCCTGTTGCCGTCTTGAGCCAGATGGACGAATTTCCACCATTCTTCAAACGACAGAGATCCATTGGCCGATCTGTTCAAAGAAAGCAGTAGAGCGGAGGGCAAAGAAGAGGGCCAATCGGTCAGAATCATCAGATCCACACGCTCGAGAGAGGCAGGAACCCAAACGCCCGACCTTACGGCCACTAATGACGGAAGAGAAAATGCGAGGCTTTTTGAGACTGTAGGATAGAACAATATAGACGTGGGTACAACTCGGAACTTCACTAAGAGTAACCTCGAGTGGCTTCTGCATTTTCGAATATAACTATTGACTCCTAGCGAAATTTACAGCCGCGCGATGAGATTCCTTTTTTCAACCAATACATCACAACACATATATGTATTTCTGTGGCATTCACCGGCGTGTCCCTATCGGACACACCACAGACTTGAGAGAGGCGTTTCTTTATGGGGTCCATAAATCAAGAGCATAATAGACAATGCCATAGTGTGACCAAATGTTGGTGGTGCATATCGGTACCATTTCCGCAGATGGAAAAGACACCCGCCTCTATTTTTCAGTGAAGAGAAATTGCGTGCCATATCTGAATTGGAGCACATGCATGAGCCGACATATAACACATATGTATCACACTCAGCCCGCTCGCCGCCGGACCGGGACTAGAACGATATGTACCATGCATACCCTGATGCGACGTGCGACTTGCAGCTGTGAAAGTAAAATCTGGTCCCTCCGTCTGCACAGCAACGTTCTCGAGAAAAGCAACCACATGTGCTAATTCGACCCAAACGCTCCCTGGTGCATAATTGTGCCGGCCTGCATTCGGCCGCTGGAGGGTGATATGATTGGGCTGGCATTATTACTGTGGCGGGTGATGCGCTTTGTTAATTATGGCTATCGGTTTGTTTCGATCCCTGCCGCACGGCGCAGCGTGAAGCTCGGATGCATCAAACCTGCAGAAATACTTTGCCATAATCCTGGTCTTTGCGGACGCAGAAGATTTTCCTCTGGATTTGCTGCAAGATGTCACCCTTGTCGAGCGGGCGCGCGAGCAAAGAGAGTAGCATAAGAGCGGGGTGATGCCCGTCCAATTTCCAACATTCTGTTCACCTCTTTCTTTTCGATTGAGACTGAACTCCAATTCATCTCGATGGAGTCTTCAATGCAGCCCCCGTTCTTGTACGGAACCAGTACTTGCATCGCCAAGATAAAACACCCAAAAGCCCAGAAAGGCGGTTTCAAACACTCCGAGGTACACGCTTGCGATCCCTGCCGTAAGAACAAGAAAAAGGTACCCAACTTGAACAGCGATCTGCCAGAAGCGAGCTGAATATCACCAGTGCGAATGGTTTCCGAACCCTTTAGTCCTCGTATGTAGGAAATGTGCAGAGCGCCCCAACAACTTCCCGCCGTGCGAGATCCAGCCCAATCGCATTGAGCCGTTCCAAAAATGTAACTAGATACGTACACACCAGCATACTCATCAACTGCTGACAAGAAAACAGGGCAGGATACCGATTACGTCAAAGTGTTCAACGTCGACACCAAGTATGCGTCAAGCTGGCTAACTTTTGTGACTCATTATCCGGGATTGGCTGGCGTGGCATTGCTCCTGAGATGCTCACCCTTCCAAGCCACACACACCAATCAAATACGACTGGTCACCAAAGACGCGCACGGCTGGCACTACAAAGAAACACCTGCGCATTGCCTGGAATCAGACAAAGTGGACATCCAACAGTATATCAATACATGCGCCGCAGTCGAGTTGATGGAGGGTATGCAAAGAAACAATCCAATAGGGGTGATGTTCCGAATGGCCGCTGCATACCGCCATAATCCAATCGTGCAATGCTGCCTACACTTGTACACATCCCTGAAGCTAATGCTGCGGCCTGTCCTTCTTTGCGACGGCCACGACACGGAAATGTCAGGGTTCAGAGACGAGGTGGGGGTGCCAGCGCCACGTATGGTAAAGAGCCAGCTAGGTCACTTGCTGGAGATGAACATCATGGATCTCGACCGGATATTACGACGATATTGTCAGGGGCAGCTTCCTGGAAACGATCCCGTAACCATTTTGGTATACTTCTTCCTACTGCACGTGCGAGAGCTAGACGCAGCACGCAATATCTACTGGGCCCGTTACGTCGATGTTGTAAGTGGTGAATTTACCATTAAAAGAGCCCACTCGCTAAACTCATGGACAGGGCAGGTGCTGGCAGCATCCAAAACGAGCGCCGTACCTGCTCGAAGAAGTGACTGCCTCCTGTAAGGAGGTATTGTCGGAATTGAGAAATCAGGTTGGATTGAACCCTGCCAATTGGCCCAATTGTGGCACTGATGAGAAGGCCACTCTGTGGTTGAGGCAATTGCGAGAAGCCTTCATTCAACACCAATGGATTCCAGAACCAGTGGCAATGGCATACCAGGATGGCAACCCGTTCTCATTAGAATTCACAATCAGTTCCAGGATGTTTACCATTGCGTACGATGACTTTACTATAGAATAGATAGTGGTCTATGCAGAATGAGAGACTCCCATCAGTGTTTGGACCGTTGACTTGACAGAGTCCCACGTCTCCTGCTGCGTATCTCCATGCTGGATCTGTGATAGTGTCAGCTTTACCCGAATAGCATTAACAAATAGCTTACCTGTCGGAAATGGCGGGTGTCTCTAATAACGGAGCGGTCTCCGGCGTCGTTCATTTGACCTTCCCAACGGCCGCACTGAGTCGTGCCGACGATGTGAAGGAAGTAGTATGGCTTGCGAGGCTGCTAGAGTAAGAGCCGATTGTCAAACTCGGGCAAATGCTCACATACCTGTTTATGCGACAGTAACAACTGCTCGCTGAACCCTTCTACCAGGACCCATCGATCATCCGCCTGGTTATCGAGGGTCTCTTCCAGCAGTTTGAGTGAAAGTTGGGCAGGCACATCCATTTGTTCCTCCAATGTCTCCCAAATGTAACTCGACAATGCATCAGAATGACACTCAGATCTGGTGCGCAGGATTTCGTGCAGAGAGAGATGTTGCATTCCGAACTCGTCTCTCAAACGATCGCACGATGCAGCGACGATTGACTGGTCACCTGTAGAAGTGAGTTATGGGTGAGCATGATAGAACGGATTTCACTTACCAGTGACGAAGAGTACATTGTGATGCTTCTTTCGCTCGTTCTCGCATGTTCTCCTCTGTAGCATATCAAGCACGAGCTTGCCTTCGGCCGAGCTAATCTTGGAGCTGAGCCCCTTGAACTCCTCGAAGCGGTCAGGCATTTCTGATGAGCTGTCGTACTCTTGAGCCTGCAGAATGCATTCAAGCTTGTCCATCTCTTTGACGAATCGGCCTTCGGCTGTCTTTCCATGTTCATAGTCATCCCAGGCGTCGAAGACCTCTCTGGCTAGATCTTCACTCAATAAAGAACATAAATACTTGAACGCGTTCGCCTCGAGCTTGTGTTTCTGGTCTAATCAATCTGTTAGAGATTGGGGGCTTGTAATACAATGCATTCTTACCTTTGGCGACACCAGCATAAGTGGGAATGTCTCCGATTACAGATTCAGCCAAGTCATGGCAGATACCTATAAGAAGGCATCGTGACCGGTTCAGGTCACTCTGCGTTCTGATCAGCCACAGTCAGCACACATCGGTCATGTACCTACGGGCGCCAGGAGCATGCTGAGCCATGCCACACCAAAGGAGTGACTGGCAACGCTCTCAGGATGCTGAATCATTCTGAGCCATCCCGTACGCGGAACGTCTTTCAGAGCCAGAATTGACTGGAAAAACCAGAGCGAAGTCACTTTTTTGTCCATAGCCGAGTCCTTGAAGTTGTGTATCATGTAATTATCTACCATCAGTGACGACTTGGAAGTTTCCTCCCAACCCCGCGCCAGGGTGTTGAAAGCGGGGTTCCCTTTCGGTGCCCTTTTTTTCGTACAGAAGACTCCAATCGCCCACACCTTTGAACCTGACACTGAATCTACCATCCATGCCATCTTCAGAATGTCCGTCAATAACGGCCCCGAACAGCCTTGGAGCGTTGCAGGTGCGCTGCAACAACTTGGAATTACACCCGAGGAAAAAGCCAATGACTTCCTGCCCTTTTGGCATATTCTTGAACGACTCAAAACAACTAAACGTACGGGCTGGAAGCGCCATGGTATCAAGGAGTAAGAATACGTCTTCGTCTTGTGGTAGCTGGCGGAGCTAACGATTACAGCGGGGAATCTATTGCTGATCATTCATGGCGGATGGCCATGATTGCCATGTTCGCGGCTCCCGCCAATCTCGACAAACTCAAGTGCATCCAGATGTGTCTCGTCCATGACATTGCTGAGTCTGTCGTCGGCGACATCACGCCTGCCGACAATATCTCGAAAGAAGAGAAGCAAGGTCGCGAACGTGAAACGGTGGATTGGATGGCCCAGGCATTGCTGTGCAAAGCTGGAGATGGGCGCCAGGGCGAGGAACTTCGTGGTATATGGGAAGAGTTCGAACAAGGAGACACTGCCGAGAGTCGTTTTGTCCAAGATATTGACAAAATCGAGCTCCTCTTGCAGATGGTCGAATATGAGGGCCGAAGTGCTCAAGATCTAAGCCAGTTTGCATACGTGGCACAGAAGCTTTCAGACAATATGAAGCCATTGGGCGAAAAAATCTTGGACGAAAGACAAGATGTACTACCTGCGCCTGAAGAACCGGGAATGAAAGAGATGCAAGACAGATACTACTCATAGTAACGGCGATTTGGTAGTCTATAATACTAGCCTTACAAGGAGGCTATTCGAAGCTTCGGTCGCTTCTAGCGGGAACTGCACTGCTCCACTCACAGGTACCAGCTCGTCCACTCTGCTTTTCCCAATTCAATCTGATGTGCATTCGTATGAAACTTCCATGCCAACTCTATCGCATAAGCAAGACCAGCTGAAAATCATATTAATGTCACGTTATGCAACTGTCTTCAAGCGGAGGAAAGAATGGTCTTGAAAGAATACATAGGCCGTCTCCATGCACTTACGGCAACCGCTGCCCTGTAGCGCCCATCTCCGCATAGGTCGACTCGTTTAGTTCCCGCTTAATAGGATCGAGTGCGGAGTAAAGTACTTTCGCTCCCCTGGCAGCCGCTGAATGTACATTGTACACTATTGTGTATTACGTTCCTAGAAAATGCCGCGTAACTGTTCCGGGCATGCAGAGCATGCAGGGGTGGTCTCGATCTCATCGTCCCACTTTTTTATGGTAAATTTTTTTTTTGGCAGTTGAAGTATAGGTACCAAAACAAGACTATACTTTGGAGCACAAAAGCAATAAAATGTCGGCTGTAATGAAGTAGGATCAATATGTTGGGTGCTGAGTTACGGAGCTGCTGTGTGCAAAGCCCACGAAGTACTTAGAAGCGTCTTAATCCGCGATAATGTGACCAGAGTAAGCTGTCCACTTATGCCCTGCTCCAGCCAATATAGTCAACAATATCGTTTGAGACCATGATGGCTTCATTGTTGCATTCCGATAATCATTCGAGTATCTTCGACGTATCCAACATTGACATTGCATCCCACGACGACCAGAACAACAATCATGGCCAGGACTCCTTACACCATTCTGGTGATCAATTCGATGATCATTCCGAGGATGATTCGAGTATCTTCGACGCATCCAACATTGACTCAAATGTCTACCACGATGAGTCAGATACCGACCTAGACAGCATTGCATCCCACGATGACCAGAACAATAATCATGGCAATAATGCCATCATCGACGAAGCCAACAATGACCCAGATACCGACCTAGACAGCATTGCATCCCATGATGTACAACGGCCCTTGACGTCTTCCAGACTTCCTCCACCTCCACCTCCACCTCCACCGCCATCACCGGCTGCTTCGGTTCGTGGCGATTGTGATCTTAAGCCTCCTCAATTGACTGCTAATTAATTTTGATATTAGCCAGTTGTTGTGTTCCAGGGTAAGTGCCTCAATGAAATAGTTTAATGAATTATACAACTCATCCTACCAAGATATCCAACACGACGCAATAGCCCAAAAGATGAACAATGGCCTGTTTGCATCACCCATAACAGATCCTGAGCATATTCTCCATCTAGGTCCCTGGCGTACGAAGTGGGTGTTAAAAGCAGGTAGAGTCTCTCAAGCCATCATCATAGATCCAGCTAATCAAGTCACTTAGTCAACCGTCTACAGACTTCTCAAGTCACCACGCTTCAACCGGAGATCAGGTCCGATATCACTCGACGACAACACTGCTATACACATCGGAGAATCGAGTTCTACCAGCATGATTTTGACCACATGTATGAGCAAGGAGAAACGTACGATTTGATCTTCATGAGAGAGACATTGGAAGTGAAGACAGAGGTTGCGGCCGCCGCAATTATTCAGAAAGCTGCCAGGTATGTATACTTGCCATCACCAATGTTGCAAAGACTGAGATGGGCAGACTATTGAAGCCTGGTGGCTATTTTGAAGTACAAACGTTCGTGCGCTACTTCGAACGTTGCAAAGTCGGCAATGCCAGCGACCTCGTTGGAGATGTATTCGAGCGCGCCAAGGAACTTGGACAAGCTATAATCAGCACGACGCCCTGGAAAAGCTTGATGGAAGATGCGGGGCTCGAGACGCAGCAATGCATATTGAGCTCATCCACATTCACTGACGATTTTGCTGCTTTCCTCCCGGAGTACCTCGATGGTCATCTTCCCGATCTGGCTCCCATGGCAGCGGAAGCTCTCAAATGCCCAGGAATGGAGAACTCTATAAGACTGTAAGTTCATCCCCAGCGAGAATATTCTCAGCTCATCTGTGAGGAATAGGCAAGTTATTTGTGGTCGGAAGCCTGTCGAGACATCTTGAGTGAGTACGTTTGCTGGGCAGATGATACGGCCCATGCTATTTATTTGAAGGATACCGGACATGCTGCGAGCAATACGAAGATAAGCAAGACTGACATCGGGAAGCTTCCCCATGGTTGATTTTGGCTTCGAGGGAGTGCAGTGGATTCCTTTGTGGCTTTACAGCATTTTATATGTAGGCTAGATGCCAAAGACAGGTGCGCTGCCAGAATCAATCCCATATGTAAGGCATGTGGCCAACTGAGGCTATTCCCGTCCTCGCCTTTTGTACTGCCTAGAAGCCGATGGCGACGGAGGACTCCGTGTGAACTTAGCTGGGCGGGAAGGAGGCGTTTGCACGCTTGGCAATGGGATATTTGACGCGAAGCTAGTTGCAAAGCTCTGTGAATCCCCAGCATCGTCGTTGCCATCTGGATCATCTTCAAAGCTGTGTTTCAGAATCCCCAATCCAAGATTCGTCTCTTGGGTCTCAGTCTCCTCAGTTTGAGATCCAGACTCGTCAGGGTCGGCAAATAACCGGCACTCAAAAAAGTCGGCGGGACTGGAACTGTAATCCCTCTGGCTCGGTATGACCTCAATAAAGCCGGCATCCGTAGTGCCAATAACTTGGCTACGAGCTTTAGCGTTCGCCGCCTCAATAAATTTGTCACGATATTTCTGTGCCAAAATGCGAATATTTCTGAATGCTGCGGATCCTTCCCGCCAGACTTCATCGTCCCCCGTAGTGGCATAAGCTTTGATTTGGGTTGTATAATACTGTGGTCTCTCCTGCAAGGGGTTGGGCGCGAGGATGTGATGAGCGTATAATTTTAAGGTTCCGTCGACCAGAGTTGACGTGAAGGCGTAGGCGTTGCCATCAAAACCAGGCTCCGGTACTAGATAATTTTGCAAGGCATGCATAATGCGAGCTCCATGAGCTCCATTCAGAACCGCCTGCCGTTGAGCCACGTCGCCAGTCCCCCCGGGGCCCTTAGCTTCGAGGAAAAAGTTCGGTGCCACGGGGGCATTCGCGTGCTTTGTAGGAATAATGATGGTACCTAGCTCCTCTCGTACTACTTTTTCGACTTTGCCCGGCTGTGCCCCATCAAAGAAATCAGGTATTGGATTGGCCGTTGTGTTCCCGGTGATGGAGGCGAGATTGAGGAAGGGAAGGTGTCCCTCGTTCGGGATATCGACATCGCCAGCGAGTATGGGCACCACAACGCGCATAATCGTACCTTCAGACTTCGTTGTGTTTTTTATCTGGAAGTCCTCGAAAGCCGACTCGGGCACGACGGATGGCGAGAGGGATGCCCGAGGGGTCTTGAGCGCCTGTCGGATCTCTTCTATATTTGTTGGTTTCGGTGTCCTTTGGCCGTTCGGTAGGCAATAGAACGGAGGGTAAATATCGTGATCAATAAGGTGCTGTTCGAAATTGGCATCATACGCCGAGGATCGTCGGCTTGTAGAAGACACTGTCGTTGGTCTGGTCGATTGCGTTCTCTTACTGCTGATGGAAGATGATCTAGAGGCCATCTCGTCCGATAACGGTTGGCACTAGAGGACTGGGATTAGCTTAGCGAGGATAGAGACAGCCGAAAAGAACATACACCACGAAGATCTGAGAGATCGGGGCCACCTGTCCTGGCAAACCGAGCCAGCTTGAGGTCACCACGCGCGGTAGCTTGGTTGAAGCTTACGATACTACTTTGAGGTGATCCAGACTTGGGAAACAGGCGCGCGTCGGTCCGCTGATCGTGTTCTCGCAAAGCACGATCTGTAAGCCAGAGCTTCGATAAAGTATCATAAAAGTCAGGCGGGAAATTCAACCTTGCCTTCTCACTAGATACGTCTTCTGGCAAAGGCTCGTCTGCGCGCTTTCTCTTTCGGGTCTGCAGTCTTGCCATGGACCGATACAAGTAGTTGCAAGAATAGATAAGGACTTGAAATCAATTCGCAGCCGTCATGGTAGATGCGACTCACGCGACGAAGGGATCGTTCTAGGAGAAAAGATCAGCGCTAATTACGCGCCCAAGCGGGGAGGAGCTGCCCACCAGCCAGTGGCTAACCTAATAGAAAAGCACCACTTGGCACGTTGGTCAATACATTGGATGGAGTAAAACCCCACACACTACTCTGTAGCGTACCAATCATTTATTTAACCAGCCACTCGCGCTAGCGGTTGCGTCCTTATTTCGTCTCCGATTTCCCTCTCGAGTCAGGTTCTCTCTTCTTTCTCACCCACACTATACGTGTACTGCAATCATTACCGTTATATGTCGCTCTATTCTTTCCAAACAAACTGTTCCTTGCTCATTCTTTCGGTTCTACTACCCGTGCAAGAGATCTATGATGTTGTCGGCGTAGGAGTGGGATCACGTCGGAACTCGTCTCATGTGTCACTCTTGGTTTCGAGCCACGCATAGAACAGTCACCCGCGTACCCGCTCATTCTACTACCTCTGGCAACTCATACCTCTTTGCACTTCGCGGGTCACTTCACAAGGACAGTTCGCTGGTGCTTAGGTCAGTCACCTATTCATGCAAAAGCTCTGTAATGTTGTCGGCGTAGGAGTGGGATCACGTCGGAACTCGTCTTATGTACCGGTTTCTAGCCACGCATAGAACAGTCACCCGCGTACCCGCTCATTCTACTACCCCTGGCAACTTATAGTTGTTCTTGTGTCGACGGGATCAGGACTGTTATGATATTACCGTAAGTTTCCTTTTGATCATCTGCTACCTGCTCTGCATGCACATTTAGGTTTTCACAAGCGAGACATGTCAGTCAGCGCCAATGTCACGGTGAAAAACATTCGCATCAAGAGAGTCGTCGCTCTCTCCGACCACCAGGACGAACATGTAACTGTCGATGTACCTCAAGTTGACCCCTTCTTTGCCTTCAACGCGATATACGTGCCACCGGCGACAGCTCTCTTCAGGTTGAGCATCCTCGTGAATAAAGCGACTGTATACCTGCAGCTCTCACCCAATCGCATCGAATCGCTGAAAAAGACCACTTGCGACCATAGGAAGAAGGATACTGGGATATGCTTTGATGTCATTAGTAAGCATTTGGGTGGCCATCTCTCTTTTACACGCCTCGAGTTTCAGCTCCTCCGTCATGCCGATATCATTGTTCCGAAGGAGTTCAGCTTGGATCACTGTGACGCTGAGGCAAGATGCACGTTTGCGGCGATTGTCTCGTTAGCCACCGCCACAAACTTCTCCCTCTACATGCCACGCGACATCCTCCCAAATGCGGATTACAAGGGCTTCTCTGGCGCTGTCCAACAACGTTCGAAATCGACAGAGGACCAGGATTCCGAGTTGAAGCGATTGGCAGATATCCGAAAGTTGTATAATGGTAGAGGCGGTGTATTATTTGACCCTGATCAATATCGCCCTTTGACACATGTACCCGAAGTTGTTACTGTTGTCCCCACACCAGATGACATCAAGACGGATGGGTCTTCCCGGTCGGTATGCGAGCAATCAACAGCGTCCGACTCGGACACTACTATTGCCACTATTGCTATTGGCACTCCGCCTGAGTATCAAGCCAATGACATTCCACCGCCGTCTTATTGTATGTCATTAGCAACTCATCTTTCATGCCAAAATCTAACGCCCACAGGTGCATCAGCAGAGGGACCTAGACACGCATCACCTCACCCCAACCCTGAAAATGACCGCAAGCACGACTTAAGTAGTGATGAGAGCAATATCGACTCACACTCACTCTTCAAAAGGAGACGATTACAGGCGTCGACCGTGGATACCTTGTCCCATTCCCACTTCGCAGCTACGCATTCCACCAGAGCACTCGAAATCCAAGTTAGGAAGCAACAAGAAGAAATTGAGCACCTCAAGGCAGAAATGGCGACGCTTCAGAGACGGACTGACGCCCTCCAGAAACAGTGCAATGATATGGAGAGGCGGAGCGACGGTTTAGAGGATCTAGAGAGTCGTCAAGAATCAGTGGAGAAGACTCTTGAGTCTGTGTACGCGAATATTGATGACGAGGTTGAGCAGGGTTGTCTAGTAGTCAAGGACGAGCTTCGTCAGGAATTCGAGGGCATGATGAATGATCACCTAGACTTGTGGACCGAAGAAAACATGGGTGAGATGGTTGAAGGATATATGGGAAAGTGTATGGAGCAGTATATGACCAAGTACGTGGAGGAGCATGTGGCAGGCTTCATGGCCGACTTGAGAAGAAAACTTCGCAGCGTCTTGAACGACTAAATAGCATTCGGTCCTTACAACATTCCCAGAGTGTCGCAGCCGTCCCAATGAGAAAGATCACTACATGTCACTGATGGAAGCTTAGGGCAAAGGGCAAAGGGCAAAGTTCAGCATGCACTTCGTTCCGTCACAGGAGTACGTACATAGTCTGTATTCATCGTGTCTGAGCACGAGCCCGTGACTCTCAATTTGTTAGTGCGGTTGCGCGGGGCGACACGTTTTACTCTCGCTGGCACTCACGCTTTGCCCCTCGTCAGCTTCTTGTGTCATCATCAATATTCAAGCTAGCTATCATTCTCACGTGTAAATAAGGCTTCTCAGAGATAGAATTATGATTTCAATTCGAGTTGCCACATGTCAGACGGCATTATCCCTTCCCACCAAGAGGTGCACGCGTCCTCTCAAGGACAACTGGTATCCCCCCCAAGGCTTGTTCTGAAACCTCCGCATGCGCCCTACCAAATACCAACCCCAGCCGTCCGCACAATACGTTTCTTACACCCAGGCTACCATGACCGGAACAATATATTGCTCATTTTGCCAGCATTTGACTCTGGGGGCATTCAGTACGAGACCGCACATACTGCCTGTGCGGTTCTCGCCAATTGCAGATGTGATGGATACCTAGCAGCCACGCGGGATGGAGCTCGAATCCTTGATGCAAGTGGCATACTCACAGGCTTGAGCTACTACTTTTTCGTCCCGGGAGGTAAGTTGGTCTCGACAACTTGAGTGTTCCACAGCTTTTGACATTGATGAGATGAGGACTATGCTGTCGTGCCATCTTTCGATCATTTCCAATTCCCTGCCACTGTCCCCCAGGCGTGGTCGGCCGCAGCTATTCACCAGTCCTCAACTGACAGAGTCCTGGAACGCGATCAGACTTGTCGAATCACGTGCGCATCTTTACCTAACGAAATTGCGCATATCATACCTGCAGCACAAGGCGAGTGGTGGCGGTCGAACTCAATGTATCTGTATACGACACGTCCAGAAAGAAGCATCGACACAAATTGCCCCGAAAATGCAATCGTATTGCGGCGGGACGTACATTACTTATGGGATAGTCATAAGTTTGCCATCCTTCCAAAGCAAGGAAAATGGGTGGTCCACGTCCTCGATAATCTGGCAACGGAAGAACTATATCAATGTTACCACAACCTCGAGATGCAACGGATAATTGGCGTGGCGCCTGAATTTCTGCTTGCGCGTTTTGCCCTTGCCATTCTCTCACAAAAATCCATATTTCTTCATCAAGGCGTTTCGCGCACACTGGTCGTTCTGACTGGTGGGGAGATCCATCGCAAGGTATTCTCGGCACAGGAGTGCCGGACCTTCTCCAGCAACGGCCGCACCAGCAGGAGTTGTAGTCCCAAGAAACGGTCGAGGTCGACGGCAAATGATACCCAGTACAGCCAGGATCAAATCGATAGTTGGGATGGTCAGGACAGTTCAGATGATGAGGTGCGCGGTCGAGCTCGGAAACGACGTTGCTCTCGCCCTCAGGATGTGTCCTTTTCAAGCATAGGTTCTCCACCGTCCCTAGATAATAGCTTCAGTAGCAAAGACGAAGAAGAGGGGGGTGGTACTTGTCTTCCAGTGAAAACATTCAAGTCACAGGGGGCAATTGGAACGACAGGGCTGGAACAGGAAACGAAAGATGGAACGAGATAGTGGCCGCTGGGCTTTGAGAGATGGGCCATGCGCCATGTGAGATGGGAGATGGGAGATGGGATGGGAGATGAGTGATGGCTGATGGCTAATGGGAGATGGGAGATGGGAGATGGGAGATGGGAGATGGGATGGGAGATGAGTGATGCCTGATGGCTGATGGGAGATGACGGATGCGCGGTGAGTGGCGCCAGGAATATGAGCTTGTTAGCAGTGGGAGTTTGGGTATATCGAATATTGCTGTAGATGGGGGATGGGTCGGGCGATGAGATGGGATGGGCGATGAGTGATGGGCGATGGGCGATGGGAAACAGGAAGGGTAGAATTTACAACTATCCATGGTTGAGGATTTGATGGGTACGACAGAATTCTTGGAGCGCTTCTTCCAATTCCTTTGTATGGCGTCCTTGGTGTACAGCTTGGTGTACTAAGTTCGTGAATTCCTTCGAGGTAGAAACTCCGATCAAGTTTGATACTCGATGGGCCCATATTTCCAGCGTGCTGAGTTTAATGGAAAAATCGCGGCTTTTACGATTAGCAAGGCCTTAGAATGCTTTGATCCCCGTATACCTACGCGATCTTGTCTCCCTTATCAGAGTACACAAGAACTGCAAGGGGGGACCTGTTAGTCAAAATCGCCCATCGTTTTGCGATGCGTCGCATTCTCTTTATGTCGCTTCGCGTCGTCCCATGATTGGCAAGAGCGGCATGAACAAGATCTATCGCAGTGCCCACCACTTTTGATCCTCTCTCAGCGGCGAGACTTCCTATCTGTCGCTCCTGCCTGACAAAAGGAGTCAGTGCATCAAAAAATTCTGTCAGTTGGAGGAAAGCGAGTCTTGTGAGCCACTGCTGGCTTTTTTGTGACGATAGAAGAGAATGGATGAATCGAATTTTCTCGGCGACGGCCTCATCTGTGCATGTCGCAATATTGGTCATGGACATCTTGCTGATGATATCGGCCCAAGCATAGTATAGCTCCCGCAGTTGCTCATCATGTACTGGGCCGGTCGTCATCAATTGTGCCAATATTGTGTCAGATTCAAGATCATCAAAGCAGTCCATGGGATCACCGAGATGCGAAGCTTGCCGCTGGCAGTCAATTGATTGTTCCATGTTGGGTCTGAAGAGGAGCTCAACTTGTGGCATAGAAACGCTGGGTAAAGTCGGTTTATATAGTTTGCTTCCCACGATACTGAAGCTAGCTTGGCTTTCAACTTCCACGAATAAGCATTCTCGTAGCAGAGAACTGAAACTTGCTTCCACAACTCCTGTTCCTTGCTTCCACAACTCTTGTTACTTATTTCCAGTTCATGATTTCTAGATCCTCTCCCAATCCACCGCCACAGAACTGCCAGGGTCCTCGATCAACGAAATCACCTTCTCAGTAGGTATGTGAGCCACTTCTTCCGTGATCGGATCTGTCACAGTGAACCACCCCTCTCCGTCAGCTTCCCAAGATCTCCGGTCCCAAGAAAGGTCAAGGAAGATGCCCATGCCATCAGCCTGTATGACCAAAGATGGGAGATGTTCCTGAAGTAGATCCTCGGAGCACGCCTCTGCTCCGTCGGCCGTGAACCAAGTCTTCTCGCGACGATCCCATGTGTACTCCAGAGTACCATGGGCACGTTTCCAAACTCTGACTTTCTGTACTCTCACCCATGAGTCTCGGCCATGGTAGAACCTAGTGCCAGTATTTCGGCGCTTCCTGGGGGCTGAACACGATTCGCTACGTCGTTTTATGCTTTTCCTAGATTGCTCCCGGTCGCTGGAGCATGCGAAATCTGCGGCTTCCACGATCTCTGTGACTTCTGTGGCTTCTGCGACTTCTGTGACTTCTGTGACTTCTGTGGCTTCTGCGACTTCTGTGACTTCTGTGACTTCTGTGGCTTCTGTGACTTCTGTGACTTCTGTGGCTTCTGCGGCTTCTGCGACTTCTGCGACTTCTGCGACTTCTGCGACTTCTGCGATCTCTGAGATGTCTGCGATCTCTGAGATGTCTGCGACTTCTGCGACTTCTGTGACTTCTGTGGCTTCTGCGATCTCTGAGATGTCTGCGACTTCTGCGACTTCTGCGATCTCTGAGATGTCTGTGGCTTCGGTGCTGCTTCTGGAATATGCGATCTGTGTGTCAAAGAAGTCTGAACTGGGCTCATCAAGAGACCAGTGATAGTCGCCATAAGTAGGAGGTTGAAATGAAAAGTCGAGTGTATCGTCGTCAGGAACGATGTTCCAGTCAGGAACGATGTTCCAGTCAGACGGCTCCTGTTCCCGAAGGAAGTCGAAGATAGTCTCTGGATAGTCTTTTTGGCGTTCAATTGCACACATGGTGAATGTTTGCAGCATAAGAATGAGAGAAAAAGAAGGGAAAGTCCTGAGCAGAGAAGTTGGGGAGGTGACTCCTTAAATACTGCGTGTCTGTAATGGCCTACCAATCAGCGGCCTTGAGCAGCGCTGGACAAGGCATCGTCATCATGCAGATAGGTCGGGGGATCGGAACTCTTCAGTCTATGTAGCATGCATGGAGGTCAATGTGATAGGTATTGGAACATGTTTATTGAAGCAGTACACACGATACCGACCAGCGGTCTGAACACAATTAAACCCCCTACATATCCTCCATAAAGGTAAACAGCCTTGGTGAAATAGCATCGAATACTGCAGTTAATGGGCAATCGTGAACCAGGGGGACCCCTTCGCAGTTGCAATGGAGAGGACCGAGATTCGACATGTCCAGCTCTTTGGTCTCACAGAAGTCGTATCCGTCCTCCGTGAGAGTTGAGATATGGACAGGGGATACGTTGTGGACGGCATCGAAGTTGTAGAGATCGTATATGTTATTGAGCCCATCGATATCATTGCCAAGCTCCTCAGACAGTGGTGTCAGATTGTTGGGGTTGTCATGATCGCTGTTACACCAGACCACTCAGTATTGAAACCTATAGCAAGGCATAATCGTTCCACTTACGTTTCCTCATGCGGTGGAGGTTCCCCTTCTCCATGTGGTGGAGTTTCCTCCTCTCCATTGGGTGGAGTTTCCTCTCGACAAAATTCGGCCGTGAAAAGACATGGTTCAACTAATGACGATGAGTTACGCGAAGGGAAGTAGGAGGGTGTCTTCTGACCAGCGATCAGTCCAGATAAGGTGTCCCATGATGGAACCACCTGGTACGTTCGATAATGTTGTCCGATCTTGGATAAGATGGATGTTAGTTGTTGGGTAATAGATGATACATCCGCAGGGTTGACGGGATTGCAGCCTTGATGGTGTAAGCTATCGAGCACAAAGTCTCTAAAGCTGTTCCATGGGGGGCCAGGCTCCCTGAACAATAATGAGGGCAAGTGGGTTGGGAAGGGTGAAGAAGAGGGTGGCCTGAGGTGGAATTGTTGTTCAAGAACAGGTATTGGGGGCAGGGGAGGACGAGGGAGATGAGGGGAGCGCTTTGGTGCCATGGGGGCCTGAGGGTAGAGGTTGTGTGAGAGAATAAAGATTCTGGGGGATGATGAGAATATCGAGGGAGAAGAAAACGGGGGAAACTGCTGCTTTTGTGGTGGGATCAGTTGCATAGTCGTGGTCGCTGAGTTCAAAGCACGCCGTTGTACTGCGGGCCAGCCGCCACCGACAGACAAGGGAGAATACAAGCTCCAATTGCTGTTGGTCACCTTAGCGCTACGATCATCTACGTTGCCGAGTCCTGCGTCTCGACCGTTCCTCGCTGCCCGAGGATGTATCGGACTGATAAGATCGCCTCCTGTTTTCCCGGGGGGAACGATCAGTCTTGCCCATTTTGCTAGAAAAATTAGCACACAGTATGTCAATTGAAAGGGATACAAACTGAAGTCTAGTAGCGATGACATAAGCGCTGAGGAAAATGATAATAAGCGCTTTTCTAAGTTCCATGTTGTAATGCTAGTAGTGAATGAGCAGTAAGTGGCGAAGAACGAATATTCTGTTGTAGGAAGGAAGACACAAGGTGACAATTTGATGATATATATATATATATATATCCGATGAGAAGAAAAAACACGACAAGATTCAGTTTTGACAAAGGAAAAAGCTAGATCCAGTTTCCATCCATTTCGTTGTAGACACGGATTTCATCCCCACTTGGTTCTTCGCGAATTTCATCTTCCTGAAACTGCTTTAGGGAGCCCACTGCCTGCTTGTAGTCCGAGAACACCGTAAAAACTGTGTTGACCAGATTGGTCATGAATTGGTTCTGTCTTTCGATCTGCTTATTGAGTTGGCTGTTCTGTCGTCTCAACAAAGCGGTTCGTGTTACAATATCTACTTCGTGTCTCCTGATCTGTCGTTGAAGTCTATTCACTTCGGACCGAAGATCGCGTTTCTCTTTTTCAAGCCGCTCGACGCGTTCATCAGAGTAGTTGGCCGGATCATCAGAGTAGCTGGACTGTGAAGATGCGATCGAGGGTGTTGCATTGTGCAATGTAGGGGAGTGAAGTTGCTTCGCTAGGCGCATTGGGTTGCGGGGCGGGGGTTCGAGCGGAAGCTCTGGCAGCTCCTTTTCCAGTGAGTAAACGTTCATAGTGCCAGAGACCATGAAAGTGAGCCCGGTTGCCACGGTATCATTGCAGCTCCAGATGGCGGGCATTTATTCCCGCAGGAGTCGTTTGCTTCCTGCTTGCACAAAGCGCAACTCTTGAAATCGAAAGCCGGTTTCGCGAACCTGGTAATGTGATAGCGGTGGTACCGATGTACGTACCTCAATCACCCCAGACTATGTAGGTGCCCTGCGCGGTGCCCCACCCGTCCCGAGCAGTCGGGACGCGCTAATCGCCGCTAGTGTCTATGAGCACCAATGCGCTCTGGAATGCGATACAACCAACTAGATCATTGCATTAGGTTACATTGGAAACTGTGCTTAGAGCCGCTTATGAGAGATAAATGATGCCATTTATTGCCAGGTATCACTATCCGAAATTGAAACTATTGATCTGGTCGTTCATATCTGTTACATGTTGCCCCATCATGAAATCAAAGCTAGGGGTACCTCCTCCTGGTGGTGCGGAGGCAGCTCCGCTGCGCCCCTGCTCACCCAAGATCTCGTCGGCCTCCTTGCCCAATCGCGCAAACCAGGCATGACAGTCTGCAGAGAAGGCTCGAAGTCCATTTTGCAGATCTTCAAACCGCCCCGCGAAACCTGCCAGCGATAATTGAATCTGTTCAATTGCCTGGCCCAGAGCATCAATCTTAGCCTCGAGTTTTTCCAACCTGTTGAAAGCTCCCTGCACTTCTCTCCTCATTGAGGTGACGTCTGTCCTGATCTCAGATACGGGGGCGACGTCCTTTTGAATAGACTCGAGCTTGGACAAACACAGTTGTTGCGCACTGCGAGCAACGCTCAGTCGGCCATCGTTGCAAAAGGGTACCAGGGACTTACTATCGCGCCTCAATTCCACCAAGGCAGGAGCACCCGGTCTGCCTACTAGCTCGCGTCGGCTGGTAGAGGGTGGGAGACATGAACAAGGCTTGGTTTGTTTGCGCGGGCATCGGCCCGTGTAACGTTGGGGCAAAGGTACCCGTGACGCCGGCTAGTGGGGACATTTGAGAAGGGTGCTGGTATGGGTTGACATAGCCCTGAGCGTCACTGAGTAAGGGCATTGATGACATATCTTGGTCGAAAAAGTCGCTCATCGTGCTCGCGAGCAAAGAGGGGCGGCCGTACTCGCGGAGGCTGCGGAACGTCGCGATATGTTATAGTGATGTTAAGCGCCGCCGAATATGGATTGCGGCATGTGGATTCCTCGAAGAGGAAATCAGCATCCTGGTTTGTGAGCTATGTGATACTTAAGCCGCCGTATCAAGCGCGATGAGGACGTCCCTTGCTGTTCCTCTCACCTTTCTATTCTAAGCTGCACAGAGATGTTGTCCCCTCGATCTGCCCTCCTTGCTTTCCTCCTGCCTGTTACGGCGTTTCGCGACTTTCCCACCATCTGCGCCTGGGATCCCCCTATCGAAATCATCGCCGGGGATAATCTCTCGGCAAGGTACGCAAATCACAAACAACATCGTTCTAGCCTTCTAACCCCCCGTCTCAGGGTTGCCAATCCCCAGGCTCGAAGATGCGAGGCGTCCCTTAGCTTCGATGACCCTGCCTTCCTTCCCATCAGATACACCTTTGATGTCCTGGACTGCGATGGGCTGCAGCTCGCTGAGTTTACCGTGCCGCCGACGGCCCCGAATGGGGATGCGTTTGTACTTTGGTCAGCCTAGGCCTGCCTCTTTCCAGGATCTCTGCTGATCAGTCTTCCCTTAGGCAATGTTCCGGGACCGAGAGCACCTCATGTGCCCATGTAGCAATCATGAATGGAACCGGCACGCTCGACGTCTACGAGGGTCGCGGTATCGTTGGATGTATTACGGAACGGCGCCAAAGCACGACGATGCTGATCACCTCCACAAGCGCTGGCGTCCCCGTCACGTTGACGCTGCCCACTGTGACAACCATCACCGAGACCAGCTTCGCTTTGACAATCAATGTTTCTAGTACCCAACCGGCAGGCGTCAACCAGGCCCCTGCGGCGAGCGGCATGGGTCCTGACATGGCAACTATCACAAATACCGCCGCGGTCCCTGATACGGCAATGGTACCCGATACCGTCACGGTCCCTGCCACAGCCACGGCTGCTGATGCTGCCGCGGCCCCTGACATCGTGCTGCCTCCTGATACGGCGGCGGCTACCACGGCAGTGACTACGGCGCCCATCACCACGGTGCCGGTGACTACAGCAGCGAGTAACACGGCGCTTACCTCGACGGCAACATCCAACGGGACAGGCCAAGTGACAGATACTACCCACTGGACAACCACAAGCAGGCGATCGAATGTAGTTGCAACCCTTTCCAACGATCCTAGTTCAGATTCGCTGACCACAAATACTTCCGTAGCGCCGGCGGTTCTAGCTACCGGGAACGGTGGTGTCCAAGGCACGGAACTCACCAATCCTGGAGGCGGAGTTGCTACATCTACCAAGTCGGACTTGAAAAGCTCGGCGACAGTGCTGGCGGCTACGGACGGTACGGGCGGTACACAGTTCCTCTCCAACGCTGATGGATTCCAAATTGGGACGACGTCTTCCCAGGCTCCCAACACTAAGCCCCCTACCATGGCTGCTGCCATCACCACTTTAACGATTATGGTAACAAGCATCATGAAGGAGGCTTGCACAACACAGACAAGCGCTTAGGTCGGTTGGTGATGGAGAAATAGGCCCCCCGCTGGACGGGGTATCTCTTTGCATGTTTGCCTTAGTTATGGATCGTTTCTCTTTCTATAACCATAAATAGAACTCTTCTCTCTCGAGGATGAAATTTTCTTGCTTGTTCGTCCCAAGTCCCTCTCGTTCCCTTAAGAATCATCCAATCTCAATCTCCATCCCTAACCGTATCTCAACCCTTATCCGCATCATGTCTTCCCCAATGCCTCAGACTCCGCAGATGGCGAGCCATAACCCGTTTCACTCTCTTGGAGACCTGGCTGCGAAGCTTGCCTCTCCACTATCCATCAAGACAGACGCAAGGGTTGTTCAACCCGGAGTCCTCCCCCCTACCCCTATCGCTTCCCCTCTTCCATCCATGTTCGATCCTCGGTTCCAAATGCCTCCAGCTGTCTTCCATTACACTGGCAACATCCCCGAGAGCCCCATCAAGGATGCAGTCGAAAGATACCGTTTAAATGCGGTCTTTTGGCAGAGGTCTTTCATGGCAATGCGCTCGGAGACATCCCGAACTGTCCGAGAGCTTCAGCTTCGAATTGAGGCTCTGGAGCACAGGATCTTTGACACGGAGATCACAGTTATGGTAAGTCTTTTCTGCTTTGCATGATCATTCATTTGTATACTGATCCATTTAGCTGGGCACTGGGCAGCCCACGGTCCCCAATAGAGTGCGAAGTCCTATAACTCCCATTGCTATGAAGAACCCGGCAGCCACGCCCCGCCCTGCCGTTTGAATCCTTCTCTTTCATGACGACTTGGCCTCATCGAAGAGTTTGTCGGGTGTGTAGTGTTTCGGAAGTGGGTATGTTCGAGACTGCCGCTTTGTTAGTATAGTTAAATCAAAGAAGGGCGGGCCCTCACAATCTGTGCCTGGGAAGGAGGCCACTGGTCATTGTGTGAAGACGAATAGGTGTAGAAGCGACCATTATGAAAAATAGTCAAATAAACTTCACCACCACATGCTTTTTTGAAATGATCGGCTTTCTTGATCAAAGTGAGCCGTCTGCGTCGAGCTCGAGCATATTCGGATTTCTTCGTACGAGGCGCTGGCAAATCATCAATAGTGCCAGGGTCAGCAGTACCAGCAGTCATTGTAGAATCCATGGAGACCGTCGTGGTGTAAAATGAGGTAGGTGAACACAGCATCTAAGATGAGCGAATCTTGTGGCTATTAAGAGGGAGCATGATCCAAATTTTGTTTACCGTCTGTTGGATACGGGAATTGCACAACCAGAATTCATATTCCAGGTTACGTAGTTTGGGATTCCTCCTCCCGCCTTTTTTTCTCTCTCCCGTCCTCCAGTATCTCCCTTCATTTCTTTTCCGTCTCGGCTCCTCTTACCTCGCTTTGTCTCTAAGCCTCTATGGTTCTATCATGGACGAAATACCGAACGAAATCATCGTGATTATTTCATCATTCTTATCCACCCAAGAATTACATAGCTTACGTCTGACATGCCGTCGGTATGCCGCCGCCACTCTGCCACTGATGACAAGTCATCTGTATGTAGTCAACACGCAACAATGTCTCCAAGATTTCCAGGCGTTCCTTGGACCGCAATCAATGGTGTACACAAGGACTCTAACTATCTTTGACGGGTTCTGGCCCAATTTTGCCCGTCGCATCTGGAGAATACAGCTAATATGCAGAAGGGAGGGCGCCATGCTGCGAGAGGAACCGCCCGGACAATCCTTTCACGAGTATCGGCAATTCATGGCACAGGAAGCCGCTCGGTCCGCATCGGAAGACAGTAGGATCCTTGCCGCTATCTTTCACCTGCTTCCCAATCTAAAACAAATCATCTTGCGGCCGCCGCCACATGGAACGACCGCTCGGCGCCCCCGGTACGCTGCCATTGTCAGCAGGTTGGGAATTGCTCCTCGACCCCGGCGGGCTGATCAGCTGATTAACCGCGTATGCGATGCTGCGTCACAGTTCCCAAGGATACGGTCCATTGAAATTGTGAGTAAGGTCCTGGCTTCATCCCTTGCAGACCTGCAAAGACTCCAAGGACTCACGGAGCTGATCATCAGATCCCTGGTTATGACCCCGGATCATCACGACGAGGATAGCCCTGGTAATGAAGCATGGGACTTTCTCGAGGCAATCCCAAAGCTCCTGCATCTCAACGTCAGTTTGGAACCAACCAACACGCACCATTTGCCACTTGGCTCGGCCTCGCTACCCAGTTTGCGAACGCTTCATCTCGGCGGCGTTCATCTCGGCGAGGAACAACTCGTGAACCTGGCTGCTGGCAGTATGCTGAGGTCCCTGGAGCTCTGCGATACGACACTGGTGTCGGGAGACTGGGTATCCTGCTTTTCGAGGATTAGAGACCTAGCCAGGGGCTTGCGTGTGAACGTAGAAGGTACTTTGACAGATCACATTCACGCGTGCGCCGTGCGGGGCGAGTTTCTCGAGTTGCTCCGGAGGTTCATGAGCGACGATGGCATGGAATGGCCGTTGGGACATGAGCAGCATCCTAGACGAGTAGGGTTCGTGTTGGCTCACAAGAATCGTCTTGGAAGCCCTTGAGGTCGACAATACAGTGGGTGTGGAGGATACTTTCATCATTGGCTTAAGATAGTGAATACACTTTCACAAAGGTACGACTAAAGCTAGCGTGCATATGCAGGTACTTGGCTTGTTGGTGCACTGGACGCGAAGTATTTGACATGGACCCTGGCCCAGCAGGGCGCGCTTGATTTATTCCCGATATGGACAGCTCTGGCTAGGCGCCAATACAAATTCCTAATCCGGCGATTCTACGAAACAACGTTTGCTTTTTTTCTTTTACTTAATACCGACCACGAAATGTCGGCGGCAGCCATCGCTTTGTTTGCTACCTAGCTATCAGAAAAGAATACATGGGCCTGTCCCTCCCCCTTGCATTTCACCAGCGCAACCAGGCAAATTCATGCTCGGCGTGCACCTCGGTTGATCTAGTGCTGGATTCTGGTTGGTCGTCGCTCTGGTGTCCCGTCTGGGTCGCTTGCAGGTCAGGCATCTGATTTAGTGGTGAGGGAGTGGCGAATTCACTGGCATTTGTGACGGTCCGTGGAACCGGCCTGAGTAGTGGCGTTGCCGGCAACTCTACCAAGATAGAAGCATCTGGTGCTGGAAGGTCTGTAGTCGCATGATCGTCCTCCCGGTGAGTTTGTTGCGCCGATTGGGAGTGGGCGCGCCTGTAGTCGTGTAAATTGAGTTGCTGGCTGCCTTTCAAATTAGAAATGCGGCGGTGGTACAAATGTCTCTGGCCGATGATCACGGCAAGCAACAAGGCGACCATGGCAGCCCCGGTTGCGCCGACGGCGATCAGGGTTGAGAGCATATTCTCTGGCTGACTTTGTTCTGGTAATGCTGTGGTAGTCGCGCTTGGATTGGTGGTCCGCACGAGCGTGGTTTCTGAGATGTTTGATATCTTTGAAGTTGCTGAAGTAGAAGATATGCTTGTTGATAGTGATACGGTACTAGAAACGCTTGCCAAAGAGGTGGATGTGGTGAGGAGGCAAGCATCCGTTGAAGCGCATGGGTCAAAGGGGCAGCATCCACGGAAACCATTGAGGTTACAGACGTAAAAGGCGCTGCCTGCAGCGCACTCGGTCGAGTCTCTTCTTATGGCCATCTGAGTTGCAGGTTGATTCAGGAGTCTTGGAGATTCAGCTGCCAGGTACGTGTATTTGAGTATCTCGTAAGCGCCCCGTGCTTTCTGCTAACAGAATTCGGCTTTTTGCGTTTGGCGTCTCGAAGCGCTCCGGGTATTTTAAGCATGTAAGCGCCGGGACCGATTCTCCTTCTCTCCCTCGCTCGACCCATCTCCGGCCACCATGGGTGTACTCGCTAGGTGCCAGCTCGCCCGTTTGATTACTCTCGCGTCCGCAGCCTGTAAATCTACTTTTCTCCAGCCGCCAAGCTCATCTCTGACATGAAATAGACCAACTCGCGGCTGCTATACAAGGTTTCATTTGGCCAAAGATCTTCTGGGACTTCCTTACTCCCTCCCTTGATTTCGCCATCAAGCCCTTCCCTTTGCTTCAAATCGCCAACCTAGTATGTGCAATCGTGATGCTAGCATGGGAGTGGCCAGTGGGTTTTGTACGCGGGTCATCCTTTGACGACTGCATTAAGAGCCGCATCATTGTGCTCCCATGGGTCATTCTGGCGGCTTTGTTCTTGTATCAAGGGACTAATGCCGGCATCTACTATTTCATTGGCCTTGTGCTCTACATCTCAGCCTACCGACGAGGAGAGGTATGGAGCACAATAATCGTCTTTGATCCTCAGCTCACATCCACAGAATATTATTTTGGTGCGCAGGGGAGAGAGCCAAGTTTGAATCGAATATAGGATTTCTGGAAAGAGCAACTGGTTGACCGGTTTCTGATTACCGTTCCTGATAAGACGTCTTCTAAATCATGTACATGAGCACAAGTACCCCTACTTCTTTTAACAATCATACTTTCTTCTTGCCGCGTCCGATGTCGTACTCCTGCTCTCATTCGAATGACCCGACATCACTGTAGATATCATGGAAAAGATCTGGCTTACTTTGCGTCAGCTAGAGGGCGAAGACAATGGCCTTGCTTTGCTGGAAGAGACAGCCACGCCAGTCGAGGTCTTCTCGGACTTGCTATGTCTTGGGAACAAGACGAAGGATCACATATTCCCATTCCGAACTGATCCGCCATCAGATCGCGACGGTACTGTGGTGCTCAGAAATCATCAGCAATACACTATCGTGGATTGCCATCTCAGTCTCGTCGGGGCCATTCCTCAATCGGCCACCCTGCCGACGGGCCCAAGAATCCACCAGATTGCTGGTTCAGATCCAGCCCGCTTCTATGGCACACTCATCCGTCATCTCACGCCGTTGGTGGTGCTCTTCGTCGATGATGTAGGAGGGTACGAGGCTGCTGCGGTGATGGTGGCCCAATGGATTGAGTCTTGCCGAGGACATAGAAACCCACATCTGCCCCGTTTCGTGGCCACGAGTAAGCAGCCAATAAGCCATCGTGATTTCTGTCGCCTCATCAACATGGAGCTTCTTGTCCTGCTGCGACGAACTGTTCCCGAGCAGCCATACTCCTCTCATGAGGTTGTCGCATTCCGGGAGAAGTATTTTGGAAGCCTAGAGCTCATCAGTACGGAGGACTTGAGACATGAGATTTTCTCAAATAAGGAGAAAAACGACACAACCCGCCGGGGCCTTGACGTCGGGACAGCTTTGACATTTCTTCTGAGGCACCTGACCACGCCCGGGATACCGCATTTCAATATGCTTGGCACAGTATTGCAGAAGGACAGTCTACCACAGCAAGCCCGTGAACATCTTATCCGATACATGAAGCTGGCCCGCAGAGTCGGTGTTGAGTCTCCTATGTTAGTATCTTCATGTCTGGTACAGCATTACCTGAGCAGCATGTTCCGAGGTGAGTTCAGGCAATGTCACATCGCTCCGGGCTTAGCTGACCTTCAGGATTCCCTGGTGACGACGTATTCACTGAGGTCTATTTGGTTGTTCTCCAAGCAGTTGAGTCTGAAATTCGATCTGCTGGCTTCGTTGACCGTGTTCGGATTGAATTTAAAAACATTCTGCGATCACGCGAGGATGACACAGCTTCAGCCAAAATGAAAGTCGCCCATACCGTCTTGCTCCGGACGCAGGTTGTCCCCGCGCGGAAAGGACCATGCCTCTCATGCTTGATCAGAACCCCAATCCATATTCTTACATGTGATCACCGTCTGTGCGACTCCTGTCTCGTATATCATGGTGATCGTTCCCCATGGACGGAGGAAGTCATCTTGCGGTGTTGTCCCTTCTGTAACGAGACCAACCATAGGGAGCTGCGTACACTACCAGCGATGGCCCGTGCCAGGGTGCTTGTGTTGAGTCATTCAGGACCAGAGACACTGGTATTATTTCTTCATAATCTAAGAACACAACTGTTCGGACCCATTCATGAATACCTGGATATGGTTATTGGCAGCGGAGCAGGTAGGTATGGCAAACGTGAACGAGTATTCAGGATTGACAAGAAAACTAGGACAACAAATCATCCAAGACATCTTCGTGGATGGCCTATCATCACAGAGTTGCCTACTTCGTTATGCTTCGCCTTCTCATCTTCCGATCAATCTACCACACCGGACACTGATGCCGAACCAGCGCACTTCAGGCAGCCTGCAGTTGGGTACAGTGAGCCGACTGGGCACCAGGACGAGCTGGTTCAGGTTCGGCACAAAGTTCAGGTGAGTCACCCCTTCATTCCTCGTCTACAGTTCTCATTGTCACAGAGGCGCACACCCAGTAACGGACGTAAATGGTCTGTCTCGTGACCTATGGCCTCAGAGTGAGGTAATCAGAAGCGATCCCAAGAGCAAGACCGACGCAATCGCATCAAAATTGATTGCGCTTTTGTTCTTCGCAAAAACGGTGCCTATAGTCGAGGAAGGACGTGTTGTAGTCAAGATACTTATCCTATGTCGACTTCCTAGGGGGCCACACCTAGTAAGACTCATACGACATCTGAAAGACGTCTGCTGCCAAATCCACTACCAAGACGAGCACGGAAAAAGTTACAGTGACACTTTCTGCACGGATTCAACCTGGAGCTGGGTTATGGCTGGGCAAGACTTCTCACGAACACTTGATATCAATGAAGTAATCTTGGGCCATGCTTGCATCACTATCGGAGGACTTGTCCAGGAAAACATCTCTAATTCGCCCTGCAACTTGAATGACGTCTACGATAACACAGATGTTCTGCGTGAGCACTTATGTGCATACAAACCCCCACATGAATCAAGAATGGCCACCAAGGTGCTGTCTGAGGAGAACAAAACCGCTTTCTCAATTCAAGTATCAAATTATAACACGGTGCTGGAGAAGATAGATGAATTGCAGGATATTCTGGTATTGATTAAGTCCCAGAAATAGGAGACAGGCCCCAAAGATAGTCAAATTATCCTTTCTTTTCGTCAGGGACCACAGTGCACCGTTACGTTCAAAGTCATTACATATCCACGAAGCTGGGTCATTTCGTCCTTGAACTCCTCTTCCATACCCAAGTCCTTCAAGGCGTCTTTGAGTTCCTCAAGCAGCTCGGTTTTCTCCCTTCCCAAGACTTCCTGCTCGTTCTTGACAAAATTCAGCACCATGGACTCTGATTCGGAGATTGCCTGGCACATATGTTCGCGTGTGGATTCAATGGCCGCTTTGGCCATAACTGGATCTATTTTGCGGCGTTTCGGAGGGTTTTCGACGGCTTTGCTACCGCTGGTAGACGAGTCATCGGGTGAACGAGAACGCTTCATTGTTGGCGTGTTTCTTGTCGATTGTGTTTTCGTGTAATATGCGTAGAAGAAATATGAGATTGAGTAAGTTGGAATGATAAAAGAAAATTGAGTTTTGGAACGGCCGGGTCTCTTTGTACCCTCTGGACTGCTCGAAAACTTCCGTAAGCACGTGGTCAGGATTCCCATGGGATATGTATATATAAGAGCTTTCCTCCCGAGGAAGTATTGTCGTCTTTCCTCTCCATCTGCTCATCAAAACTCTATCCTCAAACCCTAAGAAGTTACCAGCACCTGAAGACAGGTACCTAGGTAAGTATCGCTCTCAACGAGAAAAGAAATATGCCAATTTGTCTCATTCAGGACCACTGCAACAATGCATCACCTCCTCTCTTACGCACTCTGTCTCCTTGTGGGCAAAACGAACTGGGATTATGGAATCTTGGAGCGTCAAGCGCTTTGACGTTGGTCTATGTTGCTCTATCGCGGTGGAGGGTCATTCCGGGTGTGGTATATATGAAAAGTCAGGGGAAACATAAAGTACTCCATTTGTACCTGATACCGCCAAGCTGGGTGACAATATAGTCGTTTGAGGCACAATGAATAGAAAGCTATGTTGGAGCGCAGTTCCCCCCTGTCGTTGATGATAGTTTCGCGTACTCTGTGCAGGTTGCCGTGATTTATTGCCACGAGTCGAGCAATGGTGCTGTGATATTTCTCGCAGGGAGGTGCCAACTTCAACGGCACAGTTATTCGAAACGGGAAAGCAACGCATAGCAGGAAATAAGCGATTGGGTCGAGGTGCAGAAAGACCCACACTTTTCTGGTGTTATGCAGTACATGGAAGGCGTGCCCTGGGAAGGGCTGAGGAACCCCCGCTTTCCCTGGCTGAGGCTCGCCATCCACGTACCGATACTTCCACATCATACTGATCCGATCGAAGCGGAGCGCCAGCCCGGTGCAGACTGATGTGCTTTCCGTCTTGTTTTCACCCCATGTTCCTGCGGTGATGGACACATCGGTGGCTGCTTTAGAGACCAGGAGTAGGCGCCCGCAATCCAATGAGATTGCGGATGACTTCATTACGATTGTTTTGGAAGGTCAAAGGAGGGTTCGTGACCGGGACATCAAGGACTTTGAGCCGGACGGCAAAGTAGTCGATCTGTTCAAATCAATGCACGAAACACGCGATGGCCAGGAGCAGCTTGAGCAGCTCCTGGACTCCCTGGGCAGGTCACAGGATTTCACGCAGTGGCTATTGTGGTTGCACGGCAATTGCTTACTGCGAGTATTGGAACTACAAAAGGATGGTTGGACTGAAGTCCCGGACCACCGCCCGCGCTGGCAACATGTACTAAGCATAGTAGCCGAGATCGTGAATCGAATCGCTGCACGACGTGGAAGGCACGTAGCGTTAGCTGTATACCGCTACCTTGCTGGTAAGTCTCTAGCAATTGTTGTGATCGATACTGAGAGGCTTTAGAACGCGGGTTGTATCTTGGGAAGCTAGCCAACACCAGGCACAGGCACATCGCAGAAGTCATTGACATGGCGGTGGATGCCCTGTGCCAGAAATTGACGAGTCTACCCGACCACTTTCTTGTACCAGATCCCGCAGGATGGGTTGCCATGACTCTCAGCTTGAGGTGTGTATCTCTGTGAACTTCTCACAATACTTCACGTCTGATTATTCACAGTCGCGATCAACTTTGCAGTGAGCTAGGGATGCCAGACCTTGGGGGCCTATGCACTTGCATGGAACCGGAAGTACAAACTCATATTTTGGGCATGCAGCTTGCAAATATCCAAGACAAAGGACATGGGATCCAGGCACCCCCAGGTTTCGAGCAAACGACGGATACGAGCGGGATTTCTTCCGAATGGTTCTGCCTGAAAGGACGGGTGAAATTACATTAATTTCAGTCACACCCTCCGTCATGTCCAATGAGATCCTTCCACTGTTGTCATCGAAAAGCAACACTCTAGCCTATGCAATGTAGAACTTAATGCAGTCGTCACCAACAGACCGTTGAATTTGATGGGCTCTGGATAGAGGCCAATGCATGCCGCATTTCCTGCAGCATATCTGGAGGGGAATGGGTGTGATTTGATACCGTATGACGCCGAGGCAGTAGTTGGCTACAGGCGGTTCGAGCCGGAACATTGCCTCATCTCGAGCATTTCATTTCAAGAGCGACTGTGGTGGTATGCACGGATGTGGAGGTAGATCCAATGACGGCCACGCCAGAAGACCACGCTAAAGTCATAATGTTGTTGCTTCCTTTTGAAGATTGAACATTGGCCACCCACAGAGGCACTCGATAATGCGAGCAATCGCCACAGGCCTTCCATTAGCTCCTACTGATTCATTCAACACTGACAATAGCCCGTATATAGAACTATCACAATTAGCAGATTATCGTGGCCGCTTGGAGTATATGACGGATGAGTATGGTTCGATTATGGTTCTTCCTTTTTATAATTCCTCCCTCACGCGAAAGGTACCATACTTAGCTGTAATTACTAGGGATCTTATATAGCCAACAGATATACTAGAAAAGGGGCGACCAAGGACTCCGTTCAGCTCTCAGGACTACTATTTATATGCAGTACAGGCGCCACAGCCCTTGTCGTAGTAGTACCAAGGCTTTGCGACAATGGTATCGAAGAAGAGGATATTCCCACCTTGCGATGAATGCCGTCGAAAAAAAGTGAAATGCGAGGATGTTAGTAGTGCGTGCGACCGGTGCGTGGGATTGGGCTATGATTGCGTGAGACAAGTGAGTGTTCACTTTCGCGATCTTTATACTCACTGATGCTGAAATAAAAGTATAAGCCGGCCCATAAGTACTCCGCAGGTCTGGTCACTACGCCGACTTCAACACCGCCTCTGGAACATAACCACATAGGTGGTGACGAGGAGATGTCCATTTCGAATCAAAACTACGCTAGTAGCAACGAGCCGCAAATTATCGACAAGCCTCACACTGGATTTGTCTCGATGCTGCCTCCTCACATGATTACTTTCCTGGAGTTTCCGGTCAGCCCATCTGACTTTGTACCGACTGATCCACCACTCTGGTTCAGCATGCAAGAGCAATTTGCTTCCAATTGGCCTGAACTTCGACAACCGCTTCCAGATCTCCCGAGCGCAGTTCATCCCTTCGAGCTCACGGCGACCCGAGTACAGCCTCAATCGCAGACAGCAGTTTGCCTCGTGGGGGAGGATGCCCCAACAGCCATCCAATGTGATCAATGCCACAAAATGTTCGAGGATGACGGGAAATTCAGGAAGCATCATGAGCGTGTGCATTTGGAGAATCCATCACCATGTTCTAAGTGCAATGCAATAGCTAGGAAATTATAACGTGCATCGCATTCTTGTTGTAGCAAACGCCGACACCCCTGAGTGATCGGTCTAATCTAAAGAGTATTTGCATCAAAATTTAGAGGTGCCTATGTAAAGAAGATAGAAAAGCTCGGCCGTTCACTCCCTCACAAAGGACCCTCATAACTCGAATCGTGATGCGTTCTATAAAGATCTGTGGCAATTGCTCGCACCATCGAGTGCCTTCGTTCACGGCGCAAAACAATATTCCAGCTCCAGCCGCCCCTGGCCCCAGCTGTGGAAAAGAAACACATCTTCTGAACCGCCGTCATATGGGATCACATTACACCCATGCCCTTCTGATGTGCCGCAGGACAAGGATGAAGATTGCTCCGAGTGAATGATGTATATTCAAGCATTCGGTGCGCCTTCAAATACAAAAGAAATTTGTCTCTGGAGTCGGTATTGTACAGTGCGTAACGATTGGACTCGGAAAGGGAGAGTTGCATTGAATTGTGGTTCTTCCTCTTACTAGGTATCTTGTTTGAGCAAGAGGCATACCGGAAAAGGGGCGACCGAGGACCTCACTTGGCTCACATGATTACTGTTATAAGCGCCACAGCCCTTAGCATCGGAGTTGAGCTCGCTTTTTTGTCCCTGCTAAACACCAATATTGCGACAATCCATTCTTGGTTCAATATGGCGAGGATGATGAAATTACGAAAGAGAGAGTTTCTGCCTTGTCATCGATGCCGTCAAAAAAGAGTCAAGTGTACGGACGTCAATGGTACGTGCGATCGGTGCAAGAGACAAGGTTTAGATTGCAAGAGACTTGTAAGTGTCTTCTCTTCATTCGTACACGCACCACTAACGTCTGATCCGATTTGGTGCAGGCCAAGAATCCCACCATACCCCGAAAAAGACTTTTTCCAGCTTGCTATGGATGTCGGGGACTCAGATTGCGATGTACAGACGTCAGTGACGCGTGCGATCGGTGCGTGAACGAGGGCTTGGATTGCAGTAGACCTGTAGGTATCTTCTCTCGATTTTGTATACACGACTAACGTCAAATCAACTAGGAGACCCTTCGAACCCGCAAAACGACGCTCAAGCCCCTCGCAAATCCACTACTAAGCCCAATAATCGAGCCCAACTATTCTCGAGCTGTCATACCGACTTCAAGTTATGACGAGGCAAACAAGACAACGCCTGGGTTCTATGACCAAGGAGACGACAAGTTACAAGCCAATAACCCACAAAACACGACGCCAATTTGGGCTTACTTTGAAGCAAGTAACGAGTTGCAATATGATGCTTCCTCTCTATTTCTGAATCATGCCCTGGAAGAAAACGCCCTCCGAAATCGAAGTCAGTTCTCGAACCAATTCTACGATCCACTTTCGGTCATCCTATCTGAGCTTGCACCTTCTGTTCAATCTGCTTGGTGTGAAGAGCCGATCCATCCTATACTACCCCTTTACCAGGATCTCTCCACGGAGCCGTTCATCAGCCCACTTGAGTTTGTCTCGTCCGAACAACCAGTCCCAGTCGATTTGTCTACCGACTGGCCAGTACTTCCACTACCGCTGCCAGAGCCATCGTTTGCGCAAGAAATCCAGTCGCAGGTCTATTCGTTCGAGCCTACAACGAATCTGATGCAGTTTGGCTTGTCGAGACCCTCCCAGCCAGTGGCTTGCGTGGCGGAAGGAATGGGTTCATCCCTAGTATTCCGCGATACAACGCCATGGCTGGGATCTGTCTACCCGCAACAGCAGCAGCAACAACAGGGCCCAATCGCGTTGGGTTCGGGATCGTCGGCCGCCATCGACAGGCAAGGACAATTTCTTTGCGGTTGTTCGAAGTCGTACCCAAGGAAGGCCGCCTTGAATCGTCACATCTTGCTTGCGCATGTTCATGAACAATCACGATGTGACCAATGCCCGTCAGTATTTCAGAACCCTCAGAAACTTAAACGTCACATGTCTGTGCATGTTTATGAACCATCAAAATGTGACCAATGCCCGGAAATATTCCAGAACGCTGAAAAACTTAAACTTCACATTCGGAGGCGACATGTCGTCACACCAGCGTATTGCTATAAATGCAAAAAAAGGTACAGAAGCGCAACCTGTTTGCAACGGCATAACCGCAATCAACATTCATCAAAGCTTTTCACGTGCGAGTTTTGCAATCAGGTTGTACAAAGCAAAGAAAAGTTAACTCGACACAAACGCAAGCACAAAAAACATGTCCAATTTGCTCCCTAGTTACCTGGTCAGATAATTAAAATATGCAGTTTCTTGCTCATCTTTATCCATAGCTTTCTCTTTCCCAATTGATTGTGACTTGTCCATCCGCTTACACAGGAGTTTGGAATTCATGCACAGAGCAATCAGGAATCCGAAACTGCCAGCGGCCATAGTCAGATAGGCACTTCGGCGCAGGATTTTCGCATCAGTAGTGGCGGGCAGTTTCCAAGCAGAGGTTCCATGATAGCTATGGAGACGGATATACCTCCCATCTGTGCCGACCGCTGACCAACCTCGCTTGTTGGCCGTACAGCTTGCATGTATTCAAGATAGAGGACAGGGGATTTCCGCATCCCAAGGTCTCGAACACACGACAGACATGACTAGGGTGAAATTGCGTCGAGTCTAAGTCGTTTTCTTCGTTGTATCCAATGAAACCCGCTTCTGATCCCACGACATGGGCACCATGATGCAAGCCCATATGTACTGTGAACTCGTACTGTGAACTCTTCACAGTACCCGATAGGCCCATCCCGACCCTGGACACTCGAAGGCCAATGTCGTACAACAACCTTCCTCCATAGGGGGTGTGGCTTGATATTGAGAAAGTGACCAACCTCTTGGAAGGTTTGGGGTATGTACACACCAGATGCTGCTATATTGAACCATTTCTAGCATGAAAGCCGGAAGAGGCAAGTTTTAGTTTTGACGAGTTCACGCACTTGATTGGCTTCTGTGACCTCGCTTGGAGAGCACAAAGCCGACAATTCCTTCCTATGTCACTGAAAAATCGCTTCTCCAATCAAGTATATATCTTTGACCATCCAGCCTTTGTTGGATGTGAACGACTCAACTATTGTACTTCTACCATACCCTTTCACAACTTTGGGCACCGTTATGGAAGTTCAAATGCACGCCCATCGGCAATTCCTGCGTTCAATGCCTGAACTCGGGAACGGCTTGCGACAAAGAATGCAAAAGCATCCCGAAGATGAAGTAGCGCCGCTCTTAGATCTCGAAGAGGCAAAAACCGAGCGACAAACCATCAAGCCACCCTTAGATTGCGATTATGGCGGGTCACAGGCCAAAGAGCTGGGTAAGTTGATTACAGCGAAGAAGAGACTTGAATTTTGACATCTAATTAGGTACGACTTGTTTGGCCAACCACGACCAGATTGCGCCGCAATTCTTCCCTCCACCTCCTCTTGGCCTCCAAAAACAGGATCAGTTTCTGGCGGAGCACCCTGCTTTAAACTTTTGGGATGCGAGAACAGTCTTCATGATGACCCCGCACCAAAGTCTGTGTCGTCGAGATTCCTCTCCGTCGTGGGCTCGTCCTGGCCTCCATCCAGAACTCCCGGGGGTTCCTTTTCAGGCTTCGAGCCAGATACTTGGATCAACCGATGAGCAGTCATTGCACGCCCAGCAGATCGATTTCACTGATAATTGGACTGGACCTCAACCTATACTACCATCTCCAGAATTGTCTCCTCCCCAAGGTCTAGATCCCCAGAGATCCGGAGTGGGTAACTTAACAACCGACGTCTACTCGAATGCAGAGTTCGCTATGGCCTCTCAGCAGCTCACATGTGCTGCCAAACTGGATCTCTCTGGAATCGTCCTAAAACCGTCACCAGGGAGTCAACCAGGGTTATGTCCTCTATGCGAGAAAGCATACATGAATGTCAAAAGTCATATGGATGATGTGCACACGCAAGAGCCTTTGGTATGCAGTCTATGCTGTCGTTCATTTAACAGCAAAAGCGCATTAAGAAAGCACACGGAGAAGAGTCGTCAAGGGAAAGATTGCAGGGAAGTGTCATGTCCGCACTGTCATCAATGTTGCTACGACGCTGAAGCTTTACAAAAGCATATCTCGATCAAACATACACAATTGTGGTGCACAATGTGCCCAAGAACATTTGAGAATCAGCCAGCCCTAACTCGGCACAACCACAATGTCCATTTGGGAGGGGATTATTCATGTTCTGAATGCATGGCAGTATTCAAAGCCGCCAAAACACTGAAAAACCATGTTCGAGAGGTACATAATTTGCGATAGTATCAAGAAGCTGCATTTTCTTCACTCATGTTCATCTTCTACCGGTTTCCTTTGTTGCAATGATTGGAGAGTCACTACATCAAGACCTTAAATTTAGGACTCCGGGCTTGGGCGATCCCGTCTGGGTTCGACCTGGAGTTGTTCTGGCCAACCCAATGGATCAATCTCAATGCCGATTCTACGGTCGTTCTGACGTTGGACGTGAGCGCTCAGTCCTAGAGCCATGATCATCCACGCTATCAGCTGGAGTCTGTGTTATGGATGATTGCAGACGAATCGCCCTTGGCTACGTATAAGCAATTGCCAGACACTAGACACATGCTTGTACCATGGCAGGCACAATTTGCTTGAGGGGATTGCATATGAACACAGATTCGCCAGCATTATGTGTTCCCTGCCGGGTCAAGGTGGAATACAGACAGGTTCTATAAAAGCATATCTATCATACTCAGGAGCATGGGCAAAAAGGCACACGAATCGAGTACATGATAAAAAGACAGTAGCGTGTTCCCAATGCCAGAAAAACTGCAAGAACGCCATGGCTCTTAAGGGCCAAGTCACGGACAAGCCTGCACCACTGGGGACTTTTCAATGCCTGTGGGATGACCTGTTCAAATATGCCCTTCAATTTTTGGATGATCCAGGGTTGTCATCACCTATTGCCTTTTCATGTTCCGATAATTGCGACTCCGCTTGCGTATGCAGTGGCAATCTCTTGAATTGCATACAAAGTGCAGCCAAGAATATGACACTACCAGCAGCCAAAGTGAGCCAGGCGCTTCGGCGCAAGACTTGGCCATATGTAGTGGTGATTAAGTTTTGATATCTCGCAAGCACGGGTTGCATGATCGCCAATGAGACAGAAATACCACCCATCTGGGACATATTAAAAACGGAGACCGCACTGCTTCGTAGGTCGTGTGGCAGAAATCCGTCCTCGGACTGTAACATCACATAGCTCATGGGCAATGCAGCCTGCCAAATCAATCCGAACCCGGCGGCAGATTCCGCGAGGGAGAGCAAGAACAACTTCCCAAATGAGTCGACTGATTGCTGTATGCATGAGCCACCAATCATGAGGAGTGACCCGAAGACGAATACAAATGGGTAAGGAATCTTGACAAGTAAATATCCAGATATGATCGTAGTGGCGATCATAGGCCCAAGGAGCGCCATCAAAGTGATTGCTGTTTCCATCGTGGACCGACCGCTGCTGGTAGAGAAGACTGTTGCCTGGAAAATCGTCGCCCCATAACCAAGTGAAGCAAGCGCCGTGCAGAGAAAGGACAAAGCCAGGCACCTTTCGCGACACGACATGATTGACAAAATGCTGTAGCGTCGTGCCCTTCTTCGCCTGAATTGCTGAAAAACGAAGAGAACGAGGAAGGAGCCGAACAGCAGCCAACCCAGGATAGTCCTTGCCTTGGGCTTGTCCAGGCGCGATTCGGAACAAGCCCAAAAAACCAAGAACATAAGTATGATCCAGAGACTATCTCCGATTAGGTCGCTATGCTCTTGGATATGCGATGCGATTTTGTCGACCGTGGGAATCACTTCTTGCGATTTCTGAATAAGGTTGAGGCTAGGGTATCCGAGCATGAAAAAGAGCATAGTGGCAGCAGAAAGAGGCGTCGTAATTAAGAAGGCCTATTACGTCAGTCTTTTGCAGAACATAGGAGATTGGAGAGTCGAACCCATTTCCAGGTCAGATGTTCTGACAAAGCGCCAGCGATGAGTGGCCCAGAGAAGAAGCCCATGGCAAAAAAAGTCCAAATGATACCTTGGAGAGTCGGGCGTCCGGAGGGGGCCTGATGCGCATTGTACGAAAGTGCTCTGTTTGGAGTTAGTCTAGGTAGACAGGCTGAGATGGCGGAACTTGCATTTGATGTAACGAGACAGAGCCAACAGACATTATGATGCGGCCAAGTAGGAATACCTCGATGCGCTGAGCCGTGCCAGCCAGACATGAGCCCAGCAAGCTACAGAGACAAGAAGCCACACCTAACCACCTCAGATCACAGAGCATCACAAGATCTCTCAGCATCGGGGATAAGGCGGCTCCGCCAAGAAAGAATGCCAGATTGACCAGGGTCGAGTTCCCGAATGTCTCATGGAGTGGGCTTTGGAGGATGGCAGCACTGGTGAGTTCATAGCCTGAAGCAATGGTCAGTTGATGGAGGTACGGTGTTGAACGTATGAAACAAACCACGAAGGAAGAGGATTATTGAGTTTCCACAGAGAATGATCGGTCCGAAATCATTGATTCGTGCTGCTAGCTTCTGGTGATTATTGAGAAGCTGGACGACCAGCGCCTGCTGCTTCAAGAATTTCCAAATCATCTTTGTCGATAAATGATTTGAGGTACGGATTTTTGCTTGACAAACAGAATGTGGCAGACCAATGAAACTTATACCGGGCGGTTGCAGGGCCTGGCATGATGCTAAATTTAGCAGGATGTGCCATAGACTTGGATCACGGCGCTTAAAAGGCAAACTTCCTGTTTCCAAAAATGGAGAAATGGCAAACAAGATTGTCGAAAATGGTAATCGATCTCAAAGATACGTACTTTTCGGTACATTTACTAGTACACAATGTCGCCAGCCGATACTGGTAAATAGAAGACGTCGCAAATCACGTAGTTTTAGTACGTTTACCAGTAGCTAGAAGTCACTTTCCGTTTTACCAGTACAGTCATCAGTAGAAGTCACTCTACGTTTTACATACAGTCATGACCAGTAAAGAGAAGTCACTTTCCGGATTTTACCAGTCACAGTGAAGAGAAGACGAATTTCCGATTTTTACCAGTACATTGACGACCAGTAAAGAGAAGATTTCTCATTCACGACCAGTAAAGAGAAGCCAGACTTCCGATTTTACCAGTACAGTCATGCAGACAACCCTTCAGATTGAGCACGATTATTTACCAGTCGCAATCCCTGGTAATCTTAGGCATCCAGCTGTTGGATGTACTGGTAATTGCAATCTGTCATGGGTACATGCAAAAATGATTACTCTAAACTGCTTGCGGGTTTTGTTGCGGTGCCCATCTCCCTGCTAGATTTCGATGCACGAGGCCATTGCCCTCGGCAGGTGGATCGGCGCATCCAATCTCGACTGCGCGATGTGTTCGAGGTCAACTTCGAGCCTGGCATCTCTGCCAACCATGTGGACGGCATCTTGAATGAGAGGGAACTATCGAATATCCTCTCTGAAGTTGGCGTCTCGGCACAGGAACTAAAGCAGACCCTTCACAGTGGGATCTATCCCCGCGTGGAACGAACTCGAATATGGTGCCCGCATGGCCGTCACCGAATTGAAACAGCGATTGATGTATTCGGTGCTGAGTCATGCTGGATTGTGCAATTGTATTGCATTCCCAATAGCTTTACCAGTGAAGCCAGGAGGGCGATCGTCCAGGGTCTGTCTGAGCGGTACAGCCCACAATTTGCGCATTCGGACGGTGAGGTCTTTTGCAATGCACGGCGCCACCATGCTAGCGAGCGACAGGTGCAGAGCTGGTCTGTCAGACTGACGCCGTGCAAGAGGATCAGCCTGCGCATGCTGTTGGGGGAGAAATCGAGGATGAAGATGTATCGGCAGATCGGAGGGGCGACTGCCCCAGCAACTGTCCTAGAGGCTTTCGACAAACTCATGGTCTTCCCAGGTCTTTGGGAGGGACTCCAGCTTGGCAACATACATAAACATCTCGCTCTGCGCTGCAACGAGCAGATTGTCGCGTACCTAGACCACATCTACCGCGTGTGGGACCGGATTGCGGGCGGTGATCAGAGCGCGCGGCGCTACGTCGACATCGATACCGTCAGGCATTTGCAGTCTCTCGCGCCCGAGGCAAGTACGGTCGACCGTGCAACCATATGCGATCTTATGGATCAACGGCAAATCTTTGCGGAGGCATACGATCCGGCTCTCCGAGAAGAGATCAAGCAGCGGTTGCTTGGCCTGCGCACTGTCATCCCCACCATTCGATCTTTCCATGAGAACATGAAGCTCCTCACGATTCTGGTCAAGATCCTGAGGCAATATTTGATCCCACACAAACCGAAATCACAATTGATCGCCGGGCTGGCCGAAGACTGGCAACCTCCCCAAACTTCGTTGGTCGAAGTGCATGAAGGTATTTTCCATACCACCACGTCGCCTCCCTCATTTTCGCTCGCTTGGCAGCAGATGGTGTTGATGGCGTTGCGAAATTTCCCAAGCCTCTGCAATGAGTCACCCAAGCAAGACGGGAAGGACTGCATGCGCGCTAATGTACAGCCATCGTCCGTCAATGCACTCTATCAAAGTGCGAAGTTGCTGGGCTTTTCCAATCGCATCATCGACGAGCATGTTCACTCCTCTCTGCATGAGCAAGACGGGCCAGCAGCGTCGGCGGTGAATGATGGTCCAATGGATGTCGAAGTCAAGATTGCCAAAAGAAGACTGGGCAGGCCCCATTCTCGCATTTTTCGCCAGATTCAGAGAATTGCATTCTTCCCGCAGCTGCACGCCGCTACGCCTACAAGGCCCACGGTTGCCTACATCCACAAGGATCTGCTTTCGGCGTTCATAAGGCTGGCTTGTTTCGAGCCATCCCACGAGCCTCGAGTCATTTCCATCTGGGGACGTTCACGAGATGGTGCCGCGCAGCCTGCGCTACAACAGCCCACTAGTCCTCACATCGAAGTCGAGGCAGTACAGGTCATAGATCTGGGCCAGCATCGCGGGACCCAGACTGATGGGGTCTATCAAATGCACACTGCTGCGGAAGAGGCGGCAGGCTCCCCCGAAATTGATGTTCGGCTAGACGCGGCGGCGCGGAGCGTTACTGAGCTGGATGGCCAAGGAGTTGAAGTGATGAACTCTTGGCAGCCATCGTTCGACAGCCCAACTACCTCGCAGCAAGCGTTGACCCCTGCCGCGCGCAGCGACGACGACCGATCGCTTTTGCAGACACCGACAAGTCGAACGCGCCCAAATACTTCTGGTCTGTCGCGTTTCGGCAGCTCTCTGACAGGCGGACCAATACTTGCCGACGCCACCAGCTGGAGTGTGGGAACCCAAAGTGATGCGTCGCGGTCGTTGCTTCACACTCCCTTGCATGAAGCGACCCCTCTCCCTAGGTATTCATCAAGATCATTGCTCAGCACCCCCCGCCCATCACTTAGCGGCACTGTCCCTCCTGACGACATACCCCTCATCGGTGATCAACCCAGGTCGTTGCTCCAGACTCCAGAACGCTTCTCGGTCGCGAGGTCATCCTTGACGTCAGACTTAGACCACATGCAAGGTAGGGAGGAAGTTGGAGGGATAGTCGTGTCCGAACATCCGAGCATTTCCGAACCCACATCACCTCTTCTGAGACCTCGATCTGTCGAGTCCATTGCCACTCTGATGGAGGATGATGAGATGGTTAGTATCGATTTGACACCACCAGCCATGACCCTTAGCTTTGACTACACAGCCTGGGACTCTCCTGCGATTCGCAGCGAGAGCGAGAGAACCATCCTGGAAACACCACGAGGGAGTGTACATGAAGGGTTTTCTGACAGCGGGAGTGAGTACCTGGTATAGCTGCCAGGATTTCAGCCAGTGTAACGCTTGCGCGGCTTGAGCGCCAGTCGAGCACTCCTTCTCAGGCCATGATCGCCGAGAGTTGACATCGTGGCATCCTCGAGCTCTTGCCTTGATGTCTTCGGAAGTTTCTCATGCGCCTTCAATCGTTTTGATCGGCGCAGCTCACGAGAACTTTTGCTATCCTCCCCCTCCGGCGCTTGGTGCTTCCTTTTGCGCGGCCTTGGTGGCTCAACATTGGCCGGTTCATTGCCTGGCTGGTGTTGAAGCAGATGTGATGAATTTGTCCAAGATTGGTGCGCATGCGAAGTTCCATTGCGGGGCCGAGCACCAGCATCGTCTTGCAGCGTGTGCACCCAAGCCTCCACCTTGTTGTCCCGGCGGACCACTGTCTTTTCTGTAGTGGCGTCATCATCGCTCGTGAAAGCTTCAGTCAAGCTGCCGTCAATGGTAAGGGCTGCAGGAGAGAGCGGTCGAGGGCAGGCACTCTTCAAAGCCTCGACACCAGTGTGAAAGTGATGCCATTTCTCATCCCAATAGCGGACGTCGTCAAGGGGCATTTCGGAGCACCTTTCGGCTGCACATCTGACTTCGTAGGGGCCAGCGATGTAGAGCTCGTCGAGGGCGAGCAAGCGTGCACCTTCACGTCCCAGTTGGCGCAGCACCATCATTTCTGAGTAGACGCGACCCTTCGCTTCTTCTAGCAGAATGATTGGTGTATATTGATCTCTGTACGATTGCAATTTGTCCTCCCAGTACTGCACGTCATTTGGGTCGGGTTCTACATCGGCAGACTCCCGACACTGAACGCTGTAAGGACCAGCGATGTAAATGTCCAATTGTTTGAGAATGTGTTGGCCTCGGGGTCCGATCCGCCCAAGGGTCCAAAGCAATTGGTGAAGCTGTCGCCTTGCGGTGTCTGCGCGGGCACAAGGCACCTTGTAAGCATCTGCTGCCCAGGCGTTATCGTGGTTGACGAGGTTTTTGCGCGTCAGCGGTTGGAGTGAAGGTTTGTCCATTGTGCTGATATGCTAGAGATAGGTTGAGTATGAAATTGAAGAGGCGCGCGGCCTGACGGGAAGATGGTACTATATCTGGGCTGCCACAAATTGGCGGGGCGCGTACAGGCCCATCGCCTTGCATGGCGCCCGGAGTGAATACGCGGGGTGGGTCTGCAACACAAAAGGACGCCTGGCACACGGGTGTGCACCTAGCTGCTCCGTCAGGGATTCATGAAGATGTCGTATATCAATATGTGCCCACGCAGTACTGTACATCGCGTGCTGCAGCCGCCAAACCGGCGGATCCCATTGCATATCCCCCATGCATGCGTGGGATGGGTATCGAGAGACGGATTGGCTGACGATGTCCATCTCGCGTCGCGGAGAGCAGAAAAAGCACCTATTCTCCAGGCCAGCTGCAAGACGCTTCGTATCAGAGTGAGCTGTTCTGTTCGCACGGTGGTCGGTTCGAAGGATGGCTATGTACGGGCATTATATATATATACATGCCACTCTTCCACTATAAGTCCATATTTGTTCAGGACAGGCAACTTGATCCTTGACGGTCACGATGGCGAACGAAAGACAATTCAACACGCTCTTTACCATCCACGCATGTCAAGCGGCCTTTATACACGATCCGGCCAATGCGCAGTTTCGCGTATCCGAAGATGTATATGATGTACGCGAAAGTCCATCGCCAGGCGCGGACTCCAGAGAATGCACACCGTTGTCACCCACCCTGCAGGAGTCTCATCTTTGCATCACTACAGATTTTCTACCTCGTGATCCCCAAGCTGGGTTTGTCTTCGGGAGCAACCCGGACAGCTGCGACATCATACTCGCCCGAAGGTCAGATCAAGGAATCAGTAAGAGACAGTTTGCAATTTTCTTCATATGGGAACATCGGGCCATTATCCTAAAAAATCTCGCTGGGAGGGGCACCAAGTTGACGGTGCGCTCACTGGATCCTCCATGTACAGAGCGTGTCAAGTCACAAAGACACTTGCCTGAGGGGTTTGAGCACACAGTCTCGCTTCCCTGGTGTGAGCTGAAGATCACGGTACCGAGGCATGAAAATGACCGAGAGAGATTTTCTGCACACTGGCTGGCGTTTCAAGAGGCCAGCACTGGGCACGTCCCAGGACTTGATCTTGCGGAGCTCAGCTCCATTGCGCCAACAAGCGTCTGTTCGTCTTCTACATGTACTTATCAAGTCGGCGCAACGCTGGGAGAGGGTGCAGCCACGTTCCTTGCTGCCGACGAGGGGAAGAAGGTGTATGCCGTGAAGGCCTTCTCGCGTCCTAGCACAGATTGCGGAGTGGTCAAGCTGTTGCGGGTGGCCTCTAACCATGTACGTTCTAATATCGGTCAGACGCATTGCGCCTGTTCGCTGACCCAGTTCAGAAATACCTTGTTCGCATCCACGATGTGCTCTACGACACGCCATACTCTCTCGTGATGGACCTCGTATGGGGCTGCAACCTAGAGGAGTCCACCAAGGCCAAACCCATTAACGCCCCCGACGCGCAACTCTGCTTGAAGCAGCTCCTCCTCGCGGCCGAAACCTTACACTCCGCTGGTTTAGTCCATCGAGATATTAGGCCTACCAATATTATGGTTGCCTGCCGGGAGCCCATCCATATCAAGTTGGCAGGCTTCGGGCGAGCGGCTTACAGTAGTGCGCGAAGGAGTCGTGGTGGCTACACACCATACTCCCTGCCCAAGTCCGAGGAGGCCAGTTCCGCAGGGATTGGTGGTGTGGACATCTGGGCCATCGGCATCATAGGTCTGGAATGTCTAGGGGGATACTGCCCGGGTACCGTCGTGCGCAACTACGTGGCGCGTCTGGCTAAACGAGGCACCTCAGCATTCGAGTCTTTTGTATGCACTCTATTGCTCAAGATGCCCTCCGCCACAGATTGCCTGAGCCACGAATTTTTCGCGATACAGGTCGGACGTGCATTTCCTATCAGGGGACAGTTCTGGAGCAAAGAAGAGCCGATCCCAATTCGCCAAAGACCCAGCGGCAGGATCTCCGTCCCCAAACCGCCCAGGAAGCAGATTATAGCTCCCGCAACGCTGCGACTGGATGGCCAGACGGCTCTGGAGGTGCAACACACATTAGTGCCAAGTGACAGTGTCAACATCGATCATGCTGTAGGAAGCGAGGTTGCGAATCCCAGATTGAGCAAAAGATGCAGGGCAGATTCGAGCTTCGAGCGACCACCAGTACAAACTCAACAATGGTGCGATGGCTCGGGCAGGAGAATCAACGGGTCGGCGAAGCGGCTGCGCGAGCATGATTCAGGCAAAGCCAGCGCTGACGGAGCCTGCAAACGTCCTTGTGTAGAGAAAGCACCAGATCAGCCGGTAGAAGCCGCTCTTTTCAAGTCTGGAGGCATGTGGACTCTGTCGATTGGCCCAAGTCGCATGCCCATGTCTATATCTGACTACTACGTCGAGTGCCTCGCGATATGCAATTTTGCCGCCCTAGATAACGATTCGAAAGCATTAAAGTTGCAAACACTCGATAATGTGCGGCGCAGGCGAATGATGGGCGAGGAAGAATATTGGGTGCCGCTTCAACAAGCTGTCGGATTTTGCAAGGATCTAGGTGTGCTTGAGTCTCTATGGCCACTTTTCATGTTGGCACCTCACGATGTGCAAAGAGGAGCGTGTCTCTTGGTCGAGCCTCGTAGTGGCGACTGATATGCGACAAGTCTTTCTGCATTATTTGATTAGAGTTCAATTCCGTGCGGTCATACGCCTGCGTGGTGATTATAGCCTGACTCGTTTACGATACGGGTTCATTCGATCCAAGTCGCACGCAGCACTGAAAATCGGCGGCGTGATGCTTAGGTGGTCTACGGAGTTCTGGGGCGCTTTTGTCATTCAAGGGCATCAAATTTCGACATTCCTGGTAGCTATACATAAGCACAACAGTCTAGCAGGTACAGTGGTTGAACCACATTCTTTAGGCAAGACTTTCTGATTCAAGAATGTGACTAGCGATCTCTTCTAGTTCTGGTGTCAGACATTGGTCGCTGCTCAAAGGTTGCTGACATCTTGATGGGTGAAATAGTTCATTCTACCGCCTTGGTATACCCAAATCGGACTCGGCCCAGTTGCGTCCAACGCCCAATCTTTCTTGGTCGTGCTTCTCCTCTGCTTCTTGGAATCCTGAAAAATATATTCATTGGGCCTTGTGAGATGCTGCTCTTTCACAACTCTCACTTCGTACCATTTGGATGCCTCCCTTCCTTTGCCTTTTGGGTCATGGGGCCTCGGTCGATCATCATCCCCCATAGATGTTGACTGGGTGGATGGACCAGGTATTGCTGGTATCTGATATCCAGTCGCATTGCCGGCCTGCATCACAGGCTTAGCAGTGCTCCCGGCAGGCAGATAGTCGGGCAAATAGTCGTCTTCGGTCACCTCTTCATACTTCATGACATCTGTGAGATGCACAATGCATTCTCCCTGCTTCGAGTCAAGATAGATGTAGTGCTTGCGGTCGTTCCTCGCTCCCATATCGTCCAAAGGATTGAGGACCAAGTCCGGCTTGTCAACCCGCCAGACTCGGAAAGACTCTTTCAGGAAGGTGAATGCGTAGATTCCGTCCACTTCATAGAACTCAATGGCTTCTTTGGATCTCTTCAATACCTGATCTTCAACTTCCTTAGCACTCGCACCTCCACCTTTCCCTTCACCCACCATGATCGGGTAAAGAGCATGATGCGTGGGGTCAGTCCCTTGAACAAATAGATCAACTCTGTATCGCCCTTGGTCCACGGACTGCTCGCAATTGACAGCGTACCCATCAATCACGGGGAACAGGGCGTGGAAAGTTGATTGAAACGCCGCCGCGGCAGTGTATTCAATATCATGTTGTCGATGCCTCTGTAACAAGAGTCGAATGACTGGGTATTTATCAACGAAAGAGCTCATGACGATATTTTTCGCAAGTAGAAGATTTGAAATAACGATGTCGACTTTGATACATACATTTTGAATGAGAGACAGCTCTTTTATACAATTGGAACGATCCTGTTGTATTGCACAATGCTGGAACCCCAAGGCCATTCGTCCTGACCAATCCTGACTGTTCTCTTAATTGACAGCCCTTTTAGGATTAAGTCCTTTGAAAATAAATCAAACCCGGCTTCAAGAAAACCCGGTCTCAGCAAAACCGGGTTTCAATAAAACCCGGTTTTCTTAAAAACCGGTCTGGGCCAAATCAATGGTCGGAAGTTCTCTCATGCCCAACTTCCTGGAAGCTCGTTTCCTGAGAGGCCCAGCCTCCAATTCTGCGCAGCGCACTCGCAGTCCTAATCCAATGGCTTGTAACATCAATCTTTTCAAACGGCCGGAGCTCATAGACAGGGCCAAAGACTTGGTCCACGACCTTGGTTTGCAAATCGAGTTAGCGGAGTCCTTCGTCCAGACTAAGGCTATGGTCTGTTCAGGGGTCAAACTGACATCAAATCAACTGTCTCGATGCAAGGCTTTTGTGCGTTTTATCAATAGCACCTCCGAGAGCGACCTGCACAGTGAAGTTGCGCGACTCAGTGCACGCGAGCTGGCATTTCTTTCGATGTGTTTCGCAGAGGGGCGACTGACAAAATTGCATTCTGTGATCACAGCCGCAAAAGTCCGAGATTATATGGAATCACAACAAATGACACACTTCGATTCAACAATGATCATCCACCGCCTGGCTGCATTGGCATTTTCGGAACAGGGTATATTCAAGCGCATGTGTGATGAGAGGGGCGTCGTGTGGCAAAGCAAGGCGGTAAAAGAACAGAATAGTAGGTTCATTCATGTTTCCCACATGATCGACTTGACTGACGCCATTTTTAGCAGTTCGCATTAGGCGGCCCAAGTTTCAATGGCCGCCCGAAGCAGACAGACGAGATGCCCCTCCCAACTCTGCTGAAATTCCCAATTCCTTCGTCTACCCGTTAGGTGTTTGTGGGAGATTAGAACATTGCCTCGGTGGTCATGTTGCGAAATGCATCTTTCGTGGAAATGGGCAAGCGACTGAAAGCGTCAGGGCAAGATGTTCTCGCGTTGGTGACGATGCCATAGTTTTTCTTGATCTCACTTCCGAAGAAAGCTGGCTATCTGAGATGTTTCCGGGGCACGGAAGCGGCGCCCGCGTCTCCAAATTCGAGGAGATCTTCAGCCCCATCATTGTCAACAATGTCCACCGCAGTGAACAGCGCAAATGGGAGCGTGCTATAGGACACTGTGATTTCACCGATTGCGTACAGCTTGCGTATACTCTCAAGATACGCATTTCATCGGCAGGTACTGAGATTTTGAATGATCTGTTTCAGTTAGATGGAGATTGAGTATCAGTGGCGAAGCTCTCGTTGCAATATGACCCCTTGTAAATAGTAACTATTATCCCAGCTTTGAGGTTGATTCGCCCAGATGGCTGTTGAATGCTCCAAAGTTCTTGTCCTTTTTTTGAAAAAACCGCTTCAACCCCACGTATTATGTAGGTCTGGTCCTGCAACGATGGCTCGATTCTGATGTAGGGTTGGGCCTTGGGCAGATCAGACATCGCGGGGTCATTCTTGGGCAAATCTGTCCAACTGGATTGCTGTTCACTGTTAGTTACGTCGAGATGACAGGTCTGATGAGGGCATGGGAGTATCATACGAAATCCTTGAGCTGACCTTCATCAACCGACATGGTTAATGATGATCAAAGGATCGTGTTTTCTGGAATTGTGACCTTCCTCAATGTAACCATAAATCACATATGCAGGAGGTGGAAATGGGAAGCGTGATGAGAATGACCGTTTGGTTTGGGCTATCGCTACGCCGGATGCGGCCCAATGCCCCCTCCTATTTGCCGTGTCTTACCGCCTTCCCTCAGCGCTTTATACTGGCCGCTAGCGAAAGGACAAAGTCTTTTGGTATTTTTGCGTCGGGCCTCTCACAATAGACCATCGGGGCCTTTCACAAATGGGCCTTGGATTATAGCAGTGGATTTTGGCTGGCTGCAATCGAGCGCCACTCAACGAGCGAAGATCCTGGTGCAAGCTATAGTTTCGTTGGTGGGCTTGAACCCCCCCTGTAGCAAACCTGGCACTGCTTTGCCGAGAACCACCACTCCAAAACATTAGAAAGATGAATTTCGAGCCACCTCAGATTCTCACTACGTGTTGTGCCAGTCAATGCCAATCTAGAGACAGATGGTCCTTGAGGGTCACATGAGAAACCAAGCCATAGTGTACGTTGATGTGTCATGTCGATGGTATGACCCAGGCGATCCAGACGAATGCGTCCAACGCAGAACTCATGACCACACCAATTCTTCAGGAGTAAACCAACGATACGTTGCTGACCGTACACGTCCTGTTGACATGGTGTCACTTGCCAAACGTCGTCGAGAACAGCTGCGGAATAAAAATACGGCTCGAAAATAGTCGACCTCGGATAATTGGAAGAAGGATTGGGAAGAGTGAGAGATCGCGAATCGATTTTCGGCTCAGGCGACACGAAAGCTACACTGCGAACACCGAGTGGAGAGCGATCAAAGAAAACTCGGCTGACCCTGTCCAGATGCGGAAGATCAATCAACGTGAAAAAAGTGCGGGAGCGCGATTTGGGCCAAGGACCGAAATGGACAATGCGGTCGTTCGTAGTCTTGAACTAGTTGTTTGTCAGTATTATCCCCTTAGGCCTTTGGAGTAGCGAGAAGGCTTACGATCAATCCACGAGATCTAGAGTTTTGGCCGTATTTCCACATCTCACATATCTTCTCGCCGACGTTCAGAGGGAAATAAATCCAAATTCCATCTTCGTGACCTTGGTATCTTGCCATACTCTCTCCCACAGAATGTGCATGCATCGACATGATGCGATTTTTCCAGTAGAGTGAATATGCTTTTATTCCTGGACGATTACATTCCAGCATTGACAGCTGGTCAACACGCGGGGTGTTTTCTACTAATGGGACCGATCGAAGAGGGGCTTTAAGGGGAATTTCGCACAAAGGCTGAAGAGTCTCTAAACCATTTTCCAATGTGAGGTTCCGGAGTTTGAATCGCTGTTTGTAATTAGCCAAATTCGGAACGACCGAGAGATGCTTACATCAGTTTGGGCAAGGAGGACCGTATCAAGTGAGCTGGCCCCTGGCCCAGGTCTGGGAAGCTGGATGACCCTCCACCATAAGTCAGAGCTTGCATCCTGCCGAGAGTCACAAAATTGCAGCTTTATGATACCCAGGTAATTTTCGGCCACACAGATGCTATCCACCAGTTGTGTAAGTTGAGGCGAGAAAATGCATTCGTTATAAAATTTATCGCACGAATTGCTCAGGGACGAAATATACCGGACGCCCTCGAGCTCGACGTAGCTGGCCCAGATCTCGGCTGAAGTGTGGATGCGAGAGACGTGTTTGCCATTCTCCCCAAGGGACACCGGGACAAGTTCATTGCGTTTTTCGATGGTAGCGCACCGATGGAGGGTGGCATATAGTTGCAAATTGGTGCCGCGAAGTAAATGGCTTGCAATCTCAATGTAAAGCTCGAGCGGTAAGGGCACCTTTGCTTCTCTGAGTGCTGATTCGACATCACGATGTAGAAATCGAATGCGTGCCTCAATCTCAGATGGCGCGAGTTCATATTGATGTTTCAATATGGCCAAGAACGCGTTGAGCGAGGTCGGGGAAACAGACTGTGCGCAACCAGTATGACAGCCTATTGCTCTTCCATCATCATGAACACATGAACCGAGACATTGTGAGTAAGTTGTGCCAGATCCGTCAGTCATTGACAGACCATTAGGCATGCTCCCCGATCGACATCCGTTGCTCATCACTATAATGAGAATCAGCTCAGCTTAGTCAGTAGATAGGGTAAACACCAAACCAGCAATAACGGATTCATGCTTTTCAAGCTTGAAGCCGCACAGGCCACAAAGTTGAGAGACGCAAGGTCCTGTCTTCGTAGGGACATCATAACCGATGGCAGCCATGGCGGATGCGCTAGACATGATATCCACAGAGTAGAGCAGGGAAGTATCGAAATGGTTCGAAAGAAGAGATCAGGTAGTATGCAGTATATAGTTTAATGACGTGTTCAGCCGTTTCTTTGTCCAGCAAGTTGATGTATAGTGTTCTTGCACAAAGCACTGTACCGATGCACTGTACTCGCTGTGGTAAATTTCCAGGCATTTTCTATGCTACTTTAAATGACAAAACAACTCGATCAATCTGCGTTCAATTGTCAACTTGTCAGACTCCTGCCAGTTTTCTGCCATTTTGTTCCGACAGCTAGAGACAAGCCTTCGCATGTGACCGCGAACCAAAGACTGTCAAAACCACTTGCAGCCTAGCCAAACCCCTTCTCTCGAATATAATTTTTTTTTTCCTCCAACAAGCTCTGCAGCATCCCCTTAGGATCTCTTCCCAACCTGGTCTGGGCTACTAGGCATAGCCATACGACTGTCCTCACTCTATGGCTTGAGAGGCGGGTAGGCTCCGAACCTTAGACTCACGCGCGACCACATATAAGAACGCCGCGTTTTGCGGACTGGACGTATCTGTATTTTGACCCAACTAGTATGCATATTCTTCCTGAACGTGGGACGTGGAATATTCAATCGGCGTTGATTTTGATTTTAATATGCCATCTTGCGCAACGCAGGCAAGATCTGACTTCGTCCTTTCCAGGTGCATAACCCCTCCTTCCGTTGCCCGACCACCGAGCCGTGCGCCTGCGTAGCTATCGTATCCTGACTCCTCCATGTATACGAGTTCATCCGATCGAAGACAGGTCTCGAATAACTTCCATCTTGTCGATATGGACATCGAGCTCCTAAGCAATATATGCAGGTTACATCCGGTGTATCGTGCAGCGGTCGCATGAGGCATTGGGTATCGGCGGTGTAATGTCGGTCGACCCACGGCGTTCTTGGGCGCTCGCTCCGGAGCCGAAGATTCGCTCGCACCGTTCGCACGGATTGTGGCGCGACCGCTCGCATTCGCAAATTCGATATCGTGGCCTCTGCGGACTCACGGGCAGAGAGACCATCGAAGGTGGTGGAGGCAAGATCGGGTTCGCGTGGAGAGTTTAGACGTTTGGCAGCATGGGGGAAAAGGGCCCCTACGCCCCACTCCTTACCATAAATCACCAAGTGCCCTGGGCACCTAGAACTCTATCACCTGTTGTATGAGTTATGCTGCCTGGTCATCTTCAGATATCATTTCCTTCAATAGTCTACAATGGTACATTACTGTAAAAGAGTGCGCCGCGCTCACTGGCTGGTGCAGATAGCTATCTGATTGACCCCGCGTTTCCTTAAGGCCTGTTGAATATCACATGATTTGATTGGGGTGGCATGCAGGTCAACTCAGCCACATTGCAGCCTGAAAGGCTCTGATTCTGTTGTCGCAGGTATGACTCTCTGACTATCACCTACGATACTCAGGCCGTCTCAACGATATGCGCTCCTGAAGATGCGCTTACTTCAGACCACGATACAGGGAGGTCTCAAATTCACCAGGGACCTGATCGAGGGGAAGGATGACATCCCACCCTATGCCATATTATCCCATACGTGGGAGGCGAATCACGGCGAGGAAGTAATCTACAAAGATGTCACAGAGACGACAGGATTTCAGAAACGCGGATATCAGAAGATACAGTTCTGTGCAGAACAAGCCGAACGCGACGGACTGGAGTACTTCTGGGTGGATACATGCTGCATCGACAAGATGAGCGCCGCCGAACTCTCCGAGTCGATCAACTCCATGTTTCGCTGGTACCAGCGTGCTGCGAAATGCTACGTCTATCTTTCAGATGTGTTATCTGGTTCTAGCAGCGAGGACGAGCCTCCGAGGTCGACCTGGAAGCAGGAGCTTCGACGCAGTAGATGGTTTACAAGAGGATGGACGCTACAAGAACTTATCGCGCCTTCTACTGTAGAGTTCTATTCCTCTGATGCGAAACGACTCGGCGACAAACGATCTCTCAGCCAGACAATCCACGAAGTCACTGGCGTCCCGATCCGTGCTCTCGAAGGCACACCAGTTTCCAAGTTTAGTGTAGAGGAACGAATGTCCTGGTCAAAATCACGAGCCACGTCAAGACCAGAAGACAAGGCATACTGCTTGCTAGGCATACTTTCAGTATCCCTAGTAGCTAATTATGGCGAAGGCGAGAAGAACGCATTTGAGCGTCTTCGTTCCGAGATTTACATGCGTTCGCCGCTAAGGGTGTTGGAAAAACTTCCAATAGCGGACGGAGCAGCGTTCGATTCTTATGCCAACGAGCACGACATCCAGTGTCTTGAAAATACTCGAATAGAAGTCTTGGGTGAGATCGTCACATGGGTGC